TGGATTTTAGTGGGCTTTTTGGGGGTGGGGTGGGAGAGGAGGAGAAGGGGGGTGGGTTTGCGTTGAAGTTGATATGAGGGATGTAATTGTGGAAAGAAGAAATACATAGTTGTAGATGTGGGGGATATCGTCGGGGATCTTCAGGCTTGTTTGATATGATGATATGATATGATATGATATGAAGCGAGGTAAAGGGAACATAGAAACTTCAAAAGTAGAGAACACATTAACTTTGTAATAATAAATTAGCAGAGTATGTATGTATCTTAGACGTAAAAGTGCTTTGAGAATTTGGACAAAGTCCTCTCCATTCATTATGTATTGATTTGGCTCGACTTGACTATTCTTCTCCCCGCTGTCTATGCAAAAGACCCCCAAGCAAACCATAAACACCATTTCCCCAGCCCCATCCAAGTTTTTAAGGAACGTAATGTGCAAGAATCAAATATAAATGCACCAGCGATTATGCCCAACCAGTTTTGCTGTTTGTTCCCTTCATATCAACATGAACATAGTAGTAAGTAAAATCACAGTATTAGTTTCCAAGAACCAGACTTCCTCTTGGTTTTTAGATGATGAGATGAGGAATATTTTCCTCTGTTCTCTACCAGATGACCCCCAGCCCGTTAACAAACCAGCCAAAGCTGCACACCGTAAGTACTGCCATGCCAACCATCAAGCCCAGTGCCCTCCGTTCCGTCTCCCCAAGCGCTCCGCTACACGTAGCGCACTTCCAGCCCGAGAGATCCGTGTACGGCTGCGGCGTATACATGCCAAACGTATACGAATCGTACACGGACATATACCCCGGCTGAGCAGTAGCGCTTATCGAGCTGCCGGCATCGTAGATGATGAGCGTGTACGTCTGGACGAGCAAAGGGTTCGAGAGGGCCGTTGCTTGGTAAGCGCCCGTGTCCCAGGTAACGACGCCCGTATTGTTGGCGACAGTTTGGTTCGCGGCGATGGTGTAGAGCTGCTGGTTGGCGGTGCAGGTTGCCATTACATTTATGGCGGAGGGCGTGCCGAGGAGGGAGGTGTAGTTCCAGCCGAAGGTTACGTTGGAGCCGATTTTGTAGTATTGGGAGCCGGCGGAGACGGCGGGTGTCATGAGGGAGACGCCGCCTGCTGGATTTGTGGCATCATAGGATGTTGAATTGGCTGATGTTGCCGTATCAGATGAGTCTGTTGTAGCCGCTTTGGTTATGGTGCCCGTTGAGCTTCCGTCGGTCGTTGACGGGGATGAAGAGTCGGTGGCTGTTATGGTGTTGCCTTTGCTGTCCGTGGTGAGACTGTCGGATTTAGTGTCTGTAGCGGAGGTATCTGTAGCAGATGATTTATTGTCTGTTGCCGTGGCCGTGGCACTTTCTTGTGTCGTGGTGGCTTGTGCTGAACCTGCTGGTGTCAGTATATCCTCTCTGGAGCCCCGGCATGAGCAGCATACTTGTATTATCGTCCCGTGCAGCAATCAAAGAATCCCGCTCCGGTAACCATCTGGGCCAAGGCCATGCTGCCGTAAATGTCGCGAGAAGTATGAAGAGCAACGAATATATCTGCAGGCTCCTGGAGGTCCTCATCGTGAAATAACGTTGGTGTGTTGACACCCCTTCAAAGATCGTCCAAGTCCTTCAAATGCAACTCCGGTATCCAATATATTAGTCCGCAGATCGATATTGGTTCGGCCAACAGATATCCTGATTTCGTTCTAGGTATCCGGTGAAGCTATTCGAGAAAATGTGGTGATGTTGATGGAAAATGCAAACCCCTGTATGAATTTAGACACGATGTTCCTCCGTTTCCTCAAGCAACAAGAAACGGCACACCACTTGCAATCACTCACCTCAGCAACTAGATGCACGACCGAACGAGTGAGGTCGTACTGTAACGAGAGGATGTATTAAAAGAGTATCGTATGAACGCTGTTGCGGGAAAAGTTGACGATGGAGGAGAAATGAGGTGAGGTCAGGTTGAGTTGATCTGAAATGGCTCTAGATTCGTTAGTTCAGGCATGATGCCCAGTCAAGCCTTAGGTAAAAGATCCACGCTAAACATTTCTCGTATTTAGGTATCCCCAATCCCCGCGCGCCGGCAAACACAAAAAAGGCTATACTATTTTTAGAATTCGTACTTGAACGCCACTTTGCTGGGCTTTTCTCCAATATTAACCAATCAGAATCATGGCATCTTGTTTTACGAAGTACGAACAGAAAAATAAGCTCTAGGAGCATTACGCTTTAATACCGAAGGGAGCTAAATAAGAAGACCGACGATTCTTCCTCTTGTAGGTTTTCGTGTCCTGTTTCATGTTGAGCAACAAGCCTCTCGAATCACGTGTAGCCCCTGAGATATCTACAATAATGCAATGTTCTTTTGAAGCAGTTTATTCTATATATTGCGTGTTGTCAAGGATTTTGGCAAACATCGACAGCTATCAAAGTTGATGGCTTGCTGATCAAGTCTTACGAGCGTAAGCCTCAGCCTTCACGAAGGCTCTCTGCAATCCATCCAAGGCTTTGCATCCTAAGTTTATCCTCCAAGATCAGCATTTAGGTCAACAAGCGCAGATTATGTCTCGTGGAAAGAGGTCAAACCTGAATATGGAAACGTGTTACTCAAGAGCTTTGCAGTAGCGGAAGTTGCAGTCCATTCTAAAATCATCTATCGAAGACAATGCTCTCACCGTTAATAAATGACTTGGGTAACTCTGTCCATTCAAGCCTGGGTGACCACGGATTGATCAGGTCGTGGGCCTGAAGCTTCATCGAGATTATTCTGTCCGTTAAATGCTTGACCGACAGCGAGTTGACGCATGACTAGGCATTGAACCGACATGGCCAGGGGGTGCACCGAGGTTGCTTTGATCGTTCGACGTTTGGCCGATGGTGGATGATTGACTAGGCATTGGACCGGGATGTCTCCGAAAAGACTCTTTTGACAGAACGTGATTGCCTCCAGGCCATAACAATGTCGTTTTCATAATCCAGCCATTTGACATTTGACAACTCAAATTCTTTGTCGTTTGTTTGACTCCTGAAAGGAGCTACGTGGACACCTCCCTCACCCAAATAAGTGGGTGCAATAGTAATGATGATGCTGTCGATCCACTGTTGGTTTCTCTGCCTTAATAGATCGTTGATGACTGCCGCACCGCCCTCGATCATAACGCTCCGAACTCCAGTGGCTCCAAGGGCTGACAAGATTTCTTTCCAATCAACCCCATTCTCCTTCGAATCATATTCTCCAGCCTGTATAACACCCCCACCGACGCCACGGAGCCTGGACCTGTCTTGGTCTACACGTTGAGTGACTGTCTCGAACTCTTTGTCACCTATGTTTTCCACGCTATTGACCGTCCATGGCGGTCTGCCCAGTCCTTTTTCTGCAAGATCGAATAACCTCTCGCATGCATTCTCTTCCCATTGTTTAGATGGGTCTAGAATAATCGGTCGTGGTTGCCGGTCCAGCCCTACAGGATACTCTTCATCATCACTATATTTGGTGTTGAGGCCAGGATTGTCGGCCATAGCAGTTCCTCTACCAATGAGAATAGCATCGTGCCGGGACCTCAGATAATGAGTCATTGCCTTCGTCTCTGGTCCCGATATTGCGGTTCGAACTCCTGGGTTCAAGGCAATTTGGCCATCGAGAGATTGTGCGTAGGTCAAGGTAACGTGGGGTATAGTAGTTCTTGGATGACCCGTATTCTGCATTCGACTAATTGGATCCAGCGAGACGGGATGATGAACTCTTGATTCCGCTGATGCAGGATCACTGTCGTTCAAAAAGGTAGTGCGGTTTGGTGGCAGGTAGGGCTCAAGCTCTGTACGCCTCGCATTGGAGAGGGTGACGATTACAGGCCGTCCTCGATGGTCAACAAAAATGTCGGAGGGCTCCCCAGAGGTGAGGATTTGAATACTGGAGCTGTGTAGCGTAGCATCAGTCGGGGGATACGGGTACGAGTGTCGTGTGGCCATTGCGGATGATTGTTGTTAGTGGAGTTGTACATGATATTGATCTCTAGAATGTCCCGGCTTTGCGACCGGTTGTGCTTCTTGAGGCATGGCGTGGTGTGGATGGGATGAAGGAGTGAAATACCTGTAGTTGAAGTCGTCACTTCTCCACTTGTACAGCCTCGCAAAACACCCTTCAGCCTTGTCGGGACGTGACATCCCTTCCGTCTAAAAATGATACGCCACGCCTCACCAAGCAGCTCTTATCAAAAAAGAAACTGGCCAAGTTATATTTCCACGGAAGTTCTCTTTTCCTCAACTTCCTTTGGAGTCATAATATTGATGGCATTCCAATCCCGTGAAAATCTATAGATTCAAGAAAAGGGCGTGCGAGACGATACATTTTGCAAAATACCTAGGTAGGATCGACATGGGAGGTACGTGTACGGTACATGAGCCGAAACCGAAGTTGATAGCAGAGCATGAACAGCCTAATAGTAGATTTTGTATTCCACGAACATTTGTCAAGACAGGACTGTCTTTTGGTAATCCCATCACAAAATGGAAAGAGCGTAAAGACATTGTACAGTACTGTTATATTGTGTCCTTGAATGTTATACCTGAACCCCTGAAAACGTGAGGCTACTGCAGGGATCTCATCTCACTGGCGTACTGGCCTCGTTGCTTCAAGCGCCATCATCAATCGCTACAACGCTACAGCAGGAAATTTATTTTGTTCAACAGCACTTCAACGTGTCTTTTGCAGTTATCATATTCGCACCTGCCCGCAATCAAGGCAACAGGTAAAAACTCCGATACTGTATGGTACAGGGAAGAGGATCATGATTCCAACGCCTCATAATCTTTCAACACGGCTTTCATGAGACCAAGGATAAGGATGCGCTCACGCCAATCCCTTCTGCTGCTGGTCCTTCTGGCATTTGCTGGATGTACACTACTCTATCTCAGAAATCAAGCATCATACGGTCTAGGAGTCTCTACCCCTCATTCTCCAGTCGATGGAACGCCAGATCGCAAAGATGCTCCAGCGACAGCCCCGACCACCCCAAGCCCCCCTCGATCGCCAGCTTCGCATCCAGTATGGCAGCTCATTAGCGATGCGGAGAAGGACTATAGGGCGATGCTAGGGCGCCAATCGAAGACGTTGGAAGAAGCAGTTGCGGAATACAGACGGCGCTACGGCATACATCCTCCCCCGAATTTCGACAAGTGGTATGATTTTGCGAAAAAGAAGAATGTCCAGTTGATCGACGAGTACGATTCCATTCAACACTCCTTGAACCCATTCTGGGGGTTGAAGCCCAAGACAATAAGGGCGCGGGCACAAGAGGCATTAGGGTTTGATGCGAACAATTTAATTGGGGCTTTGATACGGAATGGAGCGGTTAAGAAGATCGATGGAGGAGGAGAATGGCAGATGGATGCGACGGTGGGCATGATGAAGGGATTTATAAAGTACTTGCCGGACATGGACCTCTGTTTCAACATTCACGACGAGCCGCGAGTAGTGATTCCCTTTGACGATATGACGAGACTGATGAAGACCGCAATGGAGGTCAAAAAACCAGCTGCGAAAGCTGTAGTGGATGCCCGAAATTCATGGTCAAAGAGACCATCAGACCTTAGTGATGGCTCCCGCTTTGCAGATGTCAGAAAGACCCGGTTCAACGTCTATGCCCACCAGCCTACATGGACAGAGTCAAGAATATCCTGTCCTCCAGACAGTCCTGCCCGGGCAGATCTTGAAGATGGGCCAAAAGTGGACAATTTCGAGAGCTACGCAGTTGGAGAATTAGGATTCGTGTCCAACCAAACAGCATTCTCGGATATCTGTCAATCTCCCTCTTTCAGCGAAACATTCGGCTTCTTCGAGCGCCCCAATGCTTTCAATATAGTCCACGACCTCTTCCCCGTCTTCTCCCAATCCAAAATCTCCTCTTACTCTGACATCCTGTACCCCTCCCCCTGGTATTGGGCCGGCAAAGTGCCCTACACAGAGTCCGACGACATGCCCTGGGCGCAAAAGGAAGACAAGTTCTGGTGGCGCGGCTCTACGACCGGCGGATTCAGCAGAGACGGCGGCTGGAGACGCCAACACCGTCAACACGTGGTGCAAAAAGTAAATGCAGGCGACCAAGCCAAGATTCTCGTTAATAACGGGCAAGGAAACGAGGAACACTGGGAGGTGAAATCACTGCCCCGCAGCGAATTCAAGGAGATCATGGATATTTCGTTCTCGCACGTCGGGCAATGCGACCAAGGTGACTGCGATGCACAGCGTGAATTCTTCGATATCAAGAAAAACGCCAAGCAAACCGAAGCATGGAGTTACAAATACCTGCTCGACATGGATGGGAATGCATTCAGCGGCAGATTCTACGCTTTTCTAAAGAGCAGGAGCTTGGTGTACAAGCTTGCTGTGTTCAGGGAGTGGCATAATGAGTGGTTGAGACCGTGGGTCCATTTTGTACCGCTGAGCTTGAGAGGTGATGAGTGGGTGGAGGCTGTGCGGTGGTTTGCGGGGGAGCCATCGGGGAAGAAGGAGGCTGAGAGATTGGCATTACAGGGCCGGGAGTGGGCGGATAAGGTGTTGAGGAATGAGGACTTGGAAGTGTGGTTTTTCCGACTACTGCTTGAGTATGACCCCTCCGCTACCTCCCTTGCTTTCCTAAATCATCTTAGCTAACTAATTGGCAAATAGATACGGCAGATTGATCGATGACGATAGGGAGATTATAGGCTATACAACGCCCTCTCTTTCCACATCTAAATCCACACCAGCGGTATAACTAATCAAGGAGGGGGGTATTTCCTTCATTGTACAGTAATTCAAATGATTGCATGACATGGTATGGCATGGCCTCGTATGATATGGGGTACTTAAGGAACGGAGTTCTTTTTATTCGTATCTGTATGTATATGTATAATACCCATACGCTCTTAATATGAATAATTGCTTTTCTCTCTCTCCCTTCGTTCTTCTTTTCTTCTATTACTTTGTATGCCGAACGCGGTTTACAACTCTTTGACTGGCGCTTTCGGAAGGATAAAGAAGTGGCGTGTCAATGGCCGGTCTTGATATATTGCTGTGTCATTAGGAACAAAGAGCAAAGCAGTCAGCAAGACTTACAGCCAAAAGATAAACTTAATACTTGCCTTGATCCTTCGTCTCGATTATGTATATTATGATCATTCAACTTTAATCATCTCTGCACAAACGATTCAGATGGCTGAGACTTCGTATAAATCATAGGTAGGCAATACTAGCTCCATAGAAGAGCGTCTATTGCGCCTACTACACCTATCACCCAGAACGACATGCCTCCAGACCGTCCAATTATTCCAGATCCCGAAACCTCTCCCCTCTCTTCCAGGGTTGGGATATTTATGCAGACCCACGGCTTCAAACAGAAACGGTATTCCAACTCAGAAAGCCCAGAGTGACAGCGCAAGGTAAAATGGTATTGCCATGGTTGGCAGTGGCATAGCAAGCTTTAGCAGAGTACACATGGTGGAGTCCTTTGAGAAACCGCTCAATCCAACTTATAAAGTTTGCGCGGACAATCCTGGAGCCCAATTACAGTTAGAAAGCTAATTCAAAGCAATAGGAAAATCGTTGGAGGAGAAATATCAGGTGGAGGAACGATTACAGTTTTAGACGATCAATAATAAAAAGGCAACTAACCGTAACAGCAATCGCGTGGAACCTTTGATAGGATTCTGGACCATGAGACGCCAATATATGATAAGTCAAAACAGTCGAAAAGACGTGAGAGAAAAGGTATTTGTATTTTCTTCAAACAAAACTCCGCTTATCCATGCTTGCTTACTTATGCCCCACCTCCCAATGCAATGAACTGCAATCCCAATAAACACCCGCTAAACCATAATCCCAAAATTCTATTTATATACATACATCCACCTGACAACTATAGACAAACCTCGTCCCTTTTCATTCTACGCAAACAGCGCAACAACAAACGCCAATCCAACCACAGCAATAGTGCCAATCGAAGCCCGCGCAGGCTTCGAACCTGATGTCTTGGAACTCGAGGCCGGGGCGTTGGTCGCAGGTTGGGGAGGGATGGTGGGGGAGCCGGTGGCGGTGATTATGACGTTGCCGGTCACGGTTGCGTTGGTGTATGTTCCAGCGCCGTTGGGGATGATGTCTATGGAGGTTTGAATGGGGGCTGAGGGGGTTGTGGATGGCGCCGTCCAGTTTGAAGATGAGGATGAAGACGTGTTGCAGCGCGCGACTGTATATAAACCTGAACCTGCTGTAGCCTGTGAACTTGTGTTTGATGGTTTCGATATGTTGAAAGACCACATTGAAGGTTGCATAGGCCGTAGCGTCATGACGCTACGTGAGGCTGATGTTGAAGCAGAGGTCCTTGTACTTGAAGCAGATGTGGTTGGCGCGTCTGTATATATTCTGAAGTTGGGGTTCGTTGCATTATTCGGGTTGTCTTGGGTCATGAGGAAACAATTCTGTAATCGAGTTGCGCTCGCGCTATCGTAGAAGTAACAATGCGAGTAGCAATCTCCTTCTGGTGATGTGTAGGCCCCGGATACTTTGACACAACAGTTTTCGAACGAGGTGATGTCGGTGTTGGTAGCATTGTGGGAGAAAAGTGCGACGTTATGAAGCGAATTGGCCGGTATACTCGAGAATGGTACACAGCTTGTCATATTGACGACTTTCTGAACTGACAGCTGGAGTTTAGTTATAGGATTGTCCTTGCAGTATCTCGTCGGGTGCAATGTGTGAAGGAGAGCTCGAGGTTTGCAATGTGAAAATGCAAGAAAAGCCATGAACAGGCCATCGTTCGGTTATTAAATCCCAGAGCATTGCTTCCTATTCCTTTCCACTAAATAAACACGTAAGATTGACCGTCATGAGATTTCTATCCCAGCGTGAGGTGGATTGCCACGCCTGTGCCTTCGAGCCCTTATCAGCCTCAAAGCCTCATGTGGTGGCTGATGAAGACCAATCACAAGCATTTGTAGGATCAATATGACTGGACCGAATCCACAACCGACTGACATTGGGAGGCTTAGTCGACGTTGGTTGGTTAGTTTGGTGGCTTTGAAACGTGTAGGATTGGTCCAAGGATCTTTTTCGGGATTGCATGAGCCAGAGGTCTGGCCTGGGCTTCCCCGCGCCTTTTCAGAGCTGTTGCACAGCAAAAAAAGAAACGCCCCATCGTGAATCATGAATGAATTTGATAATTGCTAGTTTGCGCAATCTCTTGATAATAGCAAGTATGTTCTGACAACTGACAATTGAAGAAGCAGTGCAGAAAGAGGTTACCGCTAGATACTATCTTGGATTCAGTCATGTCTTGGAACGTATAAGGAAAGAATAATATTCTACTCCACGTGGGACTGTATGTTCAAGATCTACTTCCATTGTGATACAGTGGCATTCAAGCCCGGCGTTCTTAGGCCGCCGAAGAAAGATATGACAATTCGACACGATTTCAGGAAGATACATCTTTCTTATCCCTCTTTTCTATTGCTCTCAAACTCGTGAGCAACTTCATATCTTGTTTCTTTCAAAAGGTGCCTTGCGGTGGAGACGGAAATTGCATGATAGTTTCCTCGCTGGACTCCATGCTCGCATACCCCCTGGAAATCACTTATGATCTGGTCTTGGACCTGCGATCATGTCCCTTCAATGTTCTACTTCCTTTAGAGTAGTCGTTTTGCACTTCGTAAGAAGTGTTATGCTTGGGTCGCACGAAGAGGGGGCGCAGGGCAGGAACTGAAGATGTGATCATCACGGTGCGGTTTTCGACGCTGTTGGTCTTACGTTAGTTGGATGGCGGAGGAGAAAAAGGGGCCTGACTTATGTGCACCAGATGATGATTCAACGGTGTTATCTAAAGGCGAAGGTAAGTTGAGGCTTTGACGTCTCTCTCCTCTCCCCTTCTGCCTATCTCCCCCTTCTACCTTGCTCTCCAGGGCGCAATCGTACCTCCTCTACTTCCCCTAAAGTGGCTGCGTAGCGCTAGCAGCTCCCGCCGCGGCCTTCTTTTACTCCTATTTATATATAGGCACGTCAGCTCGCACCTATATGGATAACGCCCCGGAGCTTGCACAGGGCCGCGGGGGATATATTAGAAGCACAAGCAGATGACTGTATGCCAGGTCTAGTAACTGGTGATTGGGTCATGAGGAGAGAAAGTGCTCGGCATAAGTCTGAGGTGTCCTGGTAGCTGTGTGGGGTTTCTTGTGGGGTAATCTACCAGCAACACCAAATCAAATACTCTCTTTCCATCCTTGTCATGCAGAGCATCAATCCACATTATACTCTTTAGAATATCTCGAACGGGCTCCCAGGTGGTTGTCCCAGTTCTCCGAAACGCCGCTCTCAGAAGTGGCATCAGCCACTGGTCATCTTCATCGGTAACGGCGGAGATAGCAGCAATGAATAGAATCCAAAGCCAAAGCTCGGGAGTTTGGTTAGAAGCACCAAGGCGCAAGACAGAATCGTGAAGCTGACGAGATAAATCGTGGTACCTCACCCGAACCCCTTCTGTCTGGAGGAAGACTGTTGTTGAGAAGGCTAGAATGGCGAGGTGGAGAGTTTCAAGAGAGCGATCTTTGCATATAAGGTGCATGAGACGGTATTCTATTGATATGAGTATCTCCTGATAGACTTCTGGATGAATCTTCTGGTCTGTTTGGAACGCAACATTTGCTGATATACAGAATTGGCGGAGATCCGTCCAGACCGCTGCGAGTCGTATATCATTATTCAGGTATGGGGTTTGAATAGCTAGAGCCAACTGATTCGGCTTTGTTGGAGGTAGATATGGTTGCCAGGATATATCCACGGAGAAAAATAAAGGCCTGGTGCCATTCATAAGAGCGATGACAAGGTCGGCTCTTCATAGAACAGCACAATTAGCATTTTTTATTTCGGAAAGCTGGCAGAATAACTATACCTGCAAACCTTGATCTGAAGTTGAGTATTCTCCTTGAGCATATGCAGACCACCCCTCATGGTCACCATCATATGAAGGCCAGCTATATGCTTCCTGGCTGCTTCATGATTCCCAAGAAGAATAGTCATCATGACAAGTGTGACAACGACAGCGATGGTGATATCTGAGGTTGCTGTCTTGGGATCCACCAATCTTCTCTGGAGCAGATGAAGAGTATTTGTCTCATGATTCATGCTTGCTAGAGAACTGCCTTGTCCCTTGACCCAATCGAAGTATGCTTGGGTGGTCCACAGCGTGGAATGAAGATACATAGGATCGGACTGCAGGTATTGGAACCATATGGATCCCCGATAATCGAACGCAAGGCACAATTCAATGGGATACATAGACTGCTTAATGACCGTACAAACTAGATGACCGTAAGTATACCGAAGATGAACACTGACTGGTTTGAAATCTGGGGAGGGGTTGTGTCTCGGAGCGGCATTCCTCAAACGTATAATGGAAATCGGAGATTCACGCACATACATTTAAAGATAAGGTCCAGCATATAAGGTTGCGTGTTATCGAAAGCAAAACGAGTGACAGTCAGATCCGAGCCATCGAACTGCGTCCGAACGAAAGTGATTTCGCTCCCATTCTGGATCAATTTAGGATCTGAGTCATTCTTGTCACGGTACCCATTGATCCAATTGCCTGGTTTCAAGCGGGAAACCATTGACTTCTGGTGACTTCTGCCGCGTTTAGCATGGCTTCTAATAAGTTTCCGTGTTGCTGTATCGTGCTTCTCGATCGAGTTACTGACGATGAAAGAACTGAATCTTCGACCTGGACAGAGCCATTAATACCAATAAATTAAAAGGACCGAGGGAGGATTAATGCTGTACCTCCTTCAGTAGCGGTCGAACTGGCCATGAGAATTGGACGGGAGTTGACAATGGAGTGTTAATCACGGTAGAAAGCGACCTTTAGACTAAACTAGGCATCATTATATTCGTCATGATATTGTCCCTAAGTCGTGTTCCAACAGCGATAAACACATGATACTGATAAAGACTATTGGAGATGTTCAGAGAGGATGATGCAGTGGAGGCGGGGCGGGGGCGGGGGTCATCCGGAAGACCAATCAAAGCCTTGTGCCAAGACCAAAATCGATTGCTGTTTTGGGCATGGTGCAACGGGTTTACACTTCCCCCCTTCTTTAATCTCTTGTCTCTTGAAGAAGCACTTGAAGAGTGATATCTCATGCTGCCCACTCGACCACGCGTCGAGGAAAGTCCTCATTAGTCCCAGCTCAGCAGCGTCTATCTTCTCCACTGGCTTCTTTTCCCTTCCCAATGCCGGGCTTTCAGGGTACGTGCAAGGGGAAGTATCCTCGCAGAAGTCTTGCCCTAGACCTATTTTGTACTTGCTCCTCCCTCAAGTTGTTTGAGGGCGTGGAATTACTATATAATAACTCGCATTCCCCTTCTTTACTTCTCACTAGACATCATCTCGTCTGAATCTTCATTCAACCCCGTCTTCGCTCACATCAATATACCCTCTCATTCAAAATCTCCCAGTTCATATTACCCCATACCTACAGCAACATGGCACCCTCAAAGTCTATCGAGATGCAACCTCTGCGAGAAGGACTCGGCACCATCTTTCTCCGGTCACAATTCTGCACTAAGCCTCAATGGCCACCAACTTCAACGGACTTGTCTGAGAAAGTGGCCATTGTCACTGGATCCAACATCGGGCTAGGTTTCTACTCATGCATCCATCTGCTTTCCTTCAAACTTTCCCATCTCATCCTAGCCGTACGCTCGGTCAAGAAAGGAGAGGACGCCGCCTCGAAGCTCCGGGCGCAGAACCCTAAAGCGAAGATCGAGGTTTGGGAGCTCGATATGGAATCCTATGATTCTGTTCAAGCTTTCACACGCCGTGTTGAGACAGACTTGACCAGGCTCGATATCGCCATCCTGAACGCGGGCATTGTGAATCAAGAATTCTCTCTGAACACCAAGACTGGCCACGAAGAGATCATCCAAGTCAATTACCTTTCGACCATGCTTCTAGCCGTCCTTCTCCTTCCAGCATTGAAGACCAAGTCACCCGTAGGGAGTCCAGGTCGTCTAACAATCGTCAATTCTGGTCTCGCATATGGTGCGAAATTTCCAAACCGGGATAGAAACCCACTGCTTCCATCATTCGACGATACGACGCTATTCCCATGGGACGCGAACGAGCGATATTCTTGCTCCAAGCTAATGTGTCAGTTATTCTTTGTGAAGATGATGACCTATATTGAGGCCGACAGTGTGATTGTTAACCTGGTAGATCCCGGCCTTTGTAAAGGATCTGGCCTGCATCGCAACGTGAAGGGTATCGTCAGCGGGGCGATGGCACTTATGAAAAGTGCCAGTGGTCGAACTTTGGCCGAGGGCTCTTCTACGTACGTTGATGCTGCGGTTGTTAAGGGCAAAGAATCACATGGCTGTTTTGTTTTCGACTGGAACATTATGCCGTAAGTTCACCCTGCTACGGGCGACATCTCGATGATTTGAACTTGTGAATACTGACTGAATGCTTTGCTCTGCTAGTTTCCCGAATATGGTCTACGACTCTGAAAGTCAGGCTGTTATCGACAAACTTTGGATCGAGACATTGAAGGAGTTTGAGTTTGCAGGCGTTCAAAGTATCTTGCAGAACCTGTAGAAGGTCTGAAACTGTATATATTATAGCAGACTAACGTTCTATACTGGAGAATTTTATATCTCCAAGTCTCAGTCGTCTTAAATGTTTCCTGAACGGCATGAAAAGCAGGTGGGGTAGTCATTGATGGGATGAACTTCTATCGGAGGCCCTGCCGCTTAGCAACTCCCTTTCCCCTTTTTAAACAAGCCGAGATGATAGACCCAAGAGATTCTTTTTACCAGTTGTGGTTTGCAAATTAAAATAGGCACGGCATACCGCATCTTTCAATAAACCATGGTATATTAAGTATCAGCTCCTTTATATATGCTATTGAATCCCATGCCCGAAACCAGGTGAAAGATTCTCTGTCACTATTCATTTCCTAAACGCAAAACAACGCCAATGGCAGATGATTTCTACAGTACACTAAATGTCCCGCATGCAGTCATTTCGCAATAAAAACCCCCACATAAGACATGAAGTTACGCTAACACGGTTAGATCCATCCTTTCCATATACAAAAGGTCAAGGTCTCGATCGAGGCCAATGGGGGAAGATCTTCCAAAGAGGTCGGTGGGAAAATGGTACAGGAGAAACGAAGAGGTCATTATAGCTGGGGTGGGTTGTTGCCCCAGGAAGAGGGGTTTATGAGGTTATTTGTGTAAAGCTTATGCTCAAGCACCATCCATCTCTCCATCCGTGAGGTCGTTGGCTTCCTCGATTGGATAATCAATTTTCTCTTGTTGTGCGATGGCTTGTGCAGAGACGATCTCGGCTAAACGTTTCAGACGGGGAGTTTGCAGCCCTAAATATTGTCAGTAATTGAATGAAGGGCCTCGAGGGTCGAAACTCACATGATGGTGTGTATGTCTCCAATGCGGTAATGACACGGGGTTCGGCGATTTCATAGGGGCCACTGTCATCCATATCTACTGCTGTAAGAAGGAGCACGTCGCTTTTCTCTGTGACACGGGACGCGACAGCTTTCATGATTTCACCATTGATAGGCTGTTCATAATCTGCGACGAGATACTGGTTGAGAAGCTTTTGGATTTGATTTGGCGACAACCTATAGATTCGTCAGCATTCAGCGCAAGAAAGAAGTGTGACTGAGACTTACATCCAACAGATATCCTGGATAATCTCGATGTCATTAAGAGTCGCTTTCTTGAGTTGGAGCAGCTTAGTTGCTTGCTTTGAAAGGGTTAGCTATGTTGTTTACTGATTATTGGGTGAAGATCGACTTACCATCAGATGCTCAAGTTGCAAAGTCCCTTCCGGCATGTCATGGCTCTTGCACCACTCTTCGATACGGGTGATGTTGTAATTGATTTGAAGACCCCGCTTCCAGGACAGGAAATTGCGGCGCATCAAGAGATCGTTGAATGCAGTGACGCCCACCAATCTGAGCAACTCCGTCACGGTCTGTGTTATAATGGAATCCTCAAGGTAGTATGCTTTCATTGCCTTGAACACGTTGTTGAGTAAACTGAGAAGATTGTCCATGCTGAAAGCTGGAGCAGAATTGCTCTGGAGCAGCTTGCCTAAGAATCGATTGCTCTCGTTGGTGACAAACCCGGGGAGGGATTGTGACTCGATGATGGCGGGGATGATCATTTTCTGAAGTTTTTTCTTGAGGACCTTCATCCAAGTGTGATAAATGTTGAATTCCAAGCTCTCAAGGTCGTGCTTCACAATTTCGAGAAGACGATCATATTCGTAGTTGTCCGTTTTCTGAGCCTCGTACCAATCTTCCGCGAGGAACACAAATGACAGCATCTCATGGACGTTGGAGAGCCAGAAGGCACCCGGATTGATGGCCTCTTCACCATCGTGTTGCATTACTTCCTGCTGGATAGACTGCATCACATTTGCCAGGAATCGCTCCGATTCCTTCACAAATCCGTTGTTCCACATTTCAGAGGTGACCAGGTTAATCAAATAGGACGGGAATAGCACCTCCTTGTCTGTGGGTGGCGGTGTAGTTGATGGGGTCGGGATTTTGAGATTTCTGATCAGTCCCATGGTCACTTCGTCGTTCAGACCATCTTCGTCAGCCAGGAGATTCTCCAATTCGAACTCAACATTGTCAACACCCGGGACGAAAGTAGAACCCGAAAGAGCTTGGCGCTGCAAGTTGCTTCCTGTGACTGCCATGGAAACCGGACGAGGGTTGTAAGCCGCGCTGACACGGTCAATATCGCGGGGTTCGGCGCCTGCGCTACGTCGCTTCGGCTTCTTCGATGATACCAAATTGATGAGGCCAATGGATGGTTGTTGGACAGCAGCACCGTTGGTGAGCTCTCCATTCATTGGCATGATTGGCACTGCCCGCTTGGCTGTCTCAAGCAGGTCTTGCATTTCAGTCAACTGCTGTCGGAGAGACAGCTTCTCAGCCTCGTGATCGACGTTCGCTTTCTTCATAGCTTCGAGTTCAGAACTCGAGATTCTCAGATTCTCCCGCAACTCTCTCTCCTCTTCTTGCAAACGTTTTATGTTGACCGCCGACTCGTCAAAGCTTTGCTGAACCTTCTTCATTTCCTCTTCCATAGCGGAAAGACGGGCTGCAGTGATACCAGCCTGATTCGCCTCGGTCTGCAACTCCTTGGATCGGGTCTCTAACGCATTGTGCCTATTCTTCCAAGACTTGATCTGGTTCTCGAAGTTCTCCACCTGACTCTGGAGAGCCTTGTTCTCCCGCTTCATGGTACCAAGAGATTGCGTTAATTCGACAACCTTGTTTTCTAACTTGTAAGATATCTGCTTCAAGTCACGAGCTTCCTCGCGGACCTTCTTGTACCCTCGCCTTGCCGATTTCCCCCTCCACAAGCTTTGGATGATGACGACCTTGCGTCTGTACGCCCTCCAGCTCTTCATCTGTCGCCTGGATCGCCAGCTTCGCTGGATCAGAACTGCAGCTTCTCCGAGGCGAGTATTCATAATTTCTCTTCGGCGCAAGAATCCCTTGGCAGCAGCTTGTGCGAGAACGACGTTATTGCGGATAGCAGTGAAACTCTTCCGCTGTTTCTGGCCACGCCATACTCTTTGAATTGTAGTCGCGGCCTTGATTGTCCGGGCTTCTTGAGCATTTTGCCGGGCAAGGTGAGCTCTGGTGACTGACTGGAATAGTAGAATAGCATCCCGCGCCTCAAGGTACTTGCGACGATAGTACTTCGCCTTGAGGTTTTTCTGGATCATGATGGCACAGTCATTCAAACGTGTTGTTCGTAGGTTTTCCAGGAAAGCTAGCATTCCTGCTCGGAAGAAGATTTTTGTCAATCCGAGTTGATACTTGTCCAAGCCCTTGCCGTTACTTGTCCCGAATGCTTTCACCAAAATCTTGTTGGCCATATCTCGGATTTCTGATGTCCATGCAGATGAAGGCACAAGCATGTAATATCGCAGCGCAAACTCCTCATATGTCCATCTCGTAGGATACCCAGCACAACTAATTCTGACGGTCTCGAGTACACCACACGCCCGAAGCTGGCTCAGCACCATAGGCCCTTCGAAAACCCACGACTCTTTGCTTTCATTGGGTTTGAGGCATCGAATATAGTGTACATCGGTATTATTGATAGTGTGCATGAGCTCAATCAGTGATGACTTGAAGATGCCACCCAGAGTTGGTTTGCGGTTCACAGCAACTCCTATTCGTCGCCCCGCAACAGGCTTCACGGCAGCCGAGGAGGCAGAGGCGGTGTCCTTTTCGCGAACCGCAGATGCCGCATCCAATACCTGTCCCAAGAACTTGTTCGATGAAGCCCTCAGCACCGCCATGTGTTCATCGGGAACTGTATCTCGGTTTTTGTCAATAAAACCATCGGATTCATAAGTAACATCAATGGCGTAATGGCAAACAGTGAAAGAGGATTTGCCGAATCGAGGCTTCTTGTAAAACTTGTTTTTGTCGGCGGCATAATTGTGATGCAGTTTTGTGACGAATTGTTCATCAGAACCCATGGGCAATCTGGATTCCTCGTCAAGTAGGGAAAGAATGCCCAGTTTCCCTTCAATCAGATCTATACAGGGTTGATTGTCTGAGAAATCGATGAACTCCCATTGAATCTGCTCCTTCACGTATTCCTCTTGCTCCAACTTGAACACGTGGGCATTGAACTCTTGCTGTAGTTTCTCGTTGGCATAGTTGATACAGAATTGCTCGAATGAGTTCTTTGCGAAATGCTCGAAGCCGTAAATGTCCAGAACACCGATGAAAGATGACACTCGAGCAAGAACTTCGTCGGTGGCTAACGCTTTATTGATGTTCTCAACCAACCAATCGAAAAGGCTGGAGTAGACAAATTTTGCGACCGAGTCTCTGACTACAAGCGCTTGTTGCTGGGTCAAATTTGATGTAATTTTCTCCCCTCTTGTGATCAGCTGCTTCTTGACCGTCCATTTGGAGAACTCCACCGGGTCTACCCCGAGAATTGCCGCGGCTTTCTCCAAATTAGGTTCTGTCGACGCGAGCACAGAATCTGTCCTTGAAGCTGTGATTTTGACATTTCCAAGATGCAACAACGCTGCAAGAAGTTTGAAAATTTCCTGTTGTTGACTATCGTAAACCCCAATAGTTGCTAACGACTGTTTCAAGGCTTCAAATTCAGCCTTGTCATCGACACTATCGATTGATGGCGAGCTTCCTTGGTTCAGATAGTCGAATTGTTCGACGGGTAAAAGATCAAGAGCCTGGCGTTGGCTTTCTGTTGCGCCTGCTACCAGTTGGTAGAAGATGTGGTAATTCCGCTCCTTCAATGGTTGGAAGACAAGTCTTGAACGCTCAAGCAAGTACGTCCGAATCTTGGCCCCAATAATGTTCGTCGTCTTGTCGAACATGATCTCAATATATTTTCCAAATCTAGACGAGTTATCATTTCTTGTCGTTTTTGCGTTACCAAATGCTTCCATAATGGGATTTGTGGCAAGAATTCGCTCCTCTGTCTCACTCATTGCCTCGGCTCCACGTTTTGTTTTTGTCCCTGGCTGATCTGGTGATTCCCGTGTAGCAAAATATCGCATTATATACTTGGCACTGACTGTCTTCCCGGCTCCGGACTCCCCTGATACAACGATTGTCTGGTTATTCTGGCTCCGCAGCATATCACTGTCTGATCAGAATATGCTCCTAACATCTGCAAAGTGCACTTACGCGAACGCTTCTTCTGCAATAGCAAAGAGATGGGGAGCCTGGGTCGCTCTTTGTTTCCCCGCATATACCTGCACCATACCGGGGACATATAGGGAGTCTACTCGGGCAAACGGATTGGTGGCGATGAGGACAATTCCACTGTAGGTGTATATTTCTTTCTGGGAATACCGTAGCTTGATAGCTTGCAGGACTGTATGTTTCCATCAGTATACCATCCACTAGCACACCACACTAAGTATAGAAGTATAGAGCATACCGGCTGGCTCATTGAGATGAGATAAATTGGTCAAGTCATCGCTGGCTTCAAGCATCGTAGGATTCATTAGGGGGGGCAGGCTGGAATTGTCATCAGACGCGAGTGCTTCTACCGTTGTCTCTATCTTCTTGGTCTGCAGCAACATCCAAAGTCAACACTAATCGGTCTATGAGGGTGCGTTTGAATGACTTACCTCCCCGTTTGCAAGATCGAAGACGAGCATGACTTTGTCGCCATCCACCGTTTTGCTGGTAACTTCGGATGCAACCCATCCCTCTGTGACATCTGGCTGCCAGGCCTTGGTGCCGACATCATAATTGTGCGCCATCGAGGCGGTGCCGACAGACTGACGAGGTCCTCTTCTCAAGGTCCTTTGATGGGCAAACCGGTCTGGATCTGGATATGGGAGCTGCAGCGTGCATCAACAAGAACAAGATGTGAGACGGAGCACGAGGCCGGAACGAATGGCTGGAAAGAGGCAAGAGGCCACGGCACAGGGTCGAGGGTATTATAGGTTGTGGGGGACCGGATTCATCTGCGTCCTGCGAGGAAGAAGAAGTAGAAGAAGAGGTCAAATCGGATCAGATTGGGTTGTGTTGAGTTGAGTTGAGGTCTGCGAGTCTCTCTCATCTTTGGACTTTTCTTGCCAGCCAGCTCGCGTTCGCGGTGCATGGACATGGATTAATAGCGCTAATTACCGGGCTAAGCCGTAACGGTAACAACCCCTTTTCTCAACCAGCCACCGTACTACTACCGTACCTTTATAAGGGCCTAATCATCTATTTCTGGACGTTGCAGACTGTGGGCGTCACGCTTCTTGATGTGTCGTTATATCGAAGAACTATAAAAACAATATCGTTTACTTTGAATCACGGTCACTATATAAGCCACAACAGGCAACTTACATGTGACTGAATCTGGAGTCCGGAATATTTCTTCATTTACTTTGGGGTCAAGCTTCACCGAAATTGGCCGTGACGGGAGCAACCGAGAAAGGGTTTCAGGTGAGGTGAGGCACCATTTAAGTAAAATAGGTCATCTGTCGAGATTTGCGTTGCTCATTTATATTTCCCATAAAGTCTCTATTTTTCATGTTGAAGGCATATTATTATTGATCATATTCGCCGAATTGCTTTTTTGTTGAACCGATCCATATGATTTCCTTCCTGGAAATCCCCGCCAAAACCACCCCAAAACTCTCAAAACTTGATTCAGTAAAGCACTCTTGTTAAAATGCGAGCTATATTGAAGTTAGTCTGCTTCAACATATAGCTACAGAATTTGCTACTTACAGCTCAAGGATTCTAGGCTATCGGAGATGTCTTTGATCTCGCTGGACTGAACATTGCTAATATCAGCCATGAGGTAGGCAACATCTCCTTTATTATCAGTAATTTGTTTGTCAACATTGTGGTCGCCGAGGATCTCGTTGACTGCTTCAAGTTAGCATTGTGGTGATAGAGGGCGGGAGGAATAAACATACCCCTTCTCAGCACACCAGGAACATTGTGATGGATGTAAATGACCTATGCCCATCAGCCACATGACGCAGGTCGGAGTCAGAAGAACATACCCGGACATGATTGGGCTCGTCCAGCGTCAATGAACGCAGATTGACTTCTGGGAGATTTACCGCTCCAAGAGTCACACCGAGGTTAACGTATCTGACCAAGGCCTCCCCGACTACTCTACGATTAGCCAGAATTTAGCAATTCGAAAGAGCAACCAACCTTCAGCACCAATGGCTCTCTGGGCCTCCTCTGTGCTGCCTCCGATATGTGGCGTAAGAATGATATTCTTCAGACTGCGGAGATCCTCTGCCCAGTCATTCAGGCTGTTGGTAAAATAGTCACCATTTCCACCGGGTTCATTGGGGTATACGTCTAGAGCTGCGCCAGCAATTTTGCCATTGCGGGAAGCATTAATAAGGGCAGGTATGTCGACTATAGTGCCACGGCTAGCATTGATTAAGTAGCTTCCCGCTTTCATCTGTTCGAATTGGGGGGCTCCAATCATGTTTTTTGTTTCAGCTAATTCAGGAACATGGCATGTTACGAAGTCGGCGTTGTTGAGGAGCTCGTTGAGGGTTGCAACTTGTCTCGCAGTCCCCAGTGCCATCAAATTCACAACGTCGTAGTAGATTACTGACAGGCCCATTGCCTCCGCAAGGACAGACAGCTGTGATCCGATGTGGCCATAACCGATTATACCTGGCCACAATGTTAACAAACGCCGCAAGGTGTACGAGGCATCGACAGACCAAGAGTCTTTCCACGGATCTCCCAGCACTTGGAGCTGACTTTGTTCCATGTGCCCTTGTGCAACTCATTAGAGCGATCCCCCAATTGACGAGCCAGGACAATGATTTCACCAATGACCAGCTCTGCAACACTTCTAGAATTGGCAAAGGGGCTGTTGAAGACAGCAATACCATGCCTCGCGGCATACTCGAGGTCGACTTGGTTAGTCCCAATACAGAAACAACCAACAACAATGAGATTTTTGGCCGCACGAAGGACCTTCTCATTAAGCTTGGTCTTTGATCTAATACCAATAACGTGAACATCGCTGCAGTAGTGGAAGAATTAGTTAGCCAGGCAGCCTGCAGGCGGAGAGGGGTTGAAGAGGGGTTGCGGGGTTGGAGTTGCCCCACCGAATCTTTTCAATCAATTGATCTTCTGGCAACGACGACTTTACAGCTTCGACCTGGTAACCTTGCGCGGCCAAGATGTCCTTGCCACTCTGGTTCACGTTTTCCAACAGCAGGATCTTGATGTCTTGTGTAGCAAAGGGCTTCAATTGTTTCGTTGCCGCAGTCATGGCCCGGGTGAGGTTCGGGGTGCCAAAACTGGCCGGGGGGCTGTAGAATGTGGCCGATGGGGAAGTCGAAACCGCGATGCTGTGGGCGACTGTGCTATCTAGTCTACTGGGAGAAGGCGCAATGTCTTTGGCAGGAGTTGGAGCGGCCATTTGTGCTCAGATTGTTGCGTGGATTTGCTATGATGGGATGGTTGGGGGATATGTTGCGAGTGAGTCAAAGATCCACCAGGAAAAGTTTTGTATGATGGCGTTAATCAGCCAGCCTTGCGCTCAGCCTTGCACCTACACTTGTTCAGCTGACTCGACAGCTTTTCAACCCCCCGAAATTCTAACTGAACTTGACCTTCTACAAGCTTTGGGACTTCCTGTCCTACAGTCACAACATGTTTATAAGGAGGGTACTGCACAATCACGTTGAAGCGAGGCGTCGTAATCTTCGGTCAACTTTTTGTTTAACATCTACGGAGAACGCCTTTTGCGATATTTGCTTGTATGAAGTTGATGCAGTACAACACGTAAAGGAGAGCTGGCTCCGGGAAGCGGATTAGTCTAGGAGTGACGAGAAAAGCAGCCTGTCATGCGTTGTTGAAGCTCCAATGCAATTGCCACAACCCGCCTAAATCCACAGCTATACAAGCTGGCGTTTTCTGATAGCCTATGCTATGGAGTCCACTGTAGGACAATAATCAATAAATCAAAAGTGCTCAACGATCAATTAGCTCTGCTTGCATTCGGCGGCCTCCTGCTTGGGCTTTGCGGCATCATCCTAATTTTGTCAGTCTTGTCATAGAGAAAGAAGGGGGGTTTGCGAATTCTTACATCCTCCTCAGACTCATCCTCATCATCATGATCCTCGCTCTCATCATCTTCCTCATCATCTTCATCCTCGAAATCTCCCTCTTCCATATCTTCGTCCAGTTCCTCAAATTGAAGAGCTTCACCTGTGAACCAGTCGATAGCACGTGGGATGAGCTTCTCCTTGATGTCTTCACCCAACTGGTAGTCGAGCTCAAGACGCTCCTCGATATCGGTGGCAGCATCGTCATCGTCATCATCCGTTGGTGCCTTAGGTGGCGAGAAAAAGTTGAAGAATGACTCTGTTGGTACAGTCTTCTTAACTACGCGGGTTTGCTTTGTGTCTATAGCGTCGTCAATGGCGGTCCTAGATACGAAAGGAACGCTTGTACTTACTCTTATTGCGTTGCTTCTTGCTCTCGACACGCACAGTCAGATCCTTCCCAGCCTTCCAGTCAATCTTGTCACCTTCGGCGTGATCGTAAATGAAGTCTCCTCCATACCCGCTCTCATTTTGATAGAAGTAAGTCTTGGTGATGGTCTTGTTGGTGAAAAATTCATTGTCGGCGAACTGGAAGATCAAACGGAAGCCAGGTTTGTCGAGATACTCCATTTGGACGTCGACCAAGTCCTTGAGGACAGCCTCATCTCTGTCTGTAATCATCTCGGCAAGAGAAACCTGGTTCTTCATGGCGGACAACCAGAACTCGGGGATACCCTTGACATTCTCCGCAGTCTCCTCTGGTTTTACACTCGGTTCAGCCTCACTTGGCTCATCATCATCCTCCTCCTCGCCAGCCTTGATCTCCTCATCCGTAGGCTCAGTTGAACCGTTGACTATCTGGGCTCGCTTTTGGTACAGCGGGGTGAATTTCGCAAAGTATTTCTTCTCCAACTCCAAAACTTCTTCCTGGAATTCCGCCTCGAGTTTCGAGTGTTCTTTTTGGACGCCCTTGAGGCCAGCGACGCGACGGCGGACAGGTGCGGGAAGGGACTCAACGTATCCTGACGAGCGACCAACAAGCGAGCCGAGCTTGCCCTGAATCATCTGAACGAGCTTTGGGTTTTGTGCAAATATGGAGGCGGCAGCAGCACGGTCAAACTCCTCTGTGGGTGGATTAGAGATGATTGAGAAGAAGTCAAGAAATCTCGGTGAGGGGCAAATGTGAAAAGCATACCTTCTTTGATGGTGGCAACACCGGGCTGTTGAGCATGGGAAGAGATAGGGGCATTGTTGGCCGGGGTGTTTTGAGGAGTGCTGTTCTCCATAGTCAGTTTGGATTGCCTCTGTGTGTGTGTGGATGGGGTGGGTGGTTGACATACGGGGCGGTTTGGAGGTTTTGCTTCTTGGGTATTTCCGACATGGCGAATATTTTAGACAAGGAATAACCTTGTGGTGTATAGGTTTGCGTAGATAGATGCCTTCAAGAAAAGAGGCCTCGGTGTCTGTTGTTATCTCGCTGGTTCGTTGGCTTGGCTGAGTTCTTTCGTTTGCGTCAAACAAGATGCGATCTGGGTAAAGGGAAGGGAGTTGACAAAAGGGATTTCGACGTGGATTCGTTGAGAATTGCAGCTTTAGACTGTAATCGTCCACTTAGCGTAGCGCGATCACGTGGTAGGTATATGATAAGGTAGGTAGCGGTGGACACTGGACTGGACTGGTAGCGGCGGGTTCCATCGCTTGGAAAAGCTTTAAGCCGGAGCCGGACTTGAAGCATTGGTGGGTGGTGGTGATCCATCAAATCCAGATTGGTATCCTCAAGTGCAGCACATGTATACATGCATTTCTCTTGTATGACAGTACCTATGTTTATCCTATGACAAGAATACCACCATGACCATTACAGTACTTACGCCTCTTCCTCACCTCTTAGACATGAACCCTTGACAGGCGTGTCGCTTTGGAGAATTTTTATCATGGACAATACCGATACCAGTACCAATGGAATCCCCATACATACGGCGCGTCGTCGGAGCACTTCACGAGCAAACGCTCGCCCCAGCCAGGATGGGTCTCATCGCCCTATGTATAGGCGGGATTCCAATATTTCCACGTACAGTTTTCTTGACGAGGTCGAGATGGCACAGGATGAGATGTTCTCGGGCCCCATGGGCGAGAGTGTCCCGACCAGCGTCTCATCCTTCGCGCATCGTCGAGGGAGAGCAGACTCGACTACAAGCTTCACATATTACCAGGAGGATGAGGAACAGGAACTCTCCCAGTCTGCCGAAGAAGACAGTGCAATATTGGATGACGAGTCAGAGTTGGATTTCGAAGAGGATGGATCTGTCGACCTCGAAACTGGCAATGTAGAGATGAGGAGGACATCCTCCGGGCATTCGAGAGCCTCTGTGCATGATCGCCTCCTGCGAAGTGACAGTGCAAGGACAGATGGAAGTAATCTCGAGCGCGGCCATCGTACAAGCCAGAAGATATATATTGTCACGGAAGACTTGACTATCGTGGTTGCTGGGTTTCGAACATCGACGCTGGGGTTTGCTGTGTACACAACGATTTGTGTACTTACGCTTGGTCTTGGGTATCTGCTCTTTCGTTGGCTACCTCGGTGGCAAGTGCGCATTATTGGCACACCCTGCTCTTTGGGTTCTTGCAATTGGATAGTAATTGAGGTTAGTAACCAGACCAGCAATTGCCTTGATATGCAGAGCATTCCAGTCTTATTCTTTCCTCTCCTACCTACTATTTCTTAGGACAGTACTGATTCAGATAGAATCAATGGGGGGAATTTGTCGTTCAAGAGGTAGAATCGAAAGAATATGGCCGTTCATTGTCAACTGTCTTCGGATTGTCTGAAAAGAAGTATGCTCTTTCATATGACGAGGATGATGATCCAGTCCTTGAGGACCTTCGAATTCTTGACTATCGATATCTGCGCTTTTCATACCACCCCTTGAAAGATAAATTCGTCCTTACCAATAGCTGGAAAGACCCAGCTTGGACAGATGTGAAATCCATTCGCGCTGGTATAGATGGAGACGAGAAAGCAAATCGAGAGCTTGTCTTTGGCAAAAACTTAATTGATATCAAACAAAAGACGATTCCCCAGCTCCTTCTTGACGAGGTGGGTGACTTAAGTCCCGATGGTCTTTCTCTTTGCTCACATGTGTAGGCATTCCATCCTTTTTACGTATTCCAGATTGCCAGTCTGATCCTCTGGTCTCTCGATCAATACTATTACTATGCAGCCTGTATATTTCTCATATCAGCTGTGAGCATTATCACCACTCTCATAGAGACACGCGCTGTTCGTACCCCCCTTCCGTAGCCCACGAGTTTCAAGAGCTAATTAGACGGTATCTTAGACAATGAAAAGACTCCGTGAGATATCGAGGTTTGAATGTGACATTCGTGTTCTGCGCAATTCATTCTGTGAGTTTTAAGATGCCGACACACAATTCCGATTCTGACCACACAGGGCGTTACGTTCCTTCCAGCGAACTTGTCCCAGGAGACGTCTATGAAGTCACAGATCCTTCTTTGACCCAATTTCCTTGTGACAGTATACTCCTGGCTGGCGATTGCATAGTGAATGAAAGCATGCTTACAGGTAATAACTTCTCATGAATAGTGGGGTTAAGTTCTGACTGGTCTAGGCGAGTCTGTACCTGTTTCGAAAGTGCCAGCCAACGATGATTCTTTACGGCTTCTCGATCTGGCCGCCTCTTCAATGGCACCCGAACTGTCAAGACATTTCTTATTCTGTGGGACCAAGATAGTCCGTGCAAGACGCCCTCAAGACGACAAAGATGACGAGGCTGTTGCCCTCGCTATGACTGTGAGAACCGGCTTCAACACAACAAAAGGCGCGCTAGTTCGATCAATGCTTTTCCCTAAACCATCTGGCTTCAAATTTTACAGGGATTCCTTCCGGTATATATCAGTCATGGGAGGAATTGCAATGCTTGGCTTCTTAGCTTCTTTCGTCAACTTCGTGAGGCTGGAGCTTGCATGGCATTTGATTATAGTTCGAGCTCTGGACCTGATAACAATTGTAGTTCCACCAGCACTTCCGGCTACTCTAACCATTGGTACCAACTTTGCTCTTTCCCGCCTACGAAAGAAACAGATATTTTGCATCAGCCCCCAGCGAGTCAATGTTGGCGGTAAACTCGATATCGTTTGTTTCGACAAGACTGGGACACTTACTGAAGATGGGTTGGATGTACTTGGTGTACGAGTGGCGCAGCGGCCCTCTAATAGATTCAGCGATATCCTGTCAGATGCGCTATCGTTGCTTCCTGGTGCAGCCTATGAGCGCGATCCTACTGTCGAATATGACGCACATAAGGCCGCTCTATATACCATGGCAACCTGCCATTCTCTCAGAGTTGTTGATGGCGAACTTGTTGGTGATCCTTTAGATCTGAAAATGTTCAATTTCACAGGATGGTCATTCGAAGAAGGCGAGCAGAGAGCTGTCGATGAGGATGAGGAACAAGGAGGCTTATCGCCATCCATTGCAAGACCTCCGGCTGGGATGGAATACGATCTAGACGACAACGATGCCCAACAACATGCGAATGTAAGTTTGTCGACTTGTCGTCCCACTTACAGACTTTGACGTTCTATGTAGAGATCTCCAATTGAGCTTGGAGTCCTGAAATCCTTTGAATTCGTGTCTCAGCTTCGCAGGGCCAGCGTTATTGTTCGGAACTTCGGCTCTCCGGGCTGTGATATATACGTCAAGGGGGCACCTGAGTGTATGAAAGATATATGCAATGCGGAAAGCTGTAAGTCTTGTCCCTTCCTGTCGTAGACTTGAGCGAACGAACTGGAATCATAGCTTATGTTTTCTAGTTCCTGGTGATTATGAAGAACTTCTCGCGTACTATACTCATCGAGGATTTCGAGTCATCGCCTGTGCCACCAAGCACATCAAAAGGCTGAACTGGGTGAAAGTCCAGAAGATGAAGCGAGAAGAAGCTGAATCTGGCTTGGATTTCCTCGGCTTCATTGTATTTGAAAATAAACTGAAGCCGAGCACTGCTGGAGTCTTGGATGAACTTAGTGAAGCTGGCATTAGGAAAGTAATGTGCACAGGAGATAACATCCTGACCGCCATCAGTGTGGCAAGAGAGTGCAACCTCATTGACAAAAGCGCACATTGTTTCGTGCCACACTTTTCCGAAGGTAGGGTCTCACACAACAGTGTATCGTGATAAGGCTAATCTTTCCTAGGAAATTTCCAGGACCCACAAGCTAGACTTTCATGGGAGAGTATAGACAACAACATTTTCACGCTCGATGAGCGGACCCTTACGGTAAATCCTCCCATCTTTTTTCGATATTCCTCTGCTAATTATTTCAGCCACTCCCGCCGCCTGCAGATGGTGACGCATCTCTACCCTACGATATTTCCAATCTGAGGAATTATTCGTTGGCTGTCAGTGGCGATGTATTTCGCTGGATTGTCGATTACGCCCCTCCAGAAGTGTTGCAGCGGGTGAGTAATCCCGGTATAACTCGGCATGAGTAGTCACTAAATCTCCGATAGATGCTGGTTTGTGGGCAGGTGTTCGCTCGCATGTCGCCTGACGAGAAACATGAGTTGGTCGAAAAGCTTCAAAGCATCGATTACTGCTGCGGGTTTTGCGGTGATGGAGCTAACGACTGTGGGGCCTTGAAGGCTGCAGATGTTGGGATTTCACTCTCAGAAGCAGAAGCCTCCGTTGCGGCACCCTTTACGAGTCGAGTGTTTGATATTACTTGTGTTCCAGAGGTCATCCGGTAGGTTTCTTTTGGTACGGACCAATTGGCTACCGCTAAAACATCTTCCAGGGAAGGACGAGCCGCACTGGTCACAAGCTTCAGCTGCTTCAAATACATGAGTCTTTACTCGGCCATTCAGTTTACATCTGTCAGCTTCCTGTATGCATCCGCATCAAACCTGGGTGACTTTCAGGTACATATCCCACTCTTTTGTATACCTCCATCTACTCACGAATCACAGTTTCTCTTTATTGATCTACTCTTGATCCTTCCGATAGCTATTTTCAGTAAGACTGGTATTCCGACTTGGGATTTAAATCTAACGCATGCTAGTGGGGTGGACTGGTCCCTTTCCTGTTCTGTGTCGCAAACGACCAACCGCAAACCTGGTGTCAAGAAAAGTGTTGACTCCCCTACTGGGGCAGATCGCTATTTGCATCTTGATCCAGGCTGTGAGTTTCCAGGCCGTCCAGAGACAACCTTGGTAAGTAGTGTACGCTATATCACTGATCCTTGGGCGCTGATGTTCATAGGTTTATCCCACCTCACCTGGACCGAGAAAAATCCAATGTCGAGAATTCCGAGAACACCACATTATTCTTAGTTTCCTGCTACGAGTACATCCTATCGGGTATAGTCTTGAGTGTTGGACCACCGTTTCGCCGATCAATGGCACATAATCGTGAGTCGCTTGAAGACTGCATTTCCGAGTCGTCCCTGCTAAAACACGCCACAGTGCCATTCGTCGTTACCATCGTAGTGACGCTACTCTTTTCCTCGTACATGCTCTTCGATCCTTCGGAGTGGTTGTCGAACTTCATGCAGTTGACGGACTTGAGTTGGGATTTTAAGACCTTCATCCTCGCCCTCGGCTTTGGCTACATTGCAGTGGCATGGACGTCGGAGCATTACCTTTTACCACGGCTCGCCAAATACTTGGGCGCTCTTAAGACACGCTTTAGCAGGCAGCCGAAGAAGCGCAAAGAGTACAAAGTCATCCTCGAGGCGATGCGCAGCTTACAGTGATATAGTATATAGTACATGTAAATACAAATGTAAATGTAAACATAAATGTATATACGCAAATAGATGTTTGAAAAAGGGGCACATAATCTATAATATGCCAGGTAACGTGAGACCAAAAGTCAATAAGGGAATTCTATATCATGACGTAAGGACCAGGCAAGGAAGTAAGGTACCACGAGTCGCTACGGCTAACGAAAGCTTCCTAAAAAGATGATACATCGGACTACCTAGGTACCTTTTACCTTATTAGGTACCTACATCAACCCGTAAATTCATTGCTTTTCTGCAATCCCGATTGTAGCTTCTCAATAATAATAATCCATTCGAAAGAACTGTAACCGTCCGTGACTATGAATTACGGTACGCATTCCTCACATGACATGGCTCGAGTCCTACTAATAATGCAGATTGGATCCTCGATGGAGGCTACCTCCCCAGTCCCATTCTCCGCATTGGAATCCGGCGTCAGCTTCAAGACCGAATAGAAGCCATCAAGAGCACCTCACTGGAAGTTGCCTATGAGAAGAAAATGAAATATGTAGAGCTCCTCCGCAGCCGGCCTATTGCGATTGAAACCGCTGCTGCAAATGACCAGCATTATGAAGTTGGGACGGGCGTCCTGGCTGCTTGTCTGGGGCCGAGGATGAAGTATTCCTGCTGCTTGTATCCAAAAGGCGGGGAGACTTTGGCGCAGGCGGAGATTGCCATGCTAGAGACTTATGTGGAAAAGGCAGGATTGAAGGACGGAATGAGTATTCTGGATCTAGGGTGAGTTTGAAAACCTCCCTGACGTTCTTTGAAACATACTTACAACTGCAATTAAGATGCGGGTGGGGTTCAGGCGCTTTGTATTTTGCCGAAATACTTCCCCATTCCAATATCACAGCTTTCTCGAACTCGAGAACACAAAAACTTTACATAGATGAGAAGGCCAAGGAGAAGGGCCTCGAGAACCTGACGATCATCACTGGAAACGTGGTAGACTATGAATTTGAGAAGGAGAGCTTTGATCGCGTAGTTTCCATTGAGGTTAGTCGTATTATAATTTTACGAGAACGTGGTAACTTACTAACATCCTCTAGCTCTTCGAGCACATGAAGAACTATGAGCTCCTCATGGCTAAAGTTGGAAGAGCTCTCAAATCCTCTGGGAAGCTCTTTGTGCATATATTTGCCCACAAAACAACACCTTATGATTATGAAGAAGGCTGGATGACTACCCACTTCTTCTCGGGCGGCACGATGCCCTCTGCCGACTTGCTACATTTCTTCCAAAAGGACCTGAAGCTAGAAAAACAATGGTGGGTTTCTGGGAAGCATTATGCAAAGACCTGCGAGGTTTGTATTGGATCCTAATATATTTTTGTCTTTTGCTGACTTGTTCAGGACTGGCTGGCCAAAATGAATGCTAACAAGAAAGAAATATGGCCACATCTTGAAGAGACCTACGGAAAAGAGAACGCAGCGACGTGGTTCTATAGATGGCAAATATTCTACATGGCATGTGCTGAATTGTTTGCGTATGAAGGAGGCGACACATGGGGTATCACTCATTATCTGTTTGAGAAGCCTGCCTCGCCGTGAAGTTGTCGCCGAGGCAGTAGAGACAGGGCTTTTGATGCCATTGTAATCTGTCATGCCGAAATTTGTTGGCCCGAGAACTTGAGCGAGGGATAAAAAAGTCAAGTAGCGGATGTATCCTCATTTATTGATTCCAATATTGTCCCCATACAATCTTAGATAATTGACTCCTATATTGTTTTGGCCTTCCCTAGAAGAGGACCGCCAAGTATAACCCTTGATTTTGTTAAACACAAAAAGCAGCGCTTATCTTTATTGAGTTTTAATGTCCCACATCAGCTGGTGCTGCTTCTCCTGCCCACGGCGAGGGATCTTCTTTTTTGTAGAGACGGCCGTAAAATACTATGAGAGATAATATGCGCGGCTTAGCAGAAAATTATCTTCTTACTGCCCTTCGTAGTGGTATGACAATCACCTGAATCTTGCATGAGGTCTGTAATTGAGAAATGAATATTTGAGAGGCATAACTAATGCCAATTGTGTCCAGAAAGACCCAAAAGCGAAAAGATGCAGATTAGGGAGCTAAAGGCAGCAAGATATCGAAGGACAAACAAGTAAGAATGATTACTTGCCCATGTCTGGGATGGCCAGTGCCTTAGTAATAGGCAGTGAAAGAGCGTGGAAATCAATTGAACAGGAAGTAGCAGGAAACGTTGATCTAGGGGTGTTTTGTTGAATATCGTGGTTTTGTACAATCGGCATCCATTTGCGGCTCTCTTCATCCCCCAAACGCCAAGTACTTCAGCACTCCCATTTCGTTACCCGCCCAACCCCCATTTGCTTATTCCATCTTCTCTGCTTCAATGATCCCAGGGGTGTTTCAATCCGAGTAACGCGGCGCCTAGGGGTATGTTAGCTTTCGGCGGAGATCTCGGCGGGGCGGGGCGTTGTCCATACCATCTTGCTTCGCCCGGTACATCAACTGTAGATACGTCAGTACTGGATTACAGCCCTTTGAGAATATATATACTCACGAAAAACCACATGCTGGCGCCAAGTCCAGTGGCGGCGAACCGGTACAGTGGTCGGACTGGAGGAATCTGGACTGGGTGTCTGCCTGCCATTGTGCTTCCCTTGTTATTAGTAAGATGTAGAGAGCGGGTGCTGATATTCTTCTCACAGGAATAAAACCAAGTTTGATGCTCTTCCACAAGCTTGGTGATGGTACTTTTAAGTGAGCTGCGGGCAGATTGAGGTTGAGGTTGATCAGATCAGATTGTATTGTACGGATCATTTAAACGCCGCCCTCCGGCAAGCTAAACTACATTGAGGCTACTCCTACCTCCTACTCCAACTCTGCTGTACTACCTCTACCCTACTGTTCGTTGTTCTCGTGAAGCTGTCGAGACGAGAGAGTAGAGTATTCACAGCTTACAACCTCTTCCAAGGCTCCCTAGCAATTGTCTCTTTAAAACTGAGCTATATTGTGTCTAGGAAACAATGCTCAGGGCTTCCATTCCAAAGCAGCTGCTGCAACGCTGATTCCTCTAATCCGCCCTTTCGAAAGTCACTTCACCATCAACGTCAAGTCAACCTTCGGGCCTTTGTCGCATTATTGCGCCTCGACATATATTTTTTGGCGCAGCGTCGCGATACTCGATTCGAATTTGCGCTTCTCGACATGGCCACTCCCATACAGCACGCCAGCCCGCAGAGCAATGGAGTATCCCCTCGCGCTTTCGCAGCCCAGCATGCGCGCCTCCCAAACAACTTCCGTGGCTGCTCGAGGATCACCGACTATGATATCCTGGGGAAGTTGGGCGAAGGTACGTTTGGAGAGGTTCATCGGGCGAAGTCAAAGAAGACGGGCACAATAGTCGCACTGAAGAAGATCCTGATGCACAACGAGAAGGACGGATTTCCTATTACTGCCCTACGAGAGATTAAGCTCTTGAAGCTGCTGTCACATCCAAACGTTCTGAAGCTAGAGGAGATGGCCGTCGAACATCATTCCAAGAGCAGCACCGATAAGAGGAAACGTGCTATCATGTATATGGTCACTCCATATATGGACCATGATCTCTCTGGCCTGCTTGAGAATCCCAGCGTCAAGTTCACGGAACCTCAAATCAAATGCTACATGCTGCAACTCCTAGAAGGATTGCGGTACCTTCACGATAATAAGATCTTGCACAGAGATATGAAAGCGGCGAATCTTTTGATCAACAACAAGGGAATTCTACAGATTGCAGATTTCGGATTGGCACGACATTATGACGAGCCTGTTCCAGTAGCCGGTCACGGTGGAGGAGAAGCTCACAGAGATTATACAACCCTGGTGGTGACTCGATGGTATCGACCTCCCGAGCTATTATTACACCTAAGAAAGTATACAACAGCAATTGATCTATGGGGCGTTGGGTTTGTGATCTCGATCTTACTTGTTTTCATGCACCCACTAATTTATCGACTAGGTGCGTCTTTGGTGAAATGCTCGTTGGAAAACCAATACTTTCTGGTGACAGTGATCCAAATCAGCTCAAGATCATCTTCGACTTGGTTGGTACGCCCACAGAGGAGACCATGCCAGGATGGAAATCATTACCTGGTGCTGAAGGCTTGAGCTTTCCTACAAAACCCTCGACCCTCTGGCCGCGATTCAGCAGGTAAGTTGAATACATCAACCAAAACCCAAAACCTCAACTAATCACGCATAGTTACGGTTCTGGGGCCATCTCTCTACTTAGCGATTTGCTGAAGCTCGACTGGCGGAAGCGCGTTAATGCTATTGATGCATTAAAGCATCCATACTTCCACACCGCGCCTTTACCAGCAAGAGCCGGGGACCTACCAACGTTTGAAGACTCGCACGAGCTTGATCGTCGCAAGTTCAGAGGCCAAAAGGCTGCACCTCCTCCAGCGCCAAAAGGTGGTACCGTTGGCATGGGTCCAACAGGTGGCTGGGGAGAGCCTAATGGAAATGGCAATCCCGGTTTTGGACCTCCTAACGGGGGCTACGGTGGTTATCGTCAACACAACGGAAGTCGCTATCCTCAAAGCGGGTATCGAAATGGTGTCCCACCACCTCCTCCTCAAGAAGAGCGCAGACCTGCATGGAGAAGGGATGATGGCCGTCCATCAGGATTACCACCCAGACCACCGCCTGTGGATTATCATGATGGAAGATTAGATCGTCCAGATGGGTATAGATCTCGCTCACGAGAAATTGAGCGCCCACCGCAAAGAAATAGAGTGGGTGCACCGAACGTGGACACGTATATACCTAGTTATGGCCCAGACAGTGCCCGAAGAGACGATCGACGAAGACGGGATGACCGTGACGACCGTCGGCACCATGATAGAGGAGAGCGGGAGCGTGATCGAGGACTAGACTATGATGAAAGAAGTAGAAGTGCCATAACTCACAGCCGTAGCCGGAGTCCGATACGAGAGCGGGATAGGGTCAGGGAGCGAGAACCCTTGGAGAGAGAGAGGGACCGGGACCGGGATCGTGATCGAGAGCGGGATATTTATCGTAGGTGATAATTGAAAATACTAGTTAATGGCTTTCTTTTCAGCCGCCTCGCTGGGATGATTAATCTGTATGGTCTACAAGGGCGTTCAGGTGGTGCTTATGGCTGGAAGGCTAGCTTGTTTGACTGCGTATTTACTGCAGACATGGATATAGGCATAGGAAGATTGTGATGGAAAGATGCATTACAGATTAGCACAGATATAGCACCAGGTTATAAGCCAATATCATACAGCCATGAGTCTCCCCAACACTCCAAAATGCTGGCTCGTCGTGGATAAAAGAAAATGTGGGACATTATAAGCTGCCATATCGAGTGCCACTTTCTGTGTCCACCCCAAATCCTTGATCGCTACATCTAACTCCCCTCTTCACTCTGCAGTAAAGACGGGTCTCACAGTAAGTTGCCGCTCCATAAATAACTCCATTCTTCTGACTCTCATACTGTGTCTTGAGCATTATTTACTCCACCTCCACGCCGCGTCGTAGGCTTAGGTGGTGTTAACCTATCAAGGTGTCGTCAGTATCAAATGGTTAGTCAGAAGGGTGTTCTCAACATACATGAGTATCTCAAACTCATGATATTTCTTGAGATAATGTGTCGCCCGCCGGTAAGCCTTCAGGAGATCCGCAGGTGCTTTGTGCGTAAACTTCTGTCCGATGTACTTGGTGACGTTTGGCGCGTCGTGGAACATGGGATCGAAAACTATCACGTCCTTCGAGCCGTCGGTGCGTTTCTCAAACCCGACGATGGTCATTGAGTGACCTCGGAGTCGGTCAGCCAGGGAAGGGTTCCAGGTTTTGGGGGCTACTTGCCTGGCTGTTGGAAATATAGAGGTGGGAGAGAAGTGCAGCGGACTTTCGGATCGAAATCCGCACAGCCGTTGGAGAAATATGCTTCTACGGCTTTGAATAGAAGGTTGTGTGCTGGATTGGCCCTCCTGTCTTTCCCGGGTTTTATGCCTTGGGCGTCACATGCTATTCCAAGACTGAGAAACATTGCTTGTGCCTAGACCAAACTTATGAGCACTAATTCACCGCTTTGGCGCAGAAGAATACCACTTACATCCGGCGTTCCAATGTATTTCCGCGTGCCTTTAATACCGCCCGTCTCTTCGCGACCTTGGGCATTGATGCCAATATCCCAGGCATTCTCGATAAAATCTTGGATTTCAAAGATTGTTGGTATTTTGTCACCCAAGTACTCGTGGCCTTGTGATCCAGCTCCGACGATATATGAACTCATCATCTGAATATTGCGATACCCACAAAAGCCACCTATACATAGATATTAGTACGCTGGAATAAACCAGAGAAATGATCAGCCTACCCTCCTTCTTCAGCTTAGATACATGTCTGACAGCTGGATCGCACAAATAAGCGTATTGCGTAGTTTTGTCTTGGTGGAGAAGCTGCTCCAGAACTGGAATGATATTTGCAGCATGGTTCATGCAGACCTCAGTTTTCCTTGACTTCCCATCGGTGCCAAGTCTGTTTACAGTGGTCATAGCGCCGTCGGTTTCGAGGAGCTTGACGAGCCATGCAGGCATCTGCTTCTCATTTGCATGGGGGCCAAGTTGTGACTTCTAATAGATCGTTAAACCGGCGTGACAGTAGAGGAAGATCTTAGGATAACTTACTCCTAATCTCCGCTTGACGCTTTTAGACGCAACTGCTACAGCTTTCTTGGAGGACGTTTCCGGCATCTTCAAGAGGCCCTTCCATGCAGCTTTAGCCGTTGCTTGTCGTTCAGCAGAGGGGCTTTCGGAGACATCGTCGTCGTCGCCGATGTTTCGAAGGGCGTGTGACAGCTTGGTGTCAAACGTAGCCTCCATCTCCGGCTCAAGCTTGAGCTTTTTGGATACATGGTCACATCCATCACCAGAATCTTGTTCCGCAGCGTGAAGTTCGAGATGGCTGTCAAATTCTGCGAAAAGAAGCTGCTCACCACAGCCCTCTACCGGACAAGATGAGTACTCGGGCTCGTCAGAGTTCTCGTCATATTCCGAGGCAAGTACCGCTGCTATACTGGCATCATCTCTGACGACGAAGGGAGATTCGCCTTCGGCGTGAAGGGTCTCCATATGCAGCTGTGGGACATTTAGCAAATGATGAATCACAAATAGCGAGGGGAAGAGGGGCTGCGACTTGCCATGATCTGATATTCACTATCGGTGAGAAAGCCGCAGAAAGGGCACGATATATTTGGTTCCTCCATGGCCTCGACTTGAAGTCAAGGAGGAGGCAAGGGGAAGATAGTGCAGCTTGCCCGGATGGCGAGAAAGAACGTGACTCGGACCATTAGGGGTGACTCGAATTGTATTCCATTCTAAATGCTTCGATGTTGGGGGCAAATAAGAAGTGCGTAGTGGTCTGTTATGTGAAAGAATGTTGTTGGTGACTGCATTTGATTATTCACATACCTGTGCAAGAGTTGTGTTGCCTTCCTGATGTTAATGTGGCTCGCTACGAGTACTGTGTTTTGCGACCTTCCCCACAAAAGGACCGCCAATTATAACCCTTAAACTTATTATACTTGATGGATATAAAAAAGGGACATCCTATTATCTTATACCCATCAATTACTATCGTATATGAAAACAAGATAATTAGGGTAATGGTATCATGACTTTGCTTTTATCATCTAGCTAGCTATTGCCTTTCAGACCTTCAAGTCCTTCAACTTGTCTACAGCCCCACCTACAGGCGCCACCTTTGGCTTTGGTGCATTCTCAACCTTGCCCTTGGCTTTCAGCGAAGTGGAATCCTTTGGAAGCTCCTTTGTGAAAGGAATGAACTCCGGGGCACCTGGCATGTATTTTCGGAGTGGTTCGGGTACGTTGAAACCCTATATCCAAGTCAGTATTTGCAATGGTAGTATCCAGATTGTTTTCTTACATCCTCTGTTTGGAAATTCTCCAGCAGACAGCAAAGAGCTCTTTCAGTTGCACACAAGGTTGAGTTGAGAGCGTGTACATATTTCTTTCGGATCTCAGTTTGCAACTTGGCCCCAAATCGGATCTCAAGGTTCCTTGACTGGTAATCTGTGCAGTTAGAGCAAGAGACAAGCTCTTTGTACTCTCCTTGGAATGGGAACCAAGCCTCCAAATCGTACTTCTTCGCTGCAGCATTGTTAAGCCCCCCTGAGACGATACCTACAACACGGTATGGAACTCCTAGAGATTTGTAGAATTCTTCAGAGATGGTAATCATTTCATCGAAGGTTTCCCAGGACTTTTCGGGGTCGGTCAGAACGAATTGCTCCACCTGTTGGTAAAGTATGTCAGTGCTGTAAAATGGGGCCATATAATATTGCTTACCTTCTCGAACTGATGAACACGGAAAATTCCCCATGCATCTCGACCGTGCGAGCCAGCTTCTCTCCTGTAGCAAGAGCTAAATCCCGCATACTTGATCGGCAGATCTTTCGCAACCAGCCATTCGTCCGCATGGAATGCAGAAATGGGTTGTTCAGAAGTAGCGATGAGGTATTTGTCATTCTGAGCATCGCCATCCACGACCTTGTACAACTCCTCGTCGAAATCCTCGAGCTGTGCCGTCTTCGCCATGTAATCCTTCAGCATGAATTGTGGGGTCTGCAGCGGGGTATATCCTTTTGAATCGAGGAACTCCAGCCCATAGTTGATCAACGCCTGGTTCAGAAAAACACCCCATTTCCGCAGGAAATATCCACGGTGTCCTACAACCTTTACTCCTCGCTCTGGATCATAGCCATCCAGTCTCGTGAGAACCTCGTGATGTGAAAGTACGTCTTTCTTTTCGACCTTGACACCTTCTGGTTGCCATGTTCGCAGCTCAGGATTGAAATCCTGAAGAAATGTTAAACCTTATGGAACGAAGATTGGTAGAGGGAGGGAGAGAGCGCTGCTGCATACCTCGTTGTCGTTCACTACTACAGAGTCGTGGACAATATTGCCAATCGTGCCAATCTTCTTCTTCAAAGTCACATCTTTCGCAGCCGCCAGTTCAATGAGGTTCTTCTTCTCCTCTCCAAGCTCAGACTTCTGCTTCAGCAAGTCGTCTGCATCCTCCTTTGCCTTCTTCTTCGCGCCAATTTGCTTTTGGATTTCGTTGATCTTGGTATTGGTCTGGGCGACGGAATATTGTGCTGTGCAGATGAAATTAGCAGATTGAGACAACGTAGAGCTTCCAAGGGCATATTTACTCTTGCGATGATCCTCATAAAGCGCGATCACTTCGTCCACCGCTTCTTCTGGGGCATAGCGGCGTCTCTGTGACTCCTTGATCTTCTCAGGGTTCCCACCCTTCTCAACAATGAAGTCGAAAACGTCAAGCATGGTGTTGCGGATGCCGGTGTTATGTGGGAGAAACAATATCGCAGACGAAGTGTGAGACCGGAATGACTCTTGAAATACTTCAGCCTCTCCTCTCCGAATTTTGTGGTGGGGGTAGGTGTGTGATAAACATAAATAGCGGGACCGGGAGTGCATCTAAATAGCGGGGTTGTCCCGCCTTCCTTTTCGGGCACTTATTACTCGTACGAGTACTGGCTCCAAATAATACGGAGCATTATGGTATTATTACATGTTATGTTACACTTCAGATGTATCTAAATAGACCATTGAGTCTTTACCTACCTATAAGGTAGAATGTGCTGTGCTGTGCTGTACTTTCCTGTAGTGTACTCTCTAGATCAAAATCAAGAACGCCGCAATTGAACACTCCTCTCTCCCAACGCCGCAGAGATACCACCCAGAGCACCCATACAATCCAACCCAACTTGCTCCAAGTCTTCAACTCAACTAACTTCTAGAATGTGCTCCTTCCCTCCCTCCCCTCCTCCTCCCTCCTTTCCTCGCTCCTTCCTTCACATAACCTGACACTTGTTCCCTCCCGTTGGCTCATTTGGATTCTGTGATTTCTCGATTTGGCCAATCATCAATTCGAAAGCCTTAGTAACATTCTCGTTATACCGCGCGCTCGCCTCAGTCCAGGCACAGCTGAACTCCTCAGCCTGCTTCTTGCCTGCCTCTGGAGTAACCTGCCTTTGCTCTGGCCGCAGATCACTCTTGTTACCGACAATAACCATCGGAACCCATTCCGAGCCCTGTGGAGGTTGTTGTTAGTCAAGTATCTTTCATGGGACCAGGCATGATTTGGCTGCTTACCAGGTGTCCCAGGATCTTATCCCGAATAACCTGGATCATCTCGAAAGACTGCTCTGATTGCACAGAGTACACCAATACGTAGCCATGGATTCCAATGAAGTGCTTGGAATTCAGGATGCTGTATTCATCCTATTACACGCGCTCCGTCAGCAGGTTATCTTTATCGATGCTATCCTATTCACATGAGATGGTGGGAAAATAATATGATATAATGACATATAAAAGCATTCTTACCTGCCCCGCGGTATCAATGATCTCAGTGGAGAACTCTTGCCCCTTATACTTGATGACCTTGCTGAAGGTGTTTTCGATCGTGGGGTAGTAGCTTTCCACAAAGTGACCGTCCACGAATTGGACGGTGAGGGACGATTTGCCTGCGAATCCATGTGTGAGCTTTGGGTACTTATACGTCAACAGTACCTACGCGGTACTGTACAAGTACCAAAGGCACTCTTGTGCTTCTGATTGCGACGCGAACTTACCTACGGATCGGCTGCCGACGATAGCGATCTTGCGCTGTTTGGATGGTCCAGGCATTGCGATTCTGGAGGGAAGTAAAGTAAGTTTCTTTCTCCGTCACTGTCCTGTCCTGTCGGTGGCCAAAGAAAAAACAATAGGGTTTGGAGGGGAGGGAAAAGCGTGTGACGGGGCAGCCCCACGTTGGGTGATTGGGAGTTGGGTTGGATAGTTGGGCATCAAAATTCAAGGTCCCGCTTCCCACGAGGCTGGAGGGCCGGGGCGCTAAGAATGAATGATGCTGCACCATCCCACTTGGAGGGGTGAATACAGAAGCAATAATGAACACTTCTTCACTCCTCAGAATGGCGACAATGGAATGTGAGAATACAAGCATGTCGGATTTCCTATAAGAAAGGAAAACCCCCAACTCTTATAGGGTTTTACGGCCTTCCTGGGACTCAGAAAAGCGCTCTCATCATCGTCATTAATACAAACATATCCAGTAATGCATCAGTATAGTCTATATCCAGCTCAGCGAGGGCTATGATTGTCGTGCTATAAATGTCGTTTTGCCATAGCAGATCAATATCAACCAAATCAAACCCCCAAACAAGAGACTGCGGGCTCTGTTCATAGATGTTTTCGTTCATTTCCATATCTAAATAAGCCAGCCGTTGTTGTTATAAACAAACTCCTAAACAAGCAGAGGGGTATATGTCACAAAATAGGCTCCGAGTCTTCCTAGGCAATTTTCAATGAAGCTGACAGAACGCCGATGCCACAGTCCGATAATTTAAGCCTTCCACTTATGACCGATCCTCAAGGTCCCACCAGCTGTTCCAAGTCCTTTATCAGCATCTCACTTCCATGCGCCTTTTGTAGGACCCAGCCTATCTACAAGGCTCTCTAACCGCTCCGTCAACCCAGACTGCGGATTGTGCCCATCTTCACCTGCTGCAATGATTTCATCCACAGTCTTGTGGTGGCCAATAAACTCCTCAATCGAAGATAACAAGGGCCGCAAAGTCTTCTTGGGTTGGCGATTTTGAACCCGGTTCGAAATTTCTGGCAAAAGACAGAAATATCCCAGCAGGACAGAAAGGTAGCCAAAGGCAACGTTCTTCTGCGTCTCTTCAACGGAATCTGCCTAAACAAGTTTTTAGCATTGAATTAGTCAAACTGTACATGATTGGGATTCTTACCTCCGAGATCCTCTCCTGGTTGTCCGTGAGGGTCTGTACCATGCTGTCCAGCGGGTCCCTGCTCTCGCCTTCAAGACTTTGAAGACTCTCTCGGGCCGCTGAGCTCCACTCAGCAAAGTTGATCATTACTCCCAGGATAAGAACAAGATGATCAACAGCGACCGAGAAATCCTCTTCGGTCAGGAATCGGGAGATAATTTTGAACTTGGCAACGATAGCTTGACCCATAGCAGACATCAATGCCCCTCTTGCAAAGACGTCTGAAGCAAGCGGGTTATTATTGGTAACATTCAGAGTAAGACGTAAGATTAAAATCTGCAGGACCCCAAACTGTTCGATTGGCCTAGTCAATGCAACTTCAAGAGTATCCGCAATTATCGGCAGGTAATTCGTGATCCAAATGTTCTCGTCATGGACCGTCCTAGCTGCGATGGAGTGAGATTCCAAAGCCGACAATGCCAGATAGAAATCGATTGCCTGTTGCTCCTTTGGAAGATCCCAGCTTGCGTCTGTCGTAGATTTCACAATGCTGAATAATTTGGTTGTTAATTCCTTCGAAAATATATCACCGTCGTTCCCTGCTTCTCTTGTTTGCCTAACCATGAGCTCGAGGCATTTCAGAGCTACTGTACGCGGTGATGCAGTTTGTGATTGCAAATCCTCCCACATAGGCAGGTCTCGTAGATAGTCATGGTACTCTAGTACCATCTTCTGGCCGATTTTGCTCATGTTACTTTTGCGCTCTTTTGCCACAGAATAGATGCTAGCTTGACAGTCGAGCAGACGAATCAGCAATCGTGCAATCCCTTGCCTGCGTAATTGAGGTACTATATGAGGTACGCTACCCTCGACGATCACACTAATCAGCAGCGATACCATGAGGTAACCCGAGATAATATCGTTTTCCTGGCCCAGATGTAGGAACAACTTTTGTTCGACACCGTTGGCGCGAAATTGGCGCGCAAAAGTTTTGTCCTTCATTTTACTTGCCATATCCAGAAGACCAGATCTCCTCATGGATGTTTGCGACATATTGGGATTTCCAATGCGATCAAGAAGATCCTCTATCTCATCCAAGAACCGGCTATTTGCGCCAGCCTGTCGTAACTCATGAACGCTCCGGATTGCAGCACCTTTGCCTTCTTCATCCTCTTCCTCTTCGTGGAAGTTGGCCAGTGGTTGAAGAGACGGTATCGAGCCTCTTCGAGGTCTTCTGCCTTGAGATACGGACGCAGGCTGAATGGGCATGTCCAAGGCCAATTGTGCCATGAGATCCTCCTCAGCTAACATAGATCGTTGTCTACTATAGGTGAACTTAGGTCCTGTGGGTCCTGCATTCTGGGGGCCTTGACTTCCTGATGCGACCGCAGGGGCTGGCTCTGGTACAAGGGCTTGGCTTCCTGTGATATCTGTGTCCACAGCAGAAGGGTCCATGGATAAGATTATACCGCGCATTGATTCAGCTCCACTGTCTTCTGAACTATCCTCTTCTGAGCTCTCATGTGTGACTTGTTGCACAAGTGAATCAATCAACCTGCGCCGGGGCATTTTTGGACGGTTGTTCATCGGATGCTTCACCACACCCGATGGCCTAGATGCTCCATAGCTATGCGCCATAGACCTCGCTGCGGGTATTCCCACTGCGCGAATCGTTTCACCCTGCAATTCTATAGGGTTCTCCTCCGTGGCATCGCCCGAATCCAGCAGACCTTGCCACATCTTCAAGCCTCTGGGAGATATGTATTTCGCCTCAGGGTCGACATCCATCATGTCTACATCACTCAACTGCGGCGATGGGGTGCTAGGTAGCAGGACATCATTTCGCAGGGGGTTGATTTTCTGGGGTGTACAAGGCCGTCCTTGCTCGCCTTGATCTGGTTTGGGCTTTGGACGTGCGACCATTGTGCTTGTCTGGCCCTTTGCTTGAGGTCTTTGCTTCGTATATGTAGTGGTAGATATTGGAGCGGACTTGGGCGCATAAATCTTTGCAGGATGAGGTTTGGGAATTGGTTTTGGTGCTGGGGAAAGCTTCAACCTCTTCCGGCTCTCATTGTTCCCCAATTCCAATGCTTCTCTGGGACTCTTCTTCGTCGTAGGTCGGTTTAAGGTCGTTTTCTGACTATCAGACTTCGCCGGCTTGGGCGTTCTGCGCGGTGCGACATCGTCGTCACTTACAGGCACATCGAATATATCTGCCGCCACGGGTGATGGGGGTGAAGCTGGTCGTGAGATCGATCTCTGATGACCGCTCTTCAGCTTTGCAATATTGGGGGGAGGCGAAGATGGTGATTCTCGTAATTCGTGCTCGGCAAGTACCTCTGGGATTTGGGAGTTGTTGGCCTGTGAGTCGAAGCCACGATCGGGTATTCGCCTTCGCACAGTTTTACCATATGTCGCGATCTTCTTCTTCGGCGGGAACTTGATGCCCTGTAAGGTAGCCATGATGAGTGCGAGAAGGCAAATACTCTCTTTGCAAGAACGAGGGTCTGGAAGTGATGCTCCCTCGAGTTCCCGGCACAATAAATAGGCTGGGGCTTTAGCAGCTCATAATGCCGCCAACAGGGAGAAACAAGTAGACGGAGAAAGATGAAGGTGAAGGTGAAGCGTGAGCCTGTGAATATGCGTGAATGGAGGTGAACGACCAGGCAATTGTAAATAAACGGAAGCGACGATCAACAATGCAAAGAACCCCGGAGCCCGGCCAGACAAGGCATGAAGCGCGGAGGAGCCAATGAAGATTGCCTGCTCAACAGAGGCCTTGAATCTTGATAGATCAAGCCGAAAGGAAACTGGAAGCGGGCATGTATAGGTAGGCAAATGAATAAATGAATGAACGAATGTTTTCAGATCAATAGGTATAACGCAGTTGCAACTGGTAGGAAAGTCACAGCCTTGAGTTTGGAGCGCTATAATTGGTCTACCATAACCACTTTGCATTAGTCATATAGTACCTACCTACTTGCTACCATCCGAGCACCCCACCCCCACCACTTCATTTGGGCTGGGCTGGGCTGCATCTTATCTCACCAGGGTACGTACTACTTACTGTACTATCAAGGTCGAGGAACCACATTCTGCTCACGAGACAACATTGGATCTTGAACATTGAATCTCTAACGTCAGTGCATCCTCTTTATATAGAACCAGGTATATATTTACTAGGGCACCTACAGATAATTCGGCTCATTGAATGCATTGAGCCAAGTGCAAGCAAGGCTGAAATACTTACCTACATAGGTAGGTACTTGTCACTGCATTGACACCACTCAACCCCGCCTGATTTGTATCCGTATAACGCTCGATTCTTCCTTTTTGCATCTCAAGAATCGCCGAGTTTTATATTCGCAGGTCCATCCGCAGAAGGCAAGAACACTGCACCGGGATCCATCAAAATGGCCTCATCAGCAAAGCCTTCCCCAATTCCCAAGCAAAGCGTGGGCCCAGACTATCGTCCTGAGAAGCAGAAACCTACAGCAACAGTTTCGACAGAGGTCCCATTCGAGAATGTGCACACGTTGTCACAGACCCCGCAGCTCATTGCTCTTCTAACGTGGGTCACAAGAAGAAAACATTGGTTGTAGTTTCGCTTTGCTGATTCTCCTGTTTCTGTAGCATGATCAGAGACAAGAATACCGACCGGGCGGATTTCATATTCTACTCCAACCGCATCATTAGACTGCTTGTTGAGGAGGGTCTCAACCACCTTCCAGTCGTGGAGCATGCCATCACAACTCCTGTTGGCCGTAACTATGCTGGTGTCATGTTCCAGGGTAAAATTTGTGGCGTATCCATCATGAGAGCTGGAGAGGCTATGGAACAGGGACTGCGTGACTGCTGCCGTTCTGTGAGAATTGGAAAGATCTTGATCCAGCGCGATGAAGAAACGTGTATGCCAAAGCTCTTCTACGACAAGCTTCCTGAAGACATTGCCGATCGATGGTGCTTGCTTTTGGATCCAATGTTTGCTACAGGTGAGTCATGGTGTAAAGAAGAAGAATGAAAGTATCACGACCAGCTAAAGATGCTCACAGGAGGCTCGGCCATCATGGCTGTTGATGTGTTGAAGTCTCGTGGTGTACCCGAGAACCGGATTCTGTTTTTGAACCTCATTGCCAGTCCACAAGGCATTGAGAATTTTGCTAAGAAGTTCCCCGAACTAAGAGTTGTCACAGCATTTATAGACCAAGTAAGTAAACTTGCCATTTTGATCCAAGATAAAGCTAATCATCTCCTAGGGACTCGACGAAAAGAAGTAAGTCTTGAGTGGCGGCACAAATTGATTGATTGCTAACCTGTTCGTCTAGCTATATTGTTCCAGGCCTGGGTGACTTTGGGGATAGGTTCTACACTATGTAGATAGACCAGCCAGTATGGAGCGCAGTACACTTAGCATTTGCAAGGTTGGGGCGGGTGGTTACATTGCATTTTCTTCCAAGTCTCCTTTGTTGAAGTCCCCGGCATCTAAAGTTACGGCAATTCTACATAGGAATAAATGAAGTAACAGCGCATAGATTCGTGCAATATCTCTCTAGTGAAACCGGTTCATTTTGTATGCTCCTTCCAACGCCCCTTGACCCAAAACTCCATTTCTATCCCGCCTTTCTCAATATTCATCGTCCGCCACGACACCATGCCCACCATAGCCACCCAGCCCGTCCTCATCATCTATAATATCGTCGTGGTCATCGTCGTCGTCGTCGTCTCTAGTATTTCCAACACTCGGTCTGCTAGCAACAGGAGCGCGCGCTGGGGCAAAACTGCCACCACCTTCCTCGCCATCGTCTTTCGCTACCGTGTCGCAAGCATCAACCCATTCCGAGTAAACATCAACAGCTGCCGAGAGATCTGACTTTTTATTAGCTACAGGTTGTGACGGCAAAGATGTGCAGAAGGTGCGTTACTCACAGTTGATGGCGCATTGGAACTGTTGGCTGCATACTTTGCAGGATAGGTTGCCCACGCCACCTTTCTTGTCGATCTCCACCGAGACAGAATTCTCGTGGTTGCAGAAGAGACAAGGGAATGACTTTGCTAGAGGTTCGTTCTGTGTAGATTGTCAGTCGCGTCGCACCGGCGCAATAAGGAGGGAATGCTTGGATGTACCTTTTTGCCCGTGGGTTTCTTTGCAGCCTTCTTTCGTTTGCCCTAGGTAAGTTATGCAGTTTAGCTTCAGTGCTGCTGGCGTACCAAGGGTCGTTCTTACCATGGTGAGTCTGTGAAAATGGCTGTGTTGTAATAATTCGGATGCTCTGGTCTGGAGAAGCTCAAAGCTTTGCACGCGCAAGTTTGGAATGCGGAGTACGTAAACGCCTCTTGAGACGTGACGGAGGGGTCCGATAAGCTTCAACTCCACTCCACTACTGTACTGTACAAAGCGATTACAATTACAATACTTCGGCGTACATTAAGGTACATGCTACGTTCGGCTGAATAAGTCACAAGTCAGGTCAGTTCAGGCAGGTACCCTACTTGTATCGAGCAAATAAGGAAAGGCCGCGTGCATTGAAGTTCCTGCACTTTCCCTCTTCACACCGTCTTTGTGCCTTGCCCTGCCCTCCCCCTCCTTGGCTTGCATCCAACCCAACCCAACCACCACCACTACCACGGGCACCTTGCACTGCAGTACTAGGTACTTCCCCGTCTTGTACAAACACCGTACCTCTTACTTTTACTCTATATCCATCCCACTCGCCCCTTCTTCCAGACTTTCCAACCCACAGCACAGCGTCCTCAAGCCAACCGACGGCAACAAAGAGCAAGATAAGACAAGACAAGATGTCTTCCTCGGCTGTAGACCAGACGGCCTTGATGAAGGAGGTACTTGGAGCCTTGAAGACCTTACAGACCAATCAGATTCAACTTGCCGCCAACGTTGATGCTATCTCAGGTCGTGTCAATGTCCTGGCGGGCATGAAGGAGGTTCGCGATGTAGCAAATGACTCCTCAAGCAAATCGTCCACTGTCTCCAAGAGCATTGATACAAGTGCCCCTGACCACGATCCTTCTGATGACCATGTACCAAGCTCGCCATCCCTTCCAGCTTCGGAGTTGGAAGGGGTTAAAGAATCCACCCAGATTGCCCTTGCTCCCAAGTCTAGTTCCACTTCAAGAATCATCCTCACGTGAGTTTCTATATGCCTCCCACGGGTTGGGACTCTGTTGACGTATTATATGAAGAACGTATCCCAGCCAATCCGGCATTAACCCACTCCCAATGGATTGGGGCAACAAAGATTTCCAGCTGCGAGGTCCTGTTGTTGTGTCCAGAACCCAGTCAACGATTCGTAGAAGAAATGGTCGGTTCAAACTCTCGTCTTCTTGTTCATACTTGTGCTAACCAACTCTAGCTATTGGAGGTAAGAGTTGTCTGAAATAGCTATGAAATGTATTGACACTTTATAAGCGCATGGTGGTTCTTATTCCATATACTACGCGCTCGCCGTGGCTAGTAAGGAAATCAAGGTAGACCATAGGTATGGCCCTGTTTCCATTATCACTGTCTCAGAATGCACGATCTCAACGATAGAACCCCGAAACCCCTGAGCCTTATGCTATGAGATCGTGGCCTTGTTTCTGATATGCAGTTTGGTCCATATCCAAGATATTGAGACTGACATATCTTTAGACCCGACTTTACCAACACTGAGCCGGCCGCCAATATTGGTCCCTTCCCGCAATGGGCCGACAAGAAGAAAATCGTTTCCATGGATCCGCTTGGTCACTTGTCCCCGTGGCTTTTCTCCGAGACTATTGAGAAGGAAAATGGTAAGTTGATATACTTTACCACGTGATTGGCCTAGCTAACTCTTCGTAGTTGATATTCGTCCAACGATTGGTATGTGCTCGTGCCTATTATTGCGGTCTGCCAGCTAACTCGTGTCAAGCGATCACCCGAGCACACATGAAGGTTGTTTACTCTCCTATTATTTTGAATCCAACTGACATTTTCAACAGCTCCCAGAATTAGAGCAGAGTGTTCGTGAGGGTCGCCTGTAAGAGTGTTATAACATCAAGATATTCGTCGGCTGACCTTTTGACAGTATTCCCGACGGGAAGGTTTGCCTGAATGAGAGTGGTGAGCTGGCAGTGACTAAATTCGCTGTCGAACCAGTTAGTAAAACCCTCATACCAAGAATTGCCAGCGTCTGACAAACCCTAGGTTTGGTATCTCCCGGGTGTTGCAGAGAGATTTGGAATTGGTACGTTTCTCGTCTCACCAACTGTTACACCAGCTTACCTTTCATCAGATGAAGGGACTCTTCGAAGATCACTATTTGAGCATACAGGAGGATCTTATCCCGAGCTAATCACCAGAGGTGATATCAAACTCTTCTTACCGCCAATAGGTATACTGCCCCCCGAAGTACGGACCAATGAACAAGTCTGACTGCGTACAGGTGGGCTTACGGTATATTGTTTTGGGGATCCCGCCAAGATGTCAGACGAGAAAGTGAAGCTAGCCCTGAGAGTTCATGATGAGGTAAATATTATCCGACCCAGGGTCGAACTCTCTGACCCAATGGCAGTGTAATGGGAGTGACGTGTTCGGATCTGACATCTGCACGTGTCGTCCTTACCTTATCTACGGTATTGAGGAGGCTGTCAAGGAGGCACAAAAGTTAGTTTCCCAAGATACCCCGCGTCGTACATGGAGCACCTGCTAATCCACCACCCAGGGGCGGAAGTGGTGTTGTAATCTATTTCCGCAAGGAAGGCCGCGCCCTTGGCGAAGTTACAAAGGTAAAGAATCCCTCAAACGTCTCCCAACATGTCGTACAAGCTTGCCCATTCCATATACCCATGCAAACATCATTATCATTCCCCAACCCCCAATCCCGACTTTGACTGCCATTAACCCCCACGTCCCTCTGAATACACCCATGCCTACCCGTTCACCCCCATATTATTATCCTGCTATCTAGGTGATATTCTAATTCTTTGATATAGTACTTGGTCTACAATGCAAGGAAGCGCGGATCGGACCGTGCCTCAGAGTATTTCAAACGGACTGAGAACATCGCGGGTGTAAAGGACATGAGATTCCAAGCCTTGATGCCCGACATTCTTCATTGGCTGGGAATTAAGAAAATTGACAGAATGTTGAGTATGAGCAAGTAGGTCACAAAGTGGGAGAATAAGCACTCCGGTACTAACAATCGCCAGCATGAAGCACGACGCTATCGTAGGCCAGGGGTAAGCCTCCACCCCACTATCCAACGGCTGTGGTTAACCATACTACAGGATCCCCATTCATGAACGAGTTGAGCTTCCCGAGTCCTGGATTCCTGCAGACTCTCGAGTCGAAATAGATGCCAAAATCAACGCAGGTTAGTTTATCCCTACCCCCACGACTGCCCCTTTGTCGACGATAGGGCTGACTCTCCCAGGATATTTCACTACTGGCTACCGAATGACCGAAGAAGAACTTGCCGCTGTGAAGGGAAGGACTTGGGAAGAGTAAGCATCTCATTCGAGCGATTCCAGGACCGAAACTGACCCAAATGTAGTATCGACCATTGATCACGCGCATCAAAATGGCATCCGATTTCCCACTCTGCGCTGGATGTACTTTTGGACCTGCATGAGTGTGCCCGATCTCCCGACACCCGTGTTAGCGTAATTAGAAATAAAGACAGACTTACCTTACCGCACTTGTTAATATTAACGATTGGCCCTAGAGATTAGAAAATTAAAAGTTGAAAAGACTGAGCGTGCCGGTAGCGGTGCCGGAAGTGACCGGTGCATGTTGCGTGATAAGAATCGATAGTTACTTCGTAGTAGTTACTGTAGGAGTGGGTGGATAATTAGAGTTGACGATGGATGGATGGATGGATGGATGGATCCAGACTTTTGCAAGCTAGTAACTTGCTAACTTAACTCTACGGAGCACAAGAATATAAGCCAGTACCTATGTACTCTACGGAGTAAGTAGTGCGACACGCAACAGACGGGGTGGAAGCACCGGGAGAGAGAGGGGAGATGGGGGTGGCTCGCCCATTCCAGACGCTCGGCCAAGTGTGGAGGGTCTGCACGACAGCCAGTAACAGGCCTGCACATATTCCTCGCATGCGCATTACAGGACATAACATACCTTACCGCCTCGTCAAAATCATTCACAGGCTGCCACATCACATGTAGGAGGGAGGCCAGCAAGATGGGGTGGGCCTTCGGTTGGCTTGGACCTTGGTTCGGGGCATTTCATTCATTTGGTATGGATGGGATGGTAGATGCTAGATAGATAGATAGATAGATGGATGGATGGATGCTCTGATGCTCTGCCTGCTCCGCTGCTCTGCTTGCTTATATGAAGAAGGAACATACCACTCTATTTTGCAGTTGGCATTCCACGTATCTATTCCAAAAACATTCCACCTCTTTTTGACTTGAGATATTACAAAAGACCCCTGCACTTGAAGTCTTTCTGCTGCAGTATCTCTTCATTGATCTTCCCAACAAAACAAAATCTCAACCCGGATACCACAATCTATACTCATATCCATACGCTTCCTCGCTACCTTTCTTCGCCGGCCTAGCTCTCTCTATGATGGGTTCCAAATCGCAATCAAGAGGGACCTCTCCCATGGTTGCTGCTCGTCGACCGAAACTCATGCGAGCGGCTGCGACTGCCCCCTCACTGGCCACATCCAACGCATCTCGGAATGACCTGGCTAGTCGACAGTCGTCGCGAGCAGCAACGCTTCTCAACAGAGTAGCGAGCTATTCGACGGCGCAGCACGAACATAGGCTCCATGGCACGCCGGGCAGCGTGTACTCGAACCCCGAGCAGGGATCTCCCGACAGCAGCGCGTCAATGGAGGAAAGGAAAGACACATTCCAGGCAGACATTCATCAGTGTGAGTAGATAACTTGGGCATGTGACGTGAGATGGCAGTGCTGACGATGGTGCAGCGGGCAATTACTTCAGTTTTCCGAGCTTTGAAGACTTTCAAGATTTCCAGGAGAACGAGGAGCGGATAGCTGCAATGCACGACAAAGGCGTGCCATGAAGTGATGCTGCTTGTGGGCGTATTGGACTTTTATCATGAATTTAGGGCAAAGTATCATATGTGAAAAGGGAACTGGAAAGGCTAAGGGAAGGACTCCGCCCAGGAGGATAGCATCACGGCGTTCCGGTGTATATTGTGGCATGCAATAGCCATCTGGCTAAGGAGCGTAATGCATAGGTGTGGATAGGGGCTGGTAGAACAGCACAGCACATAGTACATACCTAGGGACCGATGGACTTTAAGTCTGTGACGACAGCTAGGCCAGAGTCGGAGAAGGCTTGTATTTAAAGAGAAATGGACAAACCATCTGAACATACCGTATATTCCCAGTGACTGCTTCAATACCCAATAGCAGCGGCTCAAGAAGAGGAAGACTATAAGATGGCTATCTCGCAGTGGTACGATACCGGAGTGTCTATGTGGCTTGGTGACAAACCAGCAAGAGGTTTGCGGCTATCATGGTGTATATCTGAATCTAACAAAACAACAACTGCACCACAGTAAACAAAGTACCTTGAAAGGATACCATAGTCTCCGGTGTATACGATACTGCAGTATAACGTCCCATTTTGAGTAGATGATTAAGATGTTGACGATGATGTTGAAAAGGGTCCTGGGCTGGGCGGAAGTGATGCCAATCTGAAATAGCCTCCCAACAGGAATCTGGCAGGATGTCATCAATTGGAGCCTCTGCGAATTCTGAGATATACTTCAATTGCCGACCCAAGAGGGCCAAGAGGGGACTTTATGGCAGCGGTATCGTGACGAAAGAAAAGAGGAGGGGTGAGAGAGAAAAAAGTCTGGCTTTGCACGCCAAGACGAGTTTGGACCATTCTCGCTAAATAATGCGCTAACCGCCGCACACAACCCTCAAGCCGGAACAAAATTTTGACCCTCTTCAAGACATCACTTCCATCTTCAACAACCACCGACTTCGAAATCTCCGAAATGGCTGTTGGGAAGTATGGAAAACCCGAATCTCTCAAGCATCAGAGTGCTGACAATACACCAGGAACAAGCGCCTCTCAAAGGGCAAGAAGGGCATCAAGAAGAAGACCCTCGACCCTTTCACCCGCAAGGACTGGTACCAAGTCAAGGTATGCGCCTCCATGGACACTCAATCGTATTGCGGCTACTGACAATTTACAAGGCTCCATCTTCCTTCCAGATCCGAGAGTACGAATTCCCTCTGCGAACGAAATACACATATATCTAACTGAGCTTGCAGTGTCGGAAAGACTCTCGTCAACAGAACCACTGGTCTCAAGAACGCAAACGATGCGCTAAAGGGCAGAATTTTCGAGGTTTCTTTGGCCGATCTCCAGAAGGATGAGGACCACGCTTTCCGCAAGGTCAAGCTCCGTGTCGATGAGGTTCAAGGCAAGAACTGCTTGACCAACTTCCACGGTCTCGACTTCACCTCTGACAAACTCCGATCCCTCGTCCGAAAATGGCAGACCTTGATCGAGGCCAACGTCACCGTCAAGACCACCGATGACTACCTCCTCCGTTTGTTCGCAATCGCCTTCACCAAGCGCAGGCCAAACCAGATCAAGAAGACCACATACGCCGCCTCTTCCCAGATCAGAGCCATCCGAAAGAAGATGACCGAGATCATTCAACGTGAAGCCCAAAGCTGCACCCTTACACAACTCACCGCCAAGCTTATCCCTGAGGTTATCGGCCGTGAGATCGAGAAATCCACCCAAGGCATTTACCCATTACAAAATGTGGGTTTTACATGAATCATGCCAAGGTATCACATTGCTGATTAATCTAGGTCCATATCCGTAAAGTCAAGCTCCTGAAGGCACCCAAGTTCGACCTCGGCGCTCTTCTTAACCTCCACGGCGAATCGAACACAGATGAGTCGGGTCAGAAGGTTGAGCGGGAATTCAAGGAGAAGGTTTTGGATGAGGTATGAAAGGGTTATGGGCAATGTATCTGGCGCTTTTTTGACTGGTCATTTGCATGTAGTCAGGTCTTGCTTGGGGCATTTGGCGTGCCACGTCTAGCATAGGGCTAGCAAATAAATTCCCAAAATTCCGAACAATGAATCATTCAGGTCATTCTCAAGGCATGTGAAATTTGGTGGTCTTGAGACTTGTGTTGCTCAGCCTTGGCTTGGCATCTTTCGTGACGTCGGCTGGGCATGTGAACCAAAGAACCTGAAACTTATCTCTCTTAAATAAATCATTACAACTGCTCACAACCCTCGAAGTTAGGCAACACATCTTGAAATTATGGCATCCGACGAGTCACTACCTACCCTCAAGATCTTAATGATCGGGCCCTCTGGGGCCGGTAAATCAGCTTGTAAGAAAGCCTCGGGCCACCAAACTGCTGCGTCTGCTAACATACCCCCCTCCCAGTACTTATACGATACTGCGATGATCAGTTCGACTCCGACGGTTCGACCGCCACAATAGGAGTAGATTTCAAAGTAATGTTCTAGCCCGCCATCTTATTTCAAAGCTAACAAAAACCCAGCTCAAGAAACTCTCCGTGCATGGAAAAGCCTACCGCCTCAACCTCCTCGACACAGCCGGCCAAGAGCGCTTCCGCACCCTCTCCAACTCCTACTACCGCGGTGCGCATGGCGTGATACTCGTCTACGACATCTCTAACCGCGAGAGCTTCAACGCGATGGAGCGCTGGTTCGAGGAGGCGGAAGCGAACGCTATGCCGGGCGCTGTTATGTATCTGGTGGGCAGCAAGATGGACAAGGCGGGCGCTAGACAGGTCAAGGTCGACGAGGGGACGGAGCTGGCTGAGAGGCATGGGTGTGGGTTTTGTGAACTTAGTGCGAAGACGAGGGAGGGTGTGAGGAAGCCGTTTGTGGACATTGTGGATGCTATTGTTAAGAACCCGCAGCTCTTGAATGCGGCGAATAGGAGGGCTGGTGCGGTCGCGGTGGGTGGAGGAGGGGGAGAGGGGTATGCGAGTGGGTGTGCTTGTTAATAGGATGGGATTTTGGGGGAGGGTATATTATTATGGGCGACGTTATTTTGAGATACACGGAGTTGGGCATGATACTGGGCATGATACATGATACATGATACCCTTAGACACTAGATTGTACAGGTTTATTCTTTGGGGCTTAGGAATTCTACCACGGCTTTCCATATAGTCAGCAAATGCGTCTCTTCTAGTGACTCGGCAGAGGAACTTACCTTGTCTAAACTCTTCAGGCTTCTCCGAGATCACCCAGTGTCCAGCATCTATATCTGCCAGAACGAACCTCGGAAAGAACTGCCCTATTATAGGCAGAGCTTCATCAGGAACGTATTTGCTTTGTGTCCCACGCACGAACAACGCTGGCTTCTCAAATCGTACTGCTCCTGGGTCTTTGAAGGGAAAATCTCCAAGGTTGTCCAACGCAGAGCCCAGTATTCGCAGCGGAACCTTGAACTTCTGTATCTTCTCCCCTGGCGGTCGATATAGGTTCCCTAAGAGGAACTGTCGGATAGGGAGAGACTGCAGCACCAGGCATTAGCATATACCAGGCCCCTTGATATTGGTGTACTTGCCTCCTCGTACTCTTGCAAGATCTTGTCTGCCTCCGCCTGCCTAGTAACTCCCGCCTCTTCAATCTTCTTCATGCCTTGTATGTATTTGCCAAAATTGCTCAACAGAGCAGCATCCAGCGGGGCATTATCTACAGACACGATATTGTCTATCATATCGGGAGCCTTCAGTGCCAACGTCATAGCCGTTTTCGCTCCCCTAAAATTAAACATCCATCAGTCTCCGCGAACTCTCCGCTGCAAGGAAGAAATACTGACATCGAGTGCCCGATCAGGGTAGTGTTCTTCAATTGATGTTCTTCAATGAACCCCGCAACATCATCCGCCATAGCCATGTAATCATGATTAGGGTTGTGAGGTGAGTCCCCGTGGTTTCGCAAGTCTACCGCATATACAGGCCGTCCTAGATCCCTTGCAAGTGCCCTATTCCGCCTATTAGGAATTGACCTCGGGCGGTAGTTTGGGAGCAAGATGCTCACTTACTGATGCCCCTGTTATTCTTCTTGGACCCGAATAGACCGTGCATGAAGATTATGGCCCGCGGAGCATTGGAGGGTTTCGACGGTTCGTGGAGATCATATGCGAGTGATATCCGGGGAGCTGTCGAATAGGATTTGCGACATGGTATTCCGCGGATTGGGATAGCCCTTAATACTGCCAATCGAGGCCGCATGGTTGGAAAGCTTGGAAGTCTATTATAAGAGCATGAAAGGCTTGTTTGACTTTGCTACAACTTGAAGATGATGGATCTTGAAATCTTAGCAGCTTTTAATACATCAAGTCGGTATATTGTTGAAGACACTCCGTCCGCTCTAGCCCCGAACACACGTGGTGTAGCGGGGCGTTTGCCCATAACATTCCTTCCCCAAGATGATAATTGGCGTAGAAAGGAACAGCACATTTATAAAAGAGTCCGCGAGGTATTCATTTCTTCACGTTTATTCAAGGAGAAGAGGGGCCCAGCAATACCTAACTCCTTTCTCGCGTCCATGTTCTTCCCCTCGACATCCCCTCAGCTCCACCAGTGAACTTGCAAGATGTAGCGTACAGTACAGGAATACCTCCGTACAAGCAGGAAAGACCACCTTAACATGTCTGTCGAGTGATGGCCGGGAGTTCTTAAGTTTGGCAAGATGCCTTTCAAAACTACCGTATGCTACTACTGGGAACAAAAGAACATTAAAGTGTTCAGAATTGGGCCAATACTGAGAAGGGAGTTCCCTCTGGCTACTTTTATCAGCATCTTGGAAAGCGATTCTTGAAGACAGGAAGGATGTCACCTTGAACTCCAAGTAGAAGCACTCTATGATACTGTAAGCTTCAATTCAAGCCACGATAGCCAAAAGTTGAGGTTATCTATCGTATCTGCAATTTTCCCCCAGTTTCAAGCACGCAGGTGCTGTTATGATAAGATGTTTACGGAGATATGACTCCCGCAGATTTTAGGACAATGTACGATGGTGCGGGGTCCTCATCCTCCCCGGAGAGGTCCGCAGACACTAATGTTTTCTTATCGGGTGTTATCAGATATAGTCGGCCGAGGACCTGCCCTCCAATATCTCCTTTGTGATTTCACAGCAACGAGATCCGTGGATTAAGAATTGTATATGTATACAAATTACGAGTAGATTGAATCAAGAGCCATCAAGTAAACATTTCTTCAGCTCAGCACATTTCCATCTTGCAATATGTCTCCATCAAGAATCAACGAGAGTTCCCTGGTTGTCACGCCGATCAAACATGCTGCTGACAAGAAGTGCACGATTGGGGCTGTAATTACTGGTCTCGATCTAAATGATATATCAGATGAAGACTTGGCCACTCTCAAAGAGGCCGTTCATCAGTATCAATATGTCACGATCAAAGACCAACACAACTTGGATCCAGTGAAGCACTGGGAGTTGGTCACGAGACTGGACCCTGAAGCACCACAAGTCCATGGTCATGGCACTGTTAAAGAGTTCCAGAAGGTTGGGGGTTTACTCTCTGTAAGTCGCACCCTTGTTACCGAGTCACCGCATGCTTACATTTTGCAGAAGAGGGCAGTCCATGGTTTGCCCGCTGCTCCTAATGTTCGCCTAATTGGAAAGGGGTACCAAGGAGAAGATCACTTCGGAATCAAGGACTTCACAGCTGCCGGAGCAAGCAATAGTTACCACAGATACCCTCCTTCGGACGAGTCGTTTGCTGCAGGAAATACACAGTTTCAGAGATGGCATAGTAAGTTAGACTCTTAACTGTCTCTCTCTCAATCAAATAGTCTTTTCCCTCGTTCCATGGCACATTTCACATTTCACATTACGACGATATTATCGAAATAGACGCTGATTAGTTCAAGTCGATGCACCACTCTACGACCGTGAGCCACCCCACTTCACTGCTCTCCGTGCTGTCAAGTGCCCTGTAGGACCGGATATCCAAGTGAACTGGGACGATGGAAGCGGGCTCTCCATGAAGTGCAAGCCTGGGCAAACGGCGTTTGTTAGCACCATCCAGCTCTACGAACTCTTAAGTGATGAGGAGAGAATGCTTGCCGAAAACAGCTGGGTTGAGTACGCCCCGTTCCCATATATGTGGATTGAGAATTGTAAAGGACGGCCGAATGGGCTAGGTTTGGAGACGGAAGGCAAAGAACACAAAATGGAAGAAATGCCGGAGTGGGAACCGGAAAAGATCAAGACGGTGAGCCCTTTCCTCAATGACGGTAGTATGTTTTAGCTAAGTAGTATACTCAAGTATCCCATGGTTTGGATGAGACCAAACGGGAAGAAGGCTCTCCAGATACATGGTATTGCAGTCCGGAAGATGTTCCTAAAAGCAACCCCAACGAGCGAGGTCCGAGTCGTTGATGACGTGGTAAAGATCAGAGAGCTCCTTCACAGCTGGCAGCAGAGGATCATTCGCCCTGAGTATGTACTCATGGGTCCCGTGAAGGAAGGTGATGTCCAAATGTGGGACAACTGGGTAAGCTGCCGTGAATTACAGATCTTCCAGCCGTCACACTGACAGAATCCACAGAGCGTTTTCCATAGTGCAGTTGATTATCCAGACCATTATGGCACCAGAAGTAAGTAACCTCCTATGATAAGATGCTGTATTCGGATGCTAATACAGTTCCAGGCATGCACCAAGCCAATTTGGGTGCATCTGATTCCCCAGTGGGACCTGTTCCCATACCAGTTTCCTGATAGGGGAGGTGAAATGTTAGACTCTAGCTAGAAATCCAAATGAAGAGTACTGTTGTATTTTGATAGCACAACAACTAGCCCATGTTCCCTGAACAAAAATATGCGTGCGTTAGTGGGGTAATGAATGGTCAAAATTAAGTCCTGATAGACTCATCGAGTGATTAGTCTCTAAGGACATGCAGGTTCTCCCTTCCGGCGTATAACAAGTGGTTAGAGACATGGTGGTTTTACCCTCGAGTCTATGCTACTCTTACGTATGCTATCTGTCTTTCCCCCTTTCTAGCAGTAAGGCAAGGGGAAGTGGGCTCTGCTCCTTACGTAGCAAAGGTGTTTAGTTTCCGAGCTAGACTTACAGGACTAGACATGCAGTAACGTTCAACCCTAACTTGAATGAAAGGATACATAGTTTCTATTAATTCTCGATTGAATATATGCAAAACCAAAGCTCTTGCAACTCCTAGTACATTTCTATCCCTTGATCCGAAACCTCCATAAGTTCTTTCCTATTCTCGGTCCATAGTCGACACTTGAGCCTCCTTTGTCTCAAACCCTTTTTCAGCCCGACCTTCGGCTCCATCCATAGAGCTCTGATCGATCGAACCTACTCCTTCCACTATCTCCGTATCGCCGTGAATGACTTCTGGGATCAGCGTCTTACGATCCGGAAACACGACGTTGAGTACGTAGTGCAGCACACACGAGGCAACGAATCCGTAGAGCCAGTTTATAGCAAAGAGATGGCTAAGCTCGATAGGGATGTGCACACTTTCCGGTGTGACTTTGTTCGCAAGGGCAGGGAGCATTGGAACAATTACTAGAATCATGATTGCAAGGGAGCGCCAGTTCTAAATTGACTGCATTAGTATCGACGTCTTGAGGGGAGCACAGAAACTCGTACACATTTCCCGTAGATTCCTTCGGGGTCATAAAGTGCGGGGACGTCTATCTTGCGTCGTTTGATGAGCCAGTAATCCGTAAGCATTATTCCAGCTATGGGGGCCATGAATACGGCGTATGCGGACATGAAATTGAGGAAGGTCTTCGCGTTTGAGAGAATTATCCAAGGAACCATACCGAATCCGCCCACAAGCATCGCAAAGATGACTCCTCGGCGGATGTTGAAGTATTTTGGAAATAAGGATGTGATATCTAAAAAGTTTTGTCAGCCATAAACTATAAGTTTGCAGGATAATATTCGAGTCAATACCATTTCCAAAGGACACAGAGTTGGCGGATATGTTGACGCAAATTTGAGCGAGACACCACAACGCAGCACAAAAGAACGCAGCAGCACGACCACCGTGACTCCCTTGCCATTCAGCCAGAATATCCAAGGGACTCCATATAACCTTTCCATAGAGCGGCTTTGATGCCGCGGCTCCAACGACCCCGAAGATGCTGACCAAGATCTTGAAGATGGGAATGAAGGGGAGTTGCCAAACTTGGGAACCCGGTTTCTTAGCAAAGCGAGCAAAATCTGGGATGTTCACAGCCAAGGTAGAAAAGCCACCGGTTATGGATGTCATGCTGGAAAGCCAAAGCCAGGCGCGCGCCGATCCCGTCACTGTAGACTTTTGATCCCAGAAATCTGGTGCGTGCCGCGCAGCAACAGCGAGGTAGATTACCATTGCCAAGGCCATTGGAGGAACGAGAATTGTCTTAGTCAGGAACATCCATTTCAGCTTTTCGGTTTTGATAAACAGAAATGGCGTTTGCACCACATGGTATATAAAGTAAGATATCATTCCCTTGGTAGTGATACCGGCTGAGGCTGGGAGGGAGTTATGTAGCAAGGCATAGGATGGCCATATCGCTGTGATCATCTGGGTGATAGCGGTAGCACCACCAGAACTCTGTACTCCGAACCAAAAAAGTGCGAGGATGCCTCTCGACACAACGCAGAAGTAGGCCAACCAGTATCCGTAGCTAGCCCTGACCGCAATAGGGAAGGGCTTTGGATAAAATTAGTCTCGATGGTCAATGTTTGAAGATCAGCAAGCTACCCACAATGTGCAGATCTGCTCCTATAGCACCGTTCATTACCGTGGGAATGGCATTGCACATGGCCGCGACGAAAACGATCCAGATGGCATCACTCGGTGACAACCCTAGAGCTACGACAGCAGCCCCATTTGCCCATGTTGAATAGGTGACAAGGTCAGAAAACCAATACAGGACAAACGTATAGCCGGTCCAAGTTCTTCGACTTGGTTCCACGGGATCTTGGAGGCATCAGCTTCGTGTCAACAAGAATGAGGACTTCGAGTCACGAGTTTCGTGACAGAGAGTAAGCTTACCTTGATCTATTGCAGGTTAGATTCAATATTCGAAACTTAGCAGAAATGCTTGCAGAGATTATTCTCGGGCATACCTGAGTTACTCCAAACATAGTCAGGCGCTAGTGTACTCTTCTGCTTAGGGAGCTTCCAAGTGAACGTTCGTACGGAGTTCTTGGCTCTTTCAAACATTTTGGAGAACGAGAAGCAATCAACCCTATTAGAGAAGAGAAGATTTCTGGGAGCTTCTACATATTCATATCGTAGAAATAAGGCAGCCTGTCAACGTCCTGCTTATTATAACCAAATCCAAACTGATAGGAGAAGAAGTGGCGGCACATTCAGGCTGGAGATGGTCATGTCCGTTGGAAGATAACGTTCCATATTTCTTCCAGTAAACCAAGATTGAGAATACAGATATGCTCGATATGGGTATGGATATGGATATGAACATGGCTTTAGCTGCAAGAGGTGGATAAGGGTGCTAAAGGGCCCAAAGCGGGTGCGGGTCCAAGGTTCGGCCGAAAGCCCTCGTACCGAAGATAAACATATACCCAACATCAACAACAGACTCCTCCACCCCACTCTCCACGTCTATTAGCGACCACCGTCAGACTACTACGATGCTTCGTTATTCGACCGGCTTATAGTATATGACGAATACCCTGGCCTGTAGTCCGGACTGTTATGCTCGGTCGACGAGCAAATCTCGGCCGCAATGTCGAGAAAGCCTCAGACGTGCGCGGAATGTTCGCGGTGAGTTGACATTTACGATGTTACGCGCAGGTCTAGAGCTGACACGCCGTTAGACGGAAGATCAAATGTCAAAAAGTCATACCCTGCGATAATTGCATCAAAAGGCACGTGGTGTCTATCCTGTGGGATGTTCAACTTCTATTTCTGATACCATTACAGGGGATCAGCACAATGGTGCCGGCTCGCTGATATGACACACACTGTTGAGAGACAGGCATCTCATCCGTCAGACCACCCGTCCACTGGTGGCCCCGAAGCGATAGGAAATTCTATGGACTCTACATTGAATGAGAGACTTCTCGGTCTAGTAACGAGACTCTCAAACAGAGTTGAGCATCTGGAGGCTAGACTAGATACTACAGGACCGGAAAAACGCCCTTTACCTCAGGAGGAAGGAATTGATGATCGAATAGAAGATGAATCCCTTTCATTCTCAACAAGGCGGCCGTCAAAGCAGCGCAGGATTTCGCAAAAAGAGACATGTCGAGTCCCTCCAAATATTGAGGATAACAGCGAGCCGCAAAAGGAAACTGGAATCAAACCTAGTTTGCCGGAGCTCGATGCAGAGGTAGAAGATGCGGCTACGGTTCTCGAATTTCTTGCCTGGGGGAGGCTGAAAGACAGTAATATTACGACTGGTCTTCGGGACACTTCGGGTGATTCGGCTTTGGGATCCGAGAAAGACATAATTCAAAGTACCCAAACATGGGGCCTTTCGCCAGCCTCGGTTTCTGGAAGCCAGTCCATTGATACCCTGCAGATTTCTCAGATACAGGACTTGCTCCCTACCAAAGCTCAAGCTTTTCTGTTGGTCGAGTATCATGCCGAATGGCTTTTGTTCATGCATTGTTCATTTCATGCTCCGACGTTACGGCGGGACCTTGAGAAGTTTTATCTCAATGATCAAGGTAACATCAATATGACCAGTTTCGGATTGCAATGGACTGCACTCCTATTTGCAGTAATTTGTGTGAGCATGACTTGTGCAAAACCAGCGCAAATTGGAGACTGGGGATTTGTTGAAGGTTGGCCCCATCACATATATGTGTTCGCGGGAAGGTTACTCATTGAGAAAATAGGCAATCAAAGCTCACTAGCAAAGCATTGGTACCAAGCATCAGTTGAATGCCTGAGTGCTGCTAAATATCAGCAAAACCATTCTTGTAGGCTTTTTGAGACGTTTGAAGATTTATTCGGAAATTAACCAAAGCTAGTATACGGCGTTCAGACGATTGCGAGTTCCACTATATGCGCTCACTTACTAGGGTACGCCTACGAGTTATTATGAAGTTACACACTGATAGGAGTAGATTTTCTAACTCTCAGTCTGTTTTATTGGCGGCCGCAGTTCGCATCGCGCAGTCTCTGGGTCTACATAGACTTGGGAAACCGAAATTATCAGCCCGTGATAATGCCAATTATGATCCAGCAGAACGAGTTCAACAAGAGATAGGCCGGAGGGTTTGGCAACAGCTGACAATACAGGACTGGTTTTCTGTACCATTCTCGGAAACTTACTGTTTGCACTCCACTCTAATACTATTTGATGTCTCAAAAAGCACCCGCCATACTAATGAGGTTATAGGTGTGAATCCTCTTCACTTCTCCACGAATGCACCTCTTCATTGTGATGAGGAAACCATGCGGTCTACACCATTGTCTAGCCCAACCATCATGTCCTATGGTAATTTCCTCTTCAGGATCGCATGCCTAATGCCCGCATTGCTAGATCAGTCCTCAAAAACCCACACGCTCGAGGTAAAATATCAAGAAGTTCTGCGGTTCGATCAAATGATGCGGGAGCTGGTTGTGTCGGAGCTACCACCATGTCTGAACAGCCAAACGCCAATTGAGCCACAGTGGCCTCGATGGGTACTGTTAGCCCGGCGTTGCCTTACGATTACATCCGCCCATAAAATCATTGTACGTCTAGATATAAGAGGACTAGAAAAGTTACTAATTGACGTTCTTTACCAGATGATTCACAGGAGTTTTCTTGGGATGAGTTTTCACGATAAAAGATATGCTTTCACAAGGAGAAGTAAGTTACATTTGAGATATCCAAATTTCCTTCCGCGGAAACACCAATGCCTCTACCCCACTGAGAGAAGATGGTAAGCTGACAAAGTCTACAGCCTGTCTATCTGCAGCTAAAACAATCATAAATGAGGTCAAACAAGATCTCCCTGACGAAAGCCCGATAATCTGGACCACACAAGCCTTTAGTGTTGCTGCTGCTGTAAGTGATGCCCAAGTATCATGCCTCAATCTATTCTAAATACCATATTAGATTATATTGTCCCTAGATAACTTTAGCCGCCACCGGTCCGCTCAAGAGTATATAGATAACCGTCAACTAGTCTTGGATGCCATTAAATATCTTTCCAGTAGTGTCTCAATATCCTCAATCGCTGCCAGGGGCACACGTCTTCTGGCTGGACTATTAGCGGAAGATGAAAAGCATACTCAGATTTTGGATACTCGCCAAGACTTACGTGGTGAAAGCCAAAGAGCTGGCGGTGGAATTGCTGTTTCTAAGAGTGGCGATAAAAGTCTCGATATTTCAGCGTTCGTGAAGAAATTCTGTCAACAAGACCAGGCACCGCCAGGCAGTTCTCCTATAACAGATTCGCATATGCCATTATGGCTCCAACAGGAAACGTCTTTTCAGTCTTACTCGAATGCTCGGCGGGAATCACAGGATATGTATACGACAGGTAGAGACAGAAGTTACGCCGCTTCCAACTCGAGAATGCCACCACCGCCATCCATGCATGATGCTTTCGGACTCACAGCAGATCGCCGCCAGCATGAATACCCCCCCAACCCGTTTACTCAAGCATTTTCCGACAATTTTGATATCAGAAATGTAAATTGGTTTGATGATTTACTAGGAATGGCACCTTCACACTCAATCTGAGAAGACTCAAGTAAGTCTTGCGCGTCAAATGACCGCATCTCTCTATATCTCTCCAAATAAAGTACATATCCGCTGACAGGCTAAGAACGTTACAAAAAATCCAACATTGCCTCCATAGCCTTCACTACCCCATCAGTATCTTCTAATACCTGCTGATGACCTGAATGCACTACTTTCAGCAAGACGTTCTCGTTTCCGCCACCTCCTATTAGCGTCATGAGATCCTCGGACCTCGACACGGGCGATATCATGTCCTGATCCCCCGCAATGAGCACAGCTGGGCATTTGATCGTAGAATAGTCTGGATCGACATGCGTCTTGGCACAAGCTGCCTCACAAGTAGCCGCGTAGCCTTCGGCGTCTTGCGAGCTGATCATCTGCCTGACGATTGTTCGAACAAGGTTCGAGGAGCTGGGAGCGACATTGTTGCCAATTGTGGAATCTCTAATCCCTTCGATGCCAAGCCTGGCTTTGGCTCCAAGGCCAGTCATTCGCTCGACAACAGCAGGAATATGGGAGGCTGATCTCCCGGGCCCAATGAGAACGAGCCCGCTGATTCCTGGATTTTTTGAAGCATAATGCATGGCTACAATACTTCCAAGGGAATGGCCAACGAGTATTGTATTCTCCTTTGAATCCTTGGAGTCTAGAATAGAGGAGAGATCTTCGACGAATTGTGGTATAGATGGCGGTGACTTGAAAGTGCTGAATCCGGAACCTGGGAAGTCAAACCGCAACATAGTGTATCGAGAGGAGAAATGAGATATCAAAGGCTGGAAGGCGTTCGTTGTTCCACCCAGACCATGCATCAGTACCATTAATGGACCGGAACCACATTCTTCAATGAAGATCCGGGAGCCATTAGGTGTTGTATGATAGTACGTCTTGGTTTCGTCAGACATGCTGTAAAAAGTGTGTGAAATTGATCTACGGAATTTGACAGACTCTATAGCATTCAGATATGTTCGAGGCTAGACGTGATTGTGAGGAATGAAGCTGAGCAATTGCACTTTGACAACCAAATGTCCTATAAGACTTGTGTTTCCATGAATGGGGTTACACACGGTACTTTCGTTACGCCCCGGAGTTTCGGCCGAGTTCTTATCAGTATATTCTTCTAAAGCCGCTGCCTCCAAACCCAAAAAGTAAGTGATTAAAGACAACTTCTTATCATAAATACCGGCCGAATTGATCTGAAAATAGGCCCTCGAAGTTAGATAGCCCTTGGATCGACTTATGAGACCATTAAGGCCGAATCATAGCCCATGAAGAGACATGTGATTTCTTTTGGCCTTCTACTATACTTACTACTTAATGCAGCAAGCGTATAAGCCTTTCAGACTACTCGATCGAAATTCCAGTCATTGTTCATCCCAATGCCTTCCGCCATCAAAGATATCCGGGTCACGCCGATGGAGCACGGCTCCAAGAGCAATGTTGATTTCGGCGCCACAGTGCACGGCATCGATCTGAACGAGTTCACCGACTCGGACTTCGAGATAATCCACGAAGCCCTACACAAGCACAAAATGCTCGTTTTCAAAGAGCAGCCTAAGATGCTCGCGCCTCAGCGACAATATGATCTGACTCGGAGATTCGATCCGGATGAGACGACGGGCGGGTTTGCCCATGGTGTTGATCCGTTTCTCACGTCCCACAACGACGTCGATATATACGGTCTCCCTAACCGTCCTGCGATTCCTGTACAGCCGCAGGTGCATATCCTTGGACGGGGAGAACTCCCTGACAACCACTACCAATTCCCGCCGGGCTTCAAGGTCAAGGGCATCGATCACCACTATTTCCATCTCCCTCCCCACATCCCCAGCGAGGAACGAGAAGCTGGGAAATCTCGATTCTACCAATGGCATTTCGACGGCTCTTTGTACGCCATTCCTCCGCCTCGAGTGGGGTGTCTGCTCGCTGTAAGAACGCCCAAAGGACCGGATGTGAAGGTTCAATGGGATGATGGCACGGGAACTGAGATGGCCATCGCGCCTGGAGCCACAGCTATGGTGGCCGGATCTCGGGCTCTTGAGCTCCTTACTCCTGAGCTGAGAGACATTGCATATAATAGCAAAATCGAGTATGCGCCGCATTGCTTTGAGTGGATGTCCACGGCGCATAGTACTCGTCTGGGGCATTCCATCGAGACGGAAGGACTGGAAAAGCCGTTGGATAAATTAAAGCCCTGGACAGAGGAAAAGGTATGTACATACCCAATGGTGTGGAAGAATCCCATGACTGGGGAGGACAGTCTGCAGGTTCACGGACAAGGCGCTTTAAAGTTATTTCTGAAGAGTAGTCCGGATGGAGAGGAGACCATTATCGACGATCTCAGGGAAGTGAGAGCTTTTATGCATAAGTCAGTCCTTACCCCACCCCCCCCCCCCCCAACCCCTTTCTGACAAAGCACTTGCTAATAATGTTATAGACTCATGCGCCCGGTCCTTGAACCGAGTAACATATATGCGCATAGACACGAGGAGCAGGATGTGATTCTTTGGTACAACCGGGCTCTCTGGCACTCAATTGTAAGCTCACTAAACATGGTCCCTTTATATACACTTCTAATGAAGCTAGACCGAGTTTCCAGAGTCATATGGGCCGAGAATCATGCATCAGTGTAATGTCGCAGCTTCAGATCATCCAGTAGCCGCTAGGCAACTTCCAGCATGAGCGTCCTTAAAAAGGGTCAAAGTTGCGGGTGTATGTCTAGAACAACATATCATATTAAAATGAGAACTGCTGTCAAAAAATTGCTTGCCCTGAAAGAGAATTATGCTATCTTTTGGAGAAACGAGGGTAATGAACACAAAGTCGCTCCGCAAAGTATCGGAGCCTCTAGTTCATCTAGAATGGAATATAATCCACGTAGACTTTACTGGGATTCGCCGATGAATAAAAGCTGCACTTGCAGAGGCGCCCCAGGAGCATCACCTTTCCTTAAGCACAAGCCCACAGACCCGATACATCTGGATACTTCGCGATCGAAACAAAATGTGTTAGCAAGATATCATTAACATTTCTTTAGATAATTACAACTATATAAATAGTTCCAGTCAGCCATATATGGCCAAAACGCCGCGCTACTGTACAAAGCGCCAACCATTATGAAGGTTGAAGAGAGTTCAACCAGACCCTGCATGCTGCACTAGCTTTTCAAGGGCACTCTCTCAACCTTCTCAGACATGAGCTGACCTACGCCATTCGATCAACCAACTCATATCTATCCTTTCCTCCACTCAACCTACTCCACCAGCCTATCCTTCTTCTCCCAGTAGATGTTCTCCCTACTTTCATAACCCACATGGACCACGCCCACCATAGACAGGCTCCCACAACTCCTGCCAAGGCAAATCCCGAGACTGTGAGCAGCAACCAATGCTTCCCCATCCAGAAAATAGTCTCCGCGTCTTTGCCGTGCCAACTGTTGCCCTTGGAAATGTTGAAAAAGCTCCATGCATGTTTGCTGTACTCGTCCGGCATTAGAGTTCTAACATGTTCCATCGGCTCTCTTGTCGTTCCAAGATACTCCTTCCACATGACGGATAAGAAGAGCGGACCTGTGCTATACATGACACTGATGTACGGCAGTCCCCAATTGCGGTTGTAGGAAGCCAGCGACTCAATCACATGTGTGAAGAAGGGGTGTTGCGCTACTGAACCCATGGCATCGTTGCTGATACCTGTTGGAATTGTGCGCCGCAGCCAAGCTGGGTAGCTGAGGAGAGGATCCAAACGCCTGTTGCAGCCATCGTCCAGGTCGATGTAGATTCCGCCGTAGAAATGGAGCACGAAGTACCGGATCGCATCTGCGCGTTGGATGGGGAAGGGATAGCTGTCGAAGGTATCGGTGAACCAGGGGTACTCGTTCACTATGAATTCTCTCGACATTTCATCCGTCCAAAGCTGCGACTGAAGTTAGCACTTGCTGCTGTGCCCTAAGATGTCTCATGATACGAACCTTGTATTCATAATCATCGTGCAAGTCTATACACGACTGCTGGCCGGGCTTCCACTTGGCCGGGATGGTAGCATTTTTGTAGGTCTGATGTATGATTTTGGGGATTATTTGCGTCCTATTGTCGATGAGATTCGATCCCGGCGCTGGGATCTCTGATCGGAGGATGGCATCCGCGCCGCCGTCTTCGAAGAGGAGACCTATGAGGGTGCTGAAGGCATTGACGAGGAAGCCTATGATTATGAGGTTGATGACTAGGAAGATGATGGTGCCGCGTCGCATTGTGAGTAGAAGGATCGTAAGAGTTGGACAGGAGTTAGCGATAAGAAAAGGCCCGGAAGGTGAGGCTGGTTGGAAAAGTGATTATAACCGCATGGGGATAATGTATGTCTTGATGTCGGGTTGGGATGGATGGTCGTCGAGGGGGCGATTTGACGCTTTTACGCGTTTACGCTTCTGGCAAAGTGCCAAGGTGTAATTTAACTTTAGACTGGTAACTTGGGCAGTCAAAGATATTGATGATTTAGGGGTAGATATATATAAAAACCTGTATCTTCCGGCTGAGATTAGACTATCACAAGCAAGTAAATCTTACATGTTTTATAAATAAGCATATCTAGTCTAGGCGTTGTAGGTAGGTACTTAGGTACAAAGAAAGGATGGGGGCTATACCTGAGATCCTTATCGCGCTACTCGTATAGGTTATTTTTCAAAAGTATGCCGTTTCTGGAAAAGCACATGTTTAAATGTCCGATTCGCCATACTCCGTAGCTGATGGGATGTTTTCTACAATTCGTAGCTCTTGGCTCTTAGCCTCTTAGACGACGCGTTGCTCGCAAATATAAATACTCCGTACTTCCGTAATTGAAGTCGGGACATAAAAAAGACCCGAAGCACGGAGTAGACGGAACTCTTATTACCGTGACATGTCTACTTTGAGTGCATTATCATTCTCTAACTCTCAAAGTAAATAGCAAAAGGGTAACGTCTATTTCTTCTTTGTTTCACCTAGGCTAACGAACACTATACTAGGAGATTCTTCAGACAAGCATTGCTTCTATCTATAGTATAGAGCTACAGCAGAACCCCTTTACACCTCGCTAAAAACAAGGGGGGGGGGGATGAATGAATGAAAGACCTGTACGAGTCAAAAACTATGTAGGAAGGCGCTGGCATAATAATAGGGCGGTCTATGTATATTATACAAGGTGGATCGTCCTTTATCTCTCCTGTTGGAATATGTGGGACTAGGCCTAAGGGGAGAGGAGGTCAATAAATGGACTCTTATAGAATCCTATAGGGACGGACGTTATTTAACAATAAGCAATTCAAAACATCTTGAATGAGCAATTGGATTATTCATGTAATATTCATATTCAACCCGGGCATGCTTCCAGGCATAGCATATTCCTCTCCCCTAGCTCTCCTTCGCCACCTCAAGCTTTCTTGCTCTACTCTCTCCAGTTCCGATCTAGCTTTAGCCTCAGCCTCAGCTTCTACCTCTCTCCTCGCCTCGTCCCTCAAATCTTTCTTCATCTCCTTCCCTTTAGCCCTACTTATAGAAGCTGGTTCTGAACCCCCATCATCGCCCCCTCTGGTATTCTTCTTCCTAGGCCATAGACTCGGCAACTCAATCTGCTGGAACCTTGGCTCAACACATCTCTCGTCGAACCAAGTATGCAGCCTTGCCTCCACCAATTGAGCAATCTTTGGCACATCCTGTAGTCTTGACCTGCTCCCTACCAAACTCCTAATCGACAAATCCAGTCTGTAATCATCCAGGAAGCTAAACGCCAACATCGTAGCATTCATTGGACTCCCGGGCACGAAAGAGATAGACAGCGTGCCACTGAACCTAACCACCGAGACAGCCAGCGCAACAGGCAAGACTGCAACCAGAGGCTTCGGATAATTAAGCAGCAGCTTCGTCTCCAAAGCCAATGTAATAAAATCACTCAAATCAACATCCATCCTCGCCTGCAAACGTCCCTGATCCATCCCTGCAGCCCCTCTCTCAGCCGTCCCCAGACTCAGCCCATCCTCATCCACCGGGATGACCCTACAGTTACTAAATATAGGAAAATCCTCTCCCAGACTAATCTCCGTGACTTTAATCTCGTCCAAGAAATCCGGCCGTGAGGATCCATTCAGGGCCTTTGTAAGAGAAGTCAAAATAGCATCGTCATATTGCGCATCACTGCGGAACTGGGCAATAGTTTGCGCAATCAGCACATTGAACCAATCCAGACTCTCCGGCTGGTGACTGTCCACATTATAGTACGTCTTGCTCAGTATTGTCGTCGTGGTAAGGGGCGGCGGGACTCGCAGGACGCTGGAGCGCTTCTTGCTTAGGGGCTTGAGGGTGAGGAGGGAGCGTTTGTGGGCGAGGGTTCGGGAGCGGCGCTCGGTGGCTCGGAGGGCGGCTGTTACATCGGGGGAGGGAGGGTCGCCGAAGATGAAGAATTTGATGAAGGCGCCGATGAGGATCGCGATGGAGAGCTGGCCGAGGAGGAGGCCTTGAGTGAAGGAGAGACTGTGGGAGTGAGTTGGTGCCCCTCGATGGACGGATGGGGAGACTCACGAGGACTCGGCCTTGAGGGGAGCCGCATCTATACTGGTCATTTTGAGAGAATGATTAAACCCTCACTGCATTATGAAGGAAACTCGTGGTGCTCAAGAGTGCAAAATATCGAGTTGCACTTGCCAATGTTTCAGTCGATACTTATATTGGATGGAAACGCGAATAAATTTTGGCAACGCGACCGACTTAGACGTCATGGCTCGGCCGAGGTCGAATTACAGCAGTATGCTTGCTAGTCTTGATCCAACCATACACTTTTGAGTCTTCGATTGGAGATATTTTATATTCTTTAACCCTCGCAAGATAATTTAATATATTTATCTACATTATTAAAGCCCCCCATATCTCGAAATACTCCACCGAAGTCCTCACCCTAAACAAAGTCCAACATTAATTCCGACTGCTTTCCTGAAATCCGGAGCGCATCTTCTACTGGTTCAGCCCAAAACATTGTCTTGCCTTCATACCTGATAATAGGACAAAAGGCAATTACCATGACTGCCGATTTTTTCATGTTAGATTCTGTGCGAATGCGGTGCCGGGGTTGAGAAAGAGATATAAGTGTGGTCAGGAAAGGGAGCGCAAATATAATTTGCCAAGGGGAGGTGAAGGAAAAGATTATAGTTAGGGCTGGCTTGACAAACCCTACTACTGTCCTAGAATCCTCGGAAAAAGTAGACTGTGCTCTAGATTTTCATGGCCCGTGATGCTAATACCTACACTATACGCCATTGATTTAAGAACTACATGACGCCCCGTCTCAATAGTCCCTCACGCACAATTTTCGAGCCGTTGATAAAGCCCTCATCCCACCATCTAATCGTTGCAGAACAAAGTAAAGGAAGATAAATTATAGTACATGAGTATAGAAAATGGGTTTAGTCTAATCCCAGCAAGTGGATAGATTTTGCGGCGACTTCTGCGTGTGGAAGTTTGCTCGATCCTTAGATCCCGGTTGAAATTTCTGCATACAGTGGCCAGAGAATGAAGTTGAAGGAGGCCAATGCATGGCCCTAGCTCTACGAGCTTGCATCGCGGTTGCTCTGCGAACTGGCACTCATCACGGGTTGTTGTGTAGGTAGCGTCATCTTGCTCATCTGTGATTGCCTAACCTTCGCCCAGGCGTAGACAATACCACTAACGAACCCAATGATAATAGCGGACACACTGCCAAAGGTAACGGGTGCTGCGAAGAATACAAGTCCACTGACTGCGATAGGAAGCTTGTTGAGAGCTCCGACCATGGAATAGGTAGTCGAAGAAGTAACACGAATACACCAGGCTGAGCAGTAAGAGATGAAAATAGTGGCAAGACCAGAGTAAATGAAACCCGTGATAAGCTTGTTTCTCGACTCGAGTGGAAAGTTTAGGGCCACGTTCTCAGAGGACCAGTTCTCGAAGATGAGGGAGCAGAGGATGAGGACCGGGATGGTAAGCAGGTTGTTGTAGAACATGGCTAGAAATTAATTAGTGTCAACTCAAAATTTGGATTCTCTCGGTGCAACGTACTGTCCCAATCCTTGAAGTTCATCTTTTTGATGACCTTGCGCATAGAAAGGACATATGCGGCAGTACAAAAGACGTTCAACCCCATCCACATATATCCCGCATTCAAGGTAGAGAGCGCCGCAGCAGCTTCTGAAGATGCAGCCTCTGGGTTTCCGTACAACGCATGCTGGATATCTGCCCAAGCTGCCACCACGGAGCTCATAACCATGAGTCCAAAGGAGAAGAGAGCTGATGCAGTGACGCTACCACCGAACCACAATACCTCGCCATATGCAATAACAATGATAGTCAAGTTCTTGAAGATGGTGTAGACGGGAACAGAGAGAAATTGGAGCGCTTTAGTGCTCGTATAGATCATGCCAACAAGGAGGAGAGAGATTGGGAACCCTGTTTCAGCATGTCAGCAATGCCCCTTTTCTAATAGATGGCCGTCCTCACATGTCTTTGCTTTCTTCGAGTCGAACGGCGCCAAGTTCGTGATCATACCCACCTGTTTGCAAGCTATAATAGCCAAAATACAAACAAGAGACTGCAGAATTCGTTAGTTGTGTGCTTATCAGATTTTTTGAATTCAGGGGGAGGGGGGACGGTGGGGGGCACTTGCTTGAACGGCCAGATAGAAGAAGTTCAGATTCCAGTTGGCTCCAGAGACACAATACTTGTTCGTCACTGTCATAGATATCGATGCCAAACAGTATGCCAAAATCGAGATAGGGGGGCTATTTGTGATGCTAGAAATTGCTGCGGGCGGCGCGATTTTGTCGGATCTTGCCCTTGCAAGGAAAGGGTCTCTCGAGGACGGCGACGACCGTCCTTTCACGTCGCCCATCTCAATGGCATAGTCTTCGTTCTTTTTGTCGTCCATTTTCGCGGCGGCGCAAATCTCTGAGGGCAAGAGGCTTGGTTGGTGTAGAACGCGCGGGCACTAAAGGGGGAAGACTGAGGCAGGTCGAGCGTACTTGTAGAGTAGAGGATCGTACTGGGTTGAGAATTCAAACCTTCAATACCGCGGCATCAGGCGATGAGTTCGGTGGTTTCCGGGTCGTCGAATGGTTCTGTCAGAGTTCTGCTGAAGAAAGAGAAGAAATATCCGCCTTACAAAATAATGTTGGCGTTGGCCTCTTGAGCTCGGGTTTCTTAGCGCCGCGCCGCCTTCTTTCCCAAATTAGAAATTAGATTGCAGGGATGTCAAACGCGTCCCACGCAGAACCTTTGAAGCACCGCACCTCATAAAGTCACCAATATGTCGAACATCGATTCTCATGTCGCATCCGTGCTCGATAATGCACAGTCTGACGATGAAGATGCCCTTATCGCCTCTCTCGAAGACTCTCCAGCCTTAGACGCATTCCGCGAGCAAAGAATCCAGCAGTTGCACTCGGAATTTACGCGCGCGAAGTCGCAGAAGAATCAGGGCTTTGGCAATTACACGGAGATTAAGGAGGAGAAGGCTTTGATGGATCTTACGACTGAGGTCAAATACGCTGTGGTGCATTTTGCAAAGGATGACTTTGCTAGATGTGGGGTTATGGATGATCATTTGAAGGTAGGGATCTCTCTTTGGCATGGCTGTATAAGGGCTAATTGGTACAGGCTTTGGCCCCGAAACATTTCGATACAAGGTTCTTGAAGATGAACGTCGACAATGCTCCATTTCTGGTTACAAAGCTTAATGTGAAGGTTCTGCCTTGCATTTTGGCATTCGTGAATGGCAAGACCGTTGATCGGATCGTGGGCTTTGAAGGCTTGGGTTATACACCAGATACCTTCACAACTCAGGACTTGGAGGCTAGGCTATTGGCTTCAGGGGTAGTACTGAGGGCCAAGGCTATGGGAGATGCTGGAGTGCGGTTTGGAGGCAAGGCGGCGGAGAAAGAGGACAGTGATAATGATGATGACTGGGATTGAACGAGTCATACGAAATTCACGATTTTGAAACTGTAGGCTGACTGTTATACGAGCCAACACGATATTTGCAACGTTTTAATACGTTGAAAGACACGAAGAAGCGCCAGGGCGCTACTGGATGTCTGATATGATTGCCTTGGGACTCGGAAATCCCTTTCCCTAGGCCAACGGTCTACCATGGCCTTTAAGATCGGCAGGGATAAAATTTCAGGACCAAAGAAGTCTTAATTGATTTATCTGCAATGGATATCTTTTGTGCCATCCGAGTCTCCCACATAAACCGAGTGTCCATCCACAGAGACCCTAACACCGACCATGCAAAAGCGACCCCATATGTGCCAATATCAGAAATCCCAAGCCAGTGCAAATATCCGTTCGCCGAACCCGTTCCTGTTCCAATGTCCTATTTCACAATCCCAATCCTTTGACCCACGTTCTTTCACAGATCACCTCAAGATAAACCACTGAACACCCAAACACCACTAGAACTTGCCTCCATTACTCTAAAGGTCCATCTCACCATGCTTCAACTTCGCCTGAAGAGCCCAAGGATTATCCGCTTCGTCTTATCCGCGCCGCTGGGGCAAGCCATGATCGAATTCGAATCGCTGGACGAGGTAACCGAGGAACTTGAAACGCAAGCGGAGGCAGTCTGGTTTCCTACTCCACCGATCCCGTAGTGGAATGTTGTCGATTTGCTCCTTCTAATGACTCGACGGGCAAGGATATCGTTCTGACTGGCGATGGCTCGTTCTTCAAACTTATATTGGTTGCCAAATCCTCCAATAGACGAGAACAAGACACCGGATCTTCGCCGTTTGATGATTGGCTTGGGTTGGGCTGGCAGTGCATCAGAGAGCTTGCGGACATTGCCAATGCCGGTGATCTGTATTCGAGTCAGTATGTTCACAATCAAGGTGTTTCTGGGAAGTGATGACGGAGGGAAAAGGGAGCTATTGATAGACCTTGCAGAGGTTCCCCCAGGGCGAGTTGTAGAACTGAAGGGACTAGGATTTCTTACGCCAGACTTGAAGTATGGGTTGTTCTTCGTGGAGATGAGCGGAGCGGTACTCGAGTCGAATGACTTGGCCGTAGACATGGCTGAGGAAATCTTGAGGAAGTCTTGAGAGCAGTATTGAGTAACTGTACTGAGACAGCTGCTATTCCTATGTTGTAGGATAGCGGTTATATGAAAAGGTGAATATCCTGCGTACGAGATCTGGAGTGATTGTTAAGTCGCGTCACAGAATTCGGTGAATTGGAAATGCTACTGGTTCTATTTTCGCGAGACATAGCAGGAAGGAGCACAGAAGTATTTTATACAAGAGCACTAGTTCTCACTCAACTTGATACTCGTGCTGAAAGACAATAGACAAAGCATTGATAGATTGCGAACTACTTTGGTTTGTTTATCTCAGCGTGAAAACAGACAGCAAATTCGAATAATTTGGGCTAGACACTGCGATGGCTTGCAACAGATCATAGATACAGCAGACGGATCTTGCTCGTTGGACCGAGCCATCTTATATTTTTTGCATCAGCTAGCCACCAAAGCTTTCAAATATCGAAAAGCTGGTGGTAGTATGGTACTCACCGCAGGATTAGCTTTAGATATGGCATTTTGGAGCATCGACAACAAATTGCTTCCACTGAGAGTCTATGAGAGAGAAACAAGCTGCTGTTATCAGCCGCAGGTGGCGTTGCGTGCTTTCCTTCAGCCAGCGCATGGACGAGACCTACCTATCTACCTAAGTACCTGTAGGTACCTATGGTGGTGGACGTGGGAGCGTATCATCCGCCTAGTCGAGGTCATTTATGCGATGTCATTGCATTTGAGTCAGGAAGATACTGTACTTCGTACTTATCAACTGGCAATTCGAACGGCAGGACGCACATGCTACATTGGAAGCGGCAAGTACATTTCTCTGTAGGCATTTACCTACTTACCTAGTAGGTACGGAACGGTACGGTAGTTGTGGTCAAGAGAATCTGAGAAAGGAGCACGGCATGACCCAGCCGTGAGGCCGTCGGAAACGCCCCTGTGCAGATCGCGGCTTCAAGAGTCCAAGCGCCGTATTCTCCCCTCTCGAGTCTCTCTCCTCTCGAGTCTCTCTCCTCTCAGCCTCCAGCCTCCAACCTCCAACCTCCAGAGTCCAGAGCCCAGAGTCCAGCCTCTTTCCTTCACCGCTGATTATTGAGAATCACCTAGCTCGCCCTCAAGCTTACCTACCTAGCGACTTGATTACCTAGAAAGGTATGCATATCACCGCCTGGGCTCGTTGACGGGTGAACTTAGGGCTGCTTGGCATGGGCTTGTCATACGATACGAACATAATCGTGAAATCTTATTAGCGAATACTCCGTACTCGTATTTCCGTCTGCAATACTGGCATGGCACGGTGCCTTGAGTAAGGCCCAAGGCTAAAAGTGCGTATCTGGCATATGCCAATGCTGACGTTACGTTACTCCTAATAATGCTCATTTTGCGCGTTTTATAGAAGTAGTTAGCAAAGATCAGCATCATCACCCGCCTCTCTACTTTACTTTACAAATCGAGCCGTTGCAGTCTAAGGTGCGGCAGTGGCGGTACCTTATTATTCTATCATTGAATTATTTACGCAACTATTTCTACTTGCATGTCTTTTTATGTTAGTATGCTCTCAAAACGTCAAATCAAATCCGAGCTACCCCACCTTGGAAAGCATGACTGCGTGTATTATGAAGTTGTAGCTCTTAAATTTCCAGAAGGAAGCTAGAAGGGAAAAAAGTCTTCAATATTGCTAGTGGGTCGCAGATACGAGTTCAATAGACAAAGACGTCCCCCATACATACTTCGTACACTGGATAGAAATATGGGTCGAAATACGGATATACGATGATGCAGTACGAAAAGAAATCAGAAGGTTGGAATTGACCCTCATGAAAGAAGTTCTCGTGTCAGATCCCATAGTGGCAAGCTGCGCAACTTTCCTATTGATCAGGGAGAATACTAGACTCGCAGAATTATGGTCATCGTCAGCCTTGCCACTTCTCGAAGAGCCCGAAGGACTCCGCCTCTTTCTTTTTGCCGACCAATAATGCGTTGGAAATGGCTTCAACATTGTTTTAATGGGCCTACAAGGCTGGCTAGCTGATATTCAGCCCTCCGCTCTTGGCGTTGGCCACTCCTATGCCTTCCCCCAGATCATGTTATTCGGCCAATGATGATAGCGCTTTCAAATCTTCACCAATCACTTTACAATAATCATTTTACAGTCATCATTTTCCAGCCTTGCGGTACCGTATAGCCATAAGCATAAAACTGGGCTTCTGTAACTACAGTAAGCCGGAGAATTTCAAGAAGAGTTAGTGCCATTCAAATGCTCGGCCTTATCCATTTGTGATTATTTGATCGCTCCATTTTTGTGGTGGCACGTATGTTATTCTAATCCGTGGCTGGCTTTGACGAGAAAATAATTGCTATTTTCGTCTCATGTACTGAAAACGAAGAAGGCTGGGGTATGAGTCTGAGCTTTGAATGTAGCCTTAGAAGACCCGCACAAGATATATATACCTCCCTAGAGCGCTGTGTTTTTTATTTCACAGCATCACATTCCACTTGTCTATTGTCCCTCGTTCAATATCTTGCCACAATTCCCAAATCCTATACCTCTTAGACATTCTTATCCAAAATCCCAAAATCCAACTACAATATGAAGTTCACTACCACTACCGCGGTCGCGCTCCTTTCTGGTCTTGCCACTGCAGACTACTATACATCTGTACTCTGCACTGCGCCTACGGTCACAGTCACTGTTACTGAGTCAGCTTGCAACACAATTCCTGGGTCTTCTGTTACTCAAGCCCCAGCACCCACCGCGAGCAAGCCTCCATATATCACTACGGCCAATGGACAGGTAACCTCTTGCGATTATGGATCGGATTCGAAGTCAACAGTCTACGTGTATCCGACTGGCAGTCCAAACTATGATGCGACATGTGCCGTTTACAGCAGTACCACTGTGATCTCTGTTGTCATTGTCAATATCAACATTGTGGTGAACAACGCTGGCCAAACCACAACTATCACCAACACCAAAACCGATGTTCCAACTTCCACTCCTGCACCACCACCACCACCAGCAACCAACACCAATCCTTCATACACCAACTCTTCGAGCACATTAGTGCCTGGCTATTACAATGGCACTTCTTCCTCATCTTTCCCCACCGCCTACTCCAGCAGCTTGAGTCAACCTGCCAGTCTCACCCACTCAGTCTCAAACTCCACCTCTGCAATTGCTGCCTCAACAGGTAGCGTCTGGACGAGAAACAACCGAGCGGCTAGACGAGGGGCATGAATTGACGGGATTTGATGGGTCACGCTGATACAGCTGTACATGCTGCATTGGCATCATGATTATGAGGTTGTTCTGGGGCGTTTTAAGTTTAAAAAAAGCGATTTTGCGTGCAGCATTTTTGGTATTCTGCTAGAATGGGAGCAATAATAGAATAATTAGAAGGGGGTTTTGTCTTGGAGGCTATATTGGCCCACACCACGCGCAACGAGCGCCAAAAGTAATTAGAATTGCTCGAGAGGAATTAATAACACATATTTCCTCAAATTTCAGCCAATGTCTGTCCAATTTTATGGTTTTATTTGAGAATTTGACGCTTAAGTCAGTTCGGGGTCTTCCTTCCGCAGCCTAAACACTGAAATTCTTTGCAGACTTTACGTCACAACATTTTCTACATATTCTACATTAGGTCCTAAGTTTGCTTTTAGTTCTCAGAACTTAATAGACCACTCTAGAAAAACCTCCCGAGCGTCGAAATACCATAGCAATCCTTGAACTTTCTACTAAATCGTAGTTTTCTCTATGAAACACTCCAATACGGTGATCTCGAATATTCCACAAGAATGGCAGATGAAGACCTGTTTCCATATCTTTGCACCTGCTCTGGAGGTCATCGGAGAACTTGGGAGAAGTTGCTACTCGAAGAAGCCTTATAGTGGATAGCATAATGGAGACGAATTTATAATATGCTAGGTAACGTGGGACAACTAGAAGCAATGGTAATAAGTGCCGCTTTTTATATCTAGTATAAAAGAGCTTAATGAAGAGTTTGAAAGTTGGTCAATGGCGGTCCTGGTATGGGGTAACTCATGAGCCTTTTATTATCGGACGTTGATAAATCTCAGATGGCGAAATCTGCTTCTCTTGCCTGTTCTCGCACCGGCAGTTAAAACCCGAAGGTTCAATAATAGTAAAGCATAAGTGTTTACCTTCGTAATAGCCCAATCATTCCTCTAGAAAGTTTGAGATGCGCGACATGCCTAAGACAAAATAGGGGTTCAACTTAAACTCGCTAAGCCCTGTAAAGTGGCGCGCAGTGCAGATCGTGACGCCGATGGCGTGCTGTGAATGACAGAATGCGCCAGTACAATCACCAGAATTACAGTACAAGTATACTTGGTACGTAAATTCTTCTCTTTTAACTCCGCCGCCATCCCATCTGCAGAATAATACTTCTCAAAAAAAACAAACCATCTTCTATCAACCTGCACTACACAACCCTCAACTCAATCAACTACAATTGCAATAATGAGAGCATACTGGTTCGACAACCAACCTGTATTTACCCCACCATATACCCCGCACCGACCACTCACCACTCACCCCCTATATCAGCTAACCCATCAATCAAACAGGGCGACCAACGCGAGCTCCACGACTCCGGGCGCGCCGTCGATCCAGCCTACCTCTCGAACCTCGGCGTGCTCTACTACCACATCTCCGACGAAAAAGACGTCGACAAGCTAGCCGCGGAGCGCAGCTACAAGAACCGCGACCTGATCACCGTGTCGCCGGAGAAGATGGGCGCCGTGTACGAGGAGAAGGTCAAGTCGTTCTTCCACGAGCACTTGCACGAGGACGAGGAGATACGGTATATCCGCGACGGCACTGGGTTCTTTGATGTGCGCAGCGAGGGCGATGAGTGGGTGCGGATATACTTGGAGAAGGATGATTTGATTGTGAGGCTCTTCTTGCGGTATTGAGGCAGGGGCGGTTGCTGATTTGGTGTAGATTCTGCCAGCGGGTATCTATCATCGATTTACTACGGATAGCAAGAATGTGAGTTGAAGCTTGAGAGGGCGAAGTTGGGGATATTGGGTGTGGTGCTAATAAGAGGCAGTATATTATGGCTACGAGGCTCTTCAAGGAGGAACCAAAGTGGACTCCTTTGAACCGTGGTCCGGAGGTCGATGTCAACCCCTTCCGCAAAGAGTACCTGCAGAGCCGGACTCCTGTTGCAAGCCAGTAGTTTGGAGCTGGGACTAAGTTGAGAAGTACATCGGCGATGTGTTGATAGGAACTGAACATATGATTCTTCTTCTTCTGGCATGTTTCCGATGTGACTAGTATTGTTTCATAATCCATATTCCAAAATCGAGTTAACATCAAGGTTCTGTTTCCTACGCCCTTTCGATTTACTGAAAGCCATGCCATGTGGCCAGTTACATTTATTGTTATATTCCTGCTCTTCATTCCACCCGTGGGGCATTGGACAACCCCATATAATTACTCTGAAGTCAGTTTCCTCTACGTATCAAGTTATAAATCCAGCTCATATTCCTCGCTGTTTGTCTCTCAGTGCCGTATTTCAGTAAGTCTGGCTCCAGGTCGGTTAAAACGAGGACATTAGATCCAAGCCCATGAAGACATAATTTATGACTGAAGAAAGGGCGGCTCACTCCTTTCAGATGCTCCCTTCAAGAAATATTGTTCCAAAGTAACGTGCCTGCGTCCCTTCGTCTCGTCCAATGGCTCCTTGATGCCAGAGCAACAGGACTCGCAAGGATGGAAAAAGCACCGGTTCTTCATGAGCACTAAGGAAGTAAAACGAGTCCTGGAATGGAGCAGAACGCCTGTTCTTTAAATTGACAAAGGGCAATACTATGTAACATTGTCGAACAGCTGGTTGAAGTCGAAACACCATGAGTTGTCCGAATCGAGGACTTCCATATGAAGCTTGTCCTAATCGGGAGTAGACTGCCACTGCCACTGCCCCAGGAAATCTTATCGATAAGATAAACCGATAACAGCCGCAGCCACCATCCAAAAATTTAACCGTGCATTGAGAACAAGAAGACAGCAACCATGGCCTCAAGAAGCAAGCCAAACATCATTGTGACTGGTACGCCCGGCGTGGGCAAAACTACCCACTGCGAAATACTCGCCGAAAACACTGGTCTGAAACACTTCTCGATCAACGAAGTTGTCAAGGACCGAGGTTGTCATGATGGCTACGACGAAGAATTCAAAAGCTGGATCGTGGACGAGGACAAGGTGAGGAGTGTGTAATTGCGCCGTTGGATTTATGCTAATAATTTAGTTACTGGATGCAATTGAAGATGAGGTGAAGCAAGGGGGATACATAATTGACTGGCACGCTTGCGACTTGTTCCCCAAAAGCTGGATCGACCTTGTGGTTGTTCTGCGAGTCGATTCTACACAGCTTTACGACAGACTGAAAGCAAGGTGCGCATTGCAACCAGACATGCTTTAAATTTTCACTCACCAGCAAACAGGAACTACCCCGAAGCCAAACTACAAGAGAATATCGACTCCGAGATTATGGAGGTCCTACTACAAGAAGCGCGGGATTCATACGACGAAGACATCGTAGTCGAGCTCACCAGCAACAGTACGGAGGAGATGGACAGCAACGTTGCACGGATCGAGAGTTGGCTTGCGCAGTGGAAAAAGAACAACACCGAAAATGCGCAATAGCGAATTGGTCTATAGTCTATGATTTTATGCCTCCTGTAGCCATGCCTTCAGCTTCTCAAGCGCCCGGAAACGATGCGAGATCTTGTTCTTCTCGACCTTTTCCATTTCCGCATACCTATCGAAGTTAGGTGATGAACGTGGGGGAAACTTTGGTCTTGCACTTACGTCTTGCCTTCATACTCGAAAATCGGATCCCAGCCTATTAAAAGTGAGTGAGTGAAGGAAGATTCAGGGGGAGATACCATACCGAAATTTGTTGGCCCTCTCGGTGGTACTATCTTGCCCTAGATTTTGTCAGAAGTTGCATGGGTAATGGAGGAAGAAAACTCACATCTGTGCGTCCTTGGAAGATGATTGGCTCGTGACCTGGACCCTCGCAATATGCAAATGTACATACAGCTTGGGCAGACTTGTCGGGAAAGCCAGCAAGAAGATCGTTAAGTCCTTGTGTACCAACTGCCTGCAGAAACCATTTGCTGTATCATGGTGATTAGACTCAAACTTCTGATTCCTCATATTGGAATGATTTGCCATACATGTATGGACCTGGTAGTTCCTTTAATGCATTAAAGCACAAACACGTATCTTCAACAAGCACGGGACCTTTGACCTAAGAAATCTCATAAATATAATGAACAGAACATATGCACAATAGAAAGACTCACAGCATCGGCAGCTCTCCGACACTTATCCAGAGAAATCTCCTCAATCGTGCCCTGGATCTCCACCAAATCGATTGCCTGACACTGCAAATCTACCACATCGCCCAGAATCGCCTTGGACTCGGCAAGCTTGTTCTTGTTCCCCGTTATGAAGAAAAGTTGCTTGGGAGGCGCCATGATTGATGTTGAAGTTGCGAGGGTGGGAATAACCAATTTGGAGCTGATAAGTAGAGTAGCAGAAAATTGATTCTTGAAGTTGATTGGCTGTGAAATGAGTGGAGACTAACTGGCTGGGTATCTGGATTTGGTTTGGTCAGCAAGAGGACAACAAACAGAAATTCCGAACAATCCTCACATCAATTAGAAACGGCCAAGTTACAAAGTAGAGCTAGCGTGGCAATTGACTGAGATGTAATTTGATACTTGAATACATATATACCGGACAAAGTGCAAGGAGGACGTAATTCGTGGCAACAAAACCCTTTCAATAGCCCGTTTCTTCCCGGCCCGTGCCAGAAGCTGTCCTATGAGGACGACTATTTGCTAGGCCCTTCAAACGAAAGATCCCTCAAGCCATCTGCTTGCTCCCTGTCAACATGGAGGACGATTTCCACGAGCCCTTGACGGCGCAGGATCCCAGTCCACCTTCTTCAATCTGGTCGTCAATACTCACCCCAAACATCATTCTTGCCCTATTCCTGGGCCCTGTTTTAATTGCCTTTTTGACTCGCTATTTAAGTGAACGGTCACTAGGCAATAATGATGGCAAGAAAGGAAGACGCGTATGGATGCCTCCTTACTGGGTCCCGTTTGTGGGACATGGAATCGATTTGTGAGTAGAGGAGTTGAGACATAATATTGTCAGACGTTAACTGTTGCTAGTATTTACAACCCAATCAAGTTGATGAGTGAGGCAAGGTACTTGGTTTTTCTCAAATGCAATGCGCAATGGTTGACCTTTTGCTAGAGATCACAGCATGCATGGAATATTCGGATTATATCTTGGCGGCACGACTCTTAATATAAGTGAGTAGCCTCTTTTATTCTCCTTATCGAAATGGACTCCTTCAAGCGAGAATATCAATAGCTGACCCCTAAAAAGTATCGGACCCGGGATTGGTTAAAAGGTTGTACACCTCACGCCATCTATATGACGCCGCTAATTCGGCCCCGGCAGCGTAATGGCCCAGAAGGAATCCGTTGTTCAATTCAAGCCAATGGTGTGGTCTGCTCTCCAAAACGTACAGATAAAGCCCGGTTTACTCCAAGTCCTAGGCCAGCACTGACGGTATCAAGTTCTTCGGACTTCCCAAAAGCTCCAAAGTCAAATATGACAAATGCTGGGATGTAAGTACCATATCGTCCAGGGAGTCTGCTCTAGCTAATAGCTTTCAGGAATTGAATTCTCTATTTGGTTATTTCATGAAGGATCCCCAGCTGGGCGTTGTGCTAAAGCAGAGTAATCGCCTTCTCGAGCAGACGATCCCACAGATGATCTCGTTCGTTGAATCTGAAGTTGATCTACAGCCATGGGAGCGTATCGCTAAAGCCAGGTACATTTCTAATGACGAGACCGAGATCAATCTTTGTGGGATGACGAGAGATTTAATGGGGCAGACGTCTGTCTCGGCCGTGTTTGGCAGTGCTTTGATGGAGAAATACCCCGAGATTCTTCACGATACTTATCGTTTCGACGAGGGGATGTACTATTTACTCGCGGGTTTGCCACGGTTTACTCCATGGCCTCCTGCATTTATGGCCCACATGGCTCGAAACAATCTGTGGGCAGCGCTGGATGATCAACAGAGGGCTCTGGATGCTCTTGCCGAAGGAAAGCCCGTTGATTATAGTTGGGGGGAGTTGGATGATGTGAGTGGATTCATCATGAAAAGAAACGAAGTTTATCGAAGTAAGATCCTCCAAGCCAGACTGCTCGTGCTTGAGTAATACTTACCACCCCGCAGAAAACGATTTCGAAATCAGAGAGAGGGGAGAGCTTAGCGTGAGTTGTTCCCTACCCTTACCCAATGTCCGCGCAGTCCAACTGAATGGCCAAGGTTCTCTGGCCCCTGATAATCAACTCCTCCCTCCTCGTCTACTGGCAACTGCTCTACATCCTCGCCGACGCAGAACTCACCTCCAAAATCCGTGCCGAGATTGCAACATACGCAACCGTAGCGCAAGGAGAATCCATTGGCAAAATATCCGAAGCTCCAAAACTCAAGCTCGATCATGACGGTCTCTCAAAGCACTGTCCGCATCTGAGATCTACATACCTCGAAGCCTTAAGACTCACCAGCAAGCCGTGGTCTATACGCAAAGTAGCATCAGACGTCACGATCTCGCAAGACAAAACGAGTGATGCTTCCGCTTCGTACATGTTGCACAAAGGCGAGTATATCACGCTTCCGCACGAACTGCATATGACGGACCCGAAGTATTTCCAGGATCCGGATAAATTTGAGCCCGAGAGGTTTCTGGTGATCAAGGAGGATGGTACGCTTTCGACTGATGCGGGAACTATTGTATGCCCCCCTCCCCCCGTCAGATTAACCTTCAAAATTATGTGGCAAATATACTAAGTGATATTGCTATAGCGGCCGTATGGAGGTGGACCCTCGATGTGCAAAGGTCGGATCTTCGCCGAAAGGGAATGCCTGGCTGCCGTCGCAGGCATATTAGTCTTCTGGGATATCGTCCCAGCGGACAAGAAGGCGGGCTGGGTGATTCCAAAGCAGCTCAAGATGAGCGCGGTCTCGAAACCTGCCCAGGATACAAGGGTTCGGATCAAGAGGAGAGTGTTTGACTGGGAGAAGGACCCTAAGCTATAAACTTTCAAAGCATATATATATACAAGTGTTGCTACTTGCAGACGAAGTGTTCTTCTGTAGAGCCCGCAGTGTTACATATAAGTTAGCAGCATTTGCAGCGTTGAATTTCCAAGCGAGCGGTTATTCATGTACATCACAAGTAATATACCAGATATCATTCTCATATAAAGCTCTCACAGCCCCCCCTAATGGACTTCAATCCTCTCAAGTCTTCGCCGTCCCGAATCTAGGTCATGAGTAGCTCTCCCATACATCCAATCCAGCCTTTTGCATAAAAATTCCCTATATACACCTGATGATCCTCCTCTCTCACCACAACATGCGTCAGACAACCAAGCGGCACACACACCACATCGTTCCTCCTGATACGCGGCGACCCAAGTCCCACCGTCCATTCTTCAACACTATAAACCCTTGCCCCCCCGCACCGTGTTTTAAAAATATATTTATACAGCAACTCCCTCTCTCGCAATAGGTCCGGGTGGTACGTATCGGCGTAGAGGATAATTCCAAATCCAAATTCAAATCCAAAGGATGAATGGTCTCTTTCGCGGGTCAAGGACGCGAATGTCGGTATGTGCGGTCGACGAGTTCGCTGGATTGGAGAGCCTTCATGGTCTTCAGGTCCTATATGACGCCGCGAGCGTATGAAGACTGAGCGCCAGTTATGAAAGACTAAGGTAATGGTCTCGAGCGTTGTGTCCGCTGGGCTGGGTATGCCTACGTTTGTAGCGTCATCAATAATAACAGTAAGAATATGAATATATATCCCAAGAGCGAGAGAGATTTTGGAGATGCCGTCCGTGAGACCGGCTGCGTTGACAGCTCATCTAGACATGGTATAGCTTGCTCACAGATTTGGTCGAGGGCCATATATTAATTCCCAGAGACTGGAAATGAGCTCCCATCTATTCGAATGAAATTCGTATTCTCCGCAACAACCCAAAACATACGAAAGTGCCGAGTACAGTAACTCCGCGGTCCGTCCAGAGTATCGTGGAACAGTACACACTCGATCGAGGGGCCTCTTCCTGGCAACAATCGTAGGCGGTGCATTTCATTTTCCTCGGAGTTCAATTCCTTGTACCTGAATTATCCAAGGCGTCGTCGCAAACTCGGAAGTTGGTCCATGCTCTACTGAAGTAGCTTTATATTCGCAGAAGTTAATATAGGATACATATACGGGTACAACGCTTCAATAAACTAAAAAGGGGGAAATCGAATGAACGAGAAAACGTAAATGCTGGAAAGCATGATAAATTGCGTCTTAGGGAAGAGAAGAGCACTATTTAGGGTTGAAGATGGGCAAGGTTGTGATGTGGTGCAGAACTTCTAAGCCTACGCCCCACATGCATGGGGTAAGCAAGTCCAAACAATGTAAGCCTAATAGGGAGTTCGCGCTTGCGGAAATAGGGGCAATGGACGTAACAGAAGCAAGGCAAGGCTTTGCCAGATTCTACAAGCATTCTGACAGCAAGCGTTGAATCGAAAAGTCACATCATCTTACTGTGACTGCATGCTGCCCGTACCCTCGAAGTAGTGTATCAAGCGGAGTTGTCTTATTTTGACCAATTGTCCTTCAGAATCTTACATACACATGATGTTTGGAGTTGCCCCTTTCCTCTGTTATCAAGAATAAATAGTCTTTCTAATCGTTTGTTGTACCTCATTGATTGAGCCCCAAAACTCTGCTGAAGATCTTAGATCTTGGAGAAGTGGTGGTGTATGGCTACGTCTATGTAGCCAGGCAAACGCTGAGCGCAGCTCTCGCGGGTCATTCACACTACTGCTGTGTGCTTTCACTCATCCCCGGTGGGTTTATACATAATAGTCGTGACGTACTAGAGTCTTTTTTAGAAGGGTTTCTTTCTGATAAACAAGGGGAGACTTACCTTTCTCTTATATCTAGTCGTAGCCGATACGGCGAGTATGTTATTCTTGATGCTGCTTGTAGCCAGATGGTTCAAGACAGTGTGATTTGGCATGGTCAACACACTATTATCATCCTTCATAGGTGTTGCCGCGTTCAAGATCGGCTTGCCTAAGAAACCAGGAAGACTAGGAGGCGTTGGGAGCTTCTCAATTGCGGCCGCAGCGTGCTGGTACGCTGCAGAGTCTTCCGCTTTATCGAGGTCAAGAAGATATTGCGGAACTTGTGAGGAATAGCGTCCAGGAGGAAGAACAGGCTTGGTCTTTGGAGGCTTTGGAGTCCTTCTATCTTCTTCTGACGGCTTGTTCTCACTGCTTTCGGGTGGATCCTGTGGTTGGCTGCCAGCAGCAGTGCTAGGTACAATAGATGGATCTGCAGGTGCAGGTGGTGGCTTGGGGATGTCATCAGCACTGACTTCGATATAGTTGACCAAATTGTTGCCGAAATCAACGGTAGTTGGGAGGTTTTTGGAACATTGCATTATTCCATCAACAATGAATCTAATATGGTGTGTTCCTGGACGAACATGGATAACGGCTCTCAAGAGCGTTGGGTTACCGTCCCTTGCGTACCTGTTAGTAGTGTACCTCTCGATCTACAAATGAGATGCAATGGATCCAAGGTCCACTTACACTGGATGGAGCCTATGCTTCTTGTTCCATTGAAAAATAGTACCAGTCACATATACTTTTTCTCCCCCCTTCCCCTCTTGCCATTCGAAAATGGTGGGCACTGTGGCCTTTGTCTTATCCACCCGTAGTTCTTCCGCATCTTCCTCATCGATCGTAGTATTGCTGAGTGCAGAAGAGCGTCGAGGAAGAGTATCGCTTCCATCGAGCGTTTCTAGGTCAAGTACAGGGGCGGGCTCAATATCCGTCGGTGCAATGATTGGAGAACCTGGCGTGTGGACCTCTTCTTCAATGGGAAGTGGCAGTCTTGGAGGGCGCGTGAGGTGATACGACATATCTTGTGTGGCCAGAGGCCCGGATGGTTCGATGGACTGGGAGTACGATCGGGAGGCAGAGGATGATTCCGTATTTATCGGCGGAAGAGGGACATCGACTGGCTTGCTGGGCTCGTCCCGAAAGTCAGGCCTTGGCTCTTCTCGCGACTGCCGCGCTTCCAACTGCGTCTTCGGCGCGCTGCCGTGATATGAAGGGCTACTTGAGGCCGGGCTACCGGTATTGAGATGTGCTGCCGGGATGGATTGGGCCTGCGAAGGTCGTCGTGTGCGATGTGTTGCAGTGCCAGTGCCAGTCGCAGTCGTAGTTGTACCACGGGCTTGGGAGTAGGAAGCTTCAGGAGCAGCTGCTGACCTTGCTGGAAGGACCCTCCGCGTGGAAGGTGCTCTCGAGGGCTCATGGCTTGATGACGGGGAAGCGGAGCCGGAGTGTGGGCTCGCGTGTGTTCGGGCATGTGCAGAGGCGGTATTGCCCATTTTGAAGATATTAATTGCGAAGAGGGTCAGGCAGAAAATTCAATTTTGTAGTAGGATAAGTCGCTGTGTGAGCATCCTGGAGTTGGTGGAGAACAGTGAGATAATGAGAGAGTGAGATAGGATAGGTAGGATGGAAAGCCGCTCGCAGCTGTAGGATAATAATAAATGCAGGGTTGAGTGGTGGATGGCGGGACGGCGTGCAGCAATATCCAAAAGGTAGAAACGACACAGTTGATGCTGTATTGTGAAAGGATAACGTATGTACGGCAATGCAATACCTCGATGTAAAATGTACAGTAGATGTGAAGGTAGAGCGTAGAACTGCATCTAGATCTAGATTGATCATCCCCAGAAAGCCCCCTCTAAAGCACTCGGTCCGTGCACTTTCCCCATGCTATGCCATTCCATTTCCAGATCCTCTTGCTCGGAGTTTAACTAAAGTAGGAAACATACCCAGTACATCGTCACCGGCATCACAACTACAACCTCTAGTTATTAGATAAACATCCGCGCCTGGTCAACAACACAATGTTCACCACGCTATCGCGATAGCAGTGCATTCATTGTCCCAGCCAAGTTGGGCCTTTGATCCCAAATCGCCGAAATGGCTTGGTTCGCCATTGTCATTCGCATATTTATCTACATCTTGCTACCAATCAAGCTCCTTTTCCGTGCACTATTCATACTTCTGGCGCCTGTGCTGCATCTGGGAAACTATGCCATCACAGGCTTTATGCTACCACTCAGGCTGCTTGCGAAATTCGAGGTAGGTTGAGGCAGTTCAGATATTTTTTGAGCTTGGCTAATTGGGCGCAAGACTCTCTACATCTATCTAGGAGTCGCTGCAGTAATTGGTGTCATTACAGGATCCCTACTCCACATCTTCTCGACTGTCCTTATATCCATGTTTGATCTAGCTGCTGTTCCCGAAGACACAGGGCGGACAGCTGCTTCGATCAGAGCTGCACGGGAGCAAAAGAAGCTCGAGGGAGCCTGGGAAAGCTCCATATCCAAGAGCGAATCGGCAAGGCTGAAGAACCATCCATTGACCAGGAAGCAGCAAACAGAATGGTTAGAGTCGGAGTTGAGCAAGCGGAGGGAGAATCAACTTCTGCTTAGGCAGACCATAATCGAGGAGGACGATGATTCAGAAGATAGGTTTTGAGTTGATACCCAATCCAACAATGTCGCCATGCACCCATCACACCTCCAGTATTGAAGTTTTTCGATCTTTGATAGCTCAGTCTCTCCATTTGATGAACATCTCATCTGTTCTGAACCGCTGCGTACAAGTACTGTCTTCAAGTGGAGTTCTAAATCCAGTCTCATATGCCCGCAAACCAGCATGTGCAATCATTATCCCGTTGTCAATACAGAAACGCTCATCAGTAGCAAAGATGCTGCCACCTCTACCAGCAGCCATGAGACCCATCATCTCCTGTAGCCTTTCATTACAGCCCACTCCTCCAACAAGTAAAACCTGACTGCTCCCAACATGAGCCATGGCCCTCTCTGTGATCTCAACCAACATGGCATATATGGTCTCCTGTAAAGTGAAGCAGAGATCGGCCGTAGTGATAACTTCTCCGGTAATCGGGTCCTTTGTCTCTGGGTTTGCTTTGAGCTCTGCGGCGAGAACATCTATACTGGATAGGATACCGGCAAAGGAGCAATCCATACCCTTCACAGCATACGGTAAATCGAGCAAGACTTTCCCCTTCTTCGCCAGTTGCTCGATATTATATCCTGGGGCTGGATCGTTGCTGATCTCCAAAGTCCGGGCGAATCTGTCCAGACAATTTCCCACAGCAATATCTAATGCCTCTCCGAAGATTCGATATCGTTGCTCGGCATATGCAATGACCTGCGTGTTTCCTCCGCTGACGTACAATACCACTGGATTATCAGCGCCTGTAATCTCCCGTCCCATCTCGATATGCCCCACACAATGATTGACCCCGACAAGCTCTTTCTCCCATAGCAAGGCGAGCATCCGAGCAGCAACTGCAACACTCTGTAGTGGAGCCCCCATCCCCGGACCTTTTGTGTAACAAATGCAATCCACATCCTTTATCATAACCTTGGCTTCGGCCATAGCTTGCTTGACCAGTTGAACGACCCATGATCGGTGGTGTTTTGCTGTGTCTTTGGGTAGAAACCCTTCTCCGGGCGGGGTTACAAAGGTGTGGCGGAGGTTGGAGAGGATTTGCGCTGGTTTGCCTGGTGAAGGATGCGATATGATACCTACACCAAGCTTATTGGCGCTGCCTTCAAGGCCTATGGCAATCATACTTCCGGGTAGATGTGAGCTGTCGATAAGTTCCAGTCCAAGTTGACAATGCAATTTGTTTCTCGAGGACCCCGCTTGACGAGGCTACAATCTAATCTTATCGGGTTTAATCTATGAACCAGGCCAGGCATCCATCCGCAGACTTGCATGGTCTGCAAGAGAGGAATGGATATAGAAACTCAGTATACACTTGAGATAGAATAACCTTGTAACATTATATTGATCTCTCTCTTCTCTTCTATCAACCCAAAACCTATTCTCACTGACTTGATTTGAAAGTATGTTGGTGGTGGGACATTGAGGATCACAAATCGATAATCCCTGCCTCTCGCTAAGCAATTTCGGTCAGCGGCTTCTGAGTTCAGGGCAACTATTCTTTACTTTCTTCCCACTCCTCCTCCTTCATTTTCCTCCTTCCAACCCACACTCCTTTACCACACACTCTCTTTCCCAGAAATTGCTGCTGATATGGAGACCGACGAGTTTACCGCTGCTACGGCCACTTTTGTTTCCTGGCTCTCTGAAATTGGGGTAAGGATCAATCCGAAAATGACAATCAAAGACCTCCGCTCTGAAGGCCGAGGACGAGGTGTCGGTGAGTCTGCTTACCTTTTTTGATTACATACTGTTTCTTGCCTCTTCAAGGATGCTCGATTCTTATCCTCGGACCATGCATCTGTTTTGCACCGGGTCTCAAATCATTTTCTGGAACTTGTCCTAACCACCTTTCAGTTGCCGCCGCAGACTTCGCGGAGGATGAGGTCGTTTTCAGCGTCCCACGTTCTGCAGTTCTCAACGTCAGCAACGCTCTGGCTGGCATCAATGACAATGCTTCGAAGGACGCCATATCGAAAATGCCGAATTGGCTCGTGGGTTCCTCATTCCTCAAATTTGGAAAGTCGCTGACAAACATTCAAGGCCCTGACAGCCGCCATGGTAACAGAAGGCCAACGATCGAATTCAAAGTGGGCTCCGTATCTCGCTATTCTACCTCGACAATTAGAAAGTCTCATCTTCTGGTCCGAATCCGAGCTCCGTGAACTACAAGCGAGCACTGTGGTGAAGAAGATTGGAAGGAAAGAAGCAGAACAAATGTTCGCTGATCACATCACTCCACTCGATGAGGGCAATGTCGAGCTCCATCACCGTGTCGCATCTGTAATTATGGCATACGCATTCGATATTCCCGAGGATGGAGAAGAAAAAGAGCCCGAACATGATGGAGACGCTGACGAGCTCGTTTCCGACGACGGCGAGGACGAGAAGACAGTTCTGTCTATGATTCCGCTTGCAGATATGCTCAATGCGGATGCCGATCGAAACAATGCCCGATTATGCTCCGACAACGAGGATTTAGAAATGAGAACCATCAAGCCTATTGTCAAGGGAGAAGAGATTTTCAACGACTACGGCCAACTTCCTCGATCCGACCTCTTACGCCGTTATGGATATGTTACAGACAATTATGCTGCATACGACGTTGCTGAGTTAACAACACAGTTCATCTTGGTCTGCCTTACCGAGGGACCACTCACGCTTGCCAATGGTATAACAATGGACCCATTGACTCACAATCAAATGTCGACGCGAATTGAAATTGCAGAACGAGAAGGTGTACACGAACTTTCATATGACCTTGCTTACCCCGGACCCGATGAACCAGCCATTCCAGACGAACTCCTCGCTCTCTTGTATATCATTCTGTTAGACGACCAGAATCTGAAGGCACTCTCTGACTCCCAGAGTGTCTTACCAAGTCGGTCAAAACTTTCAACAGAACTCGTTGGCCAAGTCCTTGCGTTCCTACTCGAGCGGAGACAAAAGGATTATGCAACGACAATTGAGGAAGACGAAAAGCTACTGCAGCAACCGAAGCTTCCACACCGAACTACGATGGCTGTGAATGTTCGACTCGGCGAGAAAAGGGTCCTTAAAGGGGCAATGCAGGCAGCATTGAAATTCGAGGGAAGCAACGCACGTATGGTCTCCGCTGCAGCTGCAGCACGTTGTTCACACACCGGTAAAAGAAAGGCACAAGAAATTTCGGACCCGAAAAAAAAAGGACGCTTTACCTGAAAGAGTTGCTACTGTTGAGAAACGGTATGTCACAGAACCTCCCTTGAGCTCAAGGGATGTTTATTCTTGCCAAGTACGCAGGGAATTATATAAATTTTCTGTTTATTTCTTCTTCGGCTCTTTGAAGCGGCTAATGTAATCTTACAACAGGCCCCTCATACCTCTTTGTAGGTTATTGGGGGCGGAAAACATCTATGATAACAACAACGCTTTCCAAGCCCATATCCGAGGGCAACGCCTCCAATCATCGAAAGCACTCAAATGGATGCTTTTCAAAGAAGTGTGATGTACAAAAGCCCAGAAGGGGCGCGGGGAAATAACTGCTTCTACGCTTCCCGAATTGTCCGTTCAGGGGGGTGCTGCAGGATTCTGTACCGCAGCTATCGCACGGATGTTTGCAGGAGGACCAGGAGCTCTGGGCCTATTATCTTGTCGACCGTGTTGGGGATAAAAGTGAGGTGGGAATGGTATGGTTGCTCGAAATCGCAGTGCGTTTGTGTCGTGTGGATCCAGTTCATACACGGGCTGTTCTTCTTCATCATCCTGGTCATACTTCCATCGATCCGACATATTTTCGTCATTTTTGATTGCAGACATTCCCCTCCGATCTATCCATAATCGACCACCGCGACCGATTCGTCTACGATAAGCTGGTTGTCCACGAGGCTCTTCTTCTGGAGGTGAGCTGTAGCGGAACGCAAAAGATTCTTGTTTTTCTTGGGCGGGAGACTGATGATCAAAAGACTCCGATGTTACAGAGGAAGGAGGAGTCATTAGGTATTGATATTGGGCGGTTGCAGGACGGAAGCCCGTCTCTGGACCTTGGCCATTGGCTGGAGAGAGAGGATCTCGAGTCAAATCAACGTGGCCTTGGTTCCATCTGCGATGCTGCTGAGTCTTCTCTTCAATCTCTTTCTGGAGCATGTTTTCTTTCTCCGCAAGACGTTCACTCAGCAGTATCAAATCTGCTTCCAATGGACGGCCATCGGAACGACCAGGCAAGCGCAATTGGGTGCCCGGTGCCGTACGTTGTGGTTGTGGGAACTCGGACTTTCTCTTCTGTGGCTGTTTCGAGTCAGCATGATATCAATACGAGTAGTGGAACAACGAACTTTTTGGTTGATAAAGTCCTCATCATCACCCTTGATGCCGAGCTTGGTTTTAGCAACCTTGACCTTATAACGCTGGTCGAAGATGGCTTTCTCGTTAATCATCATAGTTTGTTTTTGTACTTCTCTCGAGTGTGTTAGTGCCACAAGCTGCCGCGCCTCTTCGAGTTCTTTTCTCAATTTCTTGAGCTTGTCAACGCTCTGCACATCTCGAGCTCGGGTCTTTCGAGTCTGTCGAACCTCGCGACGTCGAAAGCAAACATATGGATCCGCATCGTCATCGTCTTTGTTTATCTCAAATTTCAGGCCTGGTTGGATGGATTTATTACCACTAGCTTGTTTGCGATCCTTCCAATGCCCGTAAACATGTTCGGCAATATCTAACAGTTTCGACGGCAGCCGGAGCTTGATCTGAGCACTCATGGTTTCGAAAGGAATCAAGGTGTTATCAACTGCCGCGAAGGGAGTATGGTTCTCAGTAGTGTCTTCGAAGACCTCAATGATTTTCTCAAAGTCGTCTTCGGAAAGCTTCTGGCTGGCACTTTTCCCTTGGTTGTATGCTTGCAACCAGGTATCATCCTCACTATCCATATCATACTGGCAGCCCGTAACCTCTTCGACGGTATAGGACACGCGAATGTAAGTAGCGGGCTTCTTGAATTTTAATGAATATAGCGCATCGTAGTTGATATCTACGGTCTTCTCGGCTGGAGGCGCCGGGATCTCCTCTGATGCCTTTCCTCCTCCAGTGCTAGCCAAGGCGGCCTGAAGATGGTATTCCTGGGCGGCGTTAGCAGGGAGATAGATAGATTTGTAGACTTGTCATGCATGTCATATGATATGACACGGATGGGCAGATCATGTGAATACGAGAAAGCCACGTGATACTTACATTTTCCTCATGACGCTCAACACCGGTCTCGACATGTTGATGATTGTGGTTTGAATCGTACTCGGCCGACTCGATCTGATCTTCACGGAGGACTTGTTGAAGAGTCGCTTTGGTGAGTTTCCGCTGCCTAACGTGACGTGGTGGCATGGTTGGAATGGCGGTGGTTTGTGACGCGTGATAGCGATTTTTTCACGCTGAAAAATTGAAGTGGTAGAAGTTGGGTCATGATGCGTCTCCAGGCGGATTCTGGAGTTAGCAAGTCATCTTGATGTTGGGCTGTTGATGGAGTGAATCTGCTTGCTCAAGAGGCGACGTTGAATGCAGGTTTTTTTCGTGCCCGCTCATCTCGGGATATGCATGCCTGTGGTTAATCTTAGTCCTAATCGGCGTAGGCGCTAGTTCGCATCAGGAAAGGCTTATCCCGCCGTCGCTTCGTGATATCAAAGTTCCCTTGGATGCACTTGAAAGTGACCGACAGCCTGACTCCCTCCATTTAAATGCTACACCAACACAACACTACACTACACTACACTACAAACTGGCGCATAGCAGTGGAGGGAATTGCTTCAGAATACCTACAAGAATTACTCTACTCTACGCTCTTTGTGTGTGATTGATTTAAACCCGTCCTCAGCCTCAACTCGGCCCTCTTCTGACCCCCGTTGTCACCTTCCGCCCCCCTCCACCACACCACACCACGCCCCGCCTCTCACTACCCCGCGCAACACCACACACCATGGGGAACGCCAGCAGCGCAGTATTAGAGAACATAGTTCAAGGATCCAACTGTACGGAAGACAATCACGCGAAATTTACGGCCTGCAAAACTAACCCCGCTGGCAGTTGATCGCGATGAGGTCGAGAGAATACGAAAGCGCTTCATGAAGCTAGACAAGGTATGACTATAACTGTCGCTCGCACATATCATTGCAAAAGCTAATCACGAGTAACTGCTAGGACAATTCCGGTACCATCGAGCGCGAAGAATTCCTCAGCCTCCCCCAGATATCCTCCAACCCCCTCGCAACCCGGTGCGCATTCCCCCCAGTCCACACATAGAGGCCCTTCTAACCCCCATAGCATGATTGCCATTTTTGACGAGGACGGAGGCGGAGACGTGGATTTCCAGGAATTCGTATCGGGGCTTTCAGCATTCTCAGCTCGGGGCAACAAGGAACAAAAGCTGCGTTTCGCATTCAAGGTCTACGACATCGATCGCGATGGGTATATCAGCAACGGGGAACTGTTTATTGTGCTGAAGATGATGGTGGGGAGCAATCTGAAGGATCAGCAACTGCAGCAGATTGTCGATAAGACGATTATGGAGGCGGATCTGGATCGCGATGGGAAGATTAGCTTTGAGGAGTTTACGAAGATGGTGGAGAATACGGATGTTAGTATGAGTATGACGCTGGGTATGTTATTCCTTTCATATATGTTTTTGGTTTACGGGGTATTCGTTAAATAAGATTTGGGCTAATGAATGGGTGCGGTAGATCAATTCTGATTTGACGGCGGCGATGATGGTTCAGATACAATTTGGGAGACTACGACCTCTGTTGCCTTTTGAAAAGGGCGGGCTCTACATAAGATGCTACCTAGAAGGTCGGAATAGAACATTGCTAAGCCCTCCGGGGAAGGAGGAGTAGTGAGTAGTGTGGCCATTACGAATATGCATGAAAAAGTCCACAATATCGACCTTCAGTTTCCCTATTCCCACATTTGGTATTTCGACCGTTTTCTACTAATTCATCCCGGCATGGTCAAAACGAGCAACTAGACTCAAGTAGCTCCCAATCAGTGTTATTAGTGTTACACCATTCATTCATTCACAAATCCTGCCTTGTACGACCGAATCATGGGCTCCCTTGAATCATTGGAAAACCTCTGAGTTATCTCGCAATTCACAATCGACAATCCCAGGTCATTCCTTCTTTGAATTTCCAAAGTTCCCAGTGCATTCAAAGTGCGTAGCACACATATATATCTACCCTCCCAGCTCGTCAGCTCGATCTCCTTGCCTTCTTTCTTCCCTTCACACGATAAACTGTCAATGTACCACAGACGAATCTCGGACCACTCTTCGATCTATCGAATATCCCTCTACATTTTAGACACGGTGTTCCAATCAACATATGCTTGCTTAGAACCTGTTGTTGGAGACGCTAAGGATGTGGTTGGTGTATATATTGCTGTCTATCTATTTGTCTATCTATCAATGATACCTACGCATCGAAACATAAACTATCCATTTATCTATCTAGCTCTTCTCTTTCATTCTTCTCTTTCTTTTCTTCTCCCTTTGCCCATCAGGCCATGCCAATTAATCTGATTTCAGAACAGTGCACTTGATATGTATAAAAAAAAACCCTATCATGTTTTCACCCTCACAGATCGACGGATAGACATGTCTTATCTACGATCAAGTTGAACGTACCTCGCCATCCTACGTAGCGTGCGTGTTTTGGCACTGTAATGCTTTGCTATGGAGAACGACATCCTAGTACCTAATATCTCATGGCTTCCATCTCATCCCATCTCCCCCGACCCGTATGCATCTATCGCTCTATCCCTTCCACTGTTTCTATTTAACATGTATATATATTCCCCAATCACAACTTAAGCATCATCCCCCCCCCCCAACCCCCCCCCCCAAAAAACACACCGGAGGTTTCGTTTTGTTTATTTTGGGGAGGGGGAAGGAGCAGGGGCAAGTGGACACCTATTACTATTTCCCGAGCAAAACTTGCTTGCTCGCTTTCGATATTTCTAGATAGGACTAGAGACAGCCCAACAGACAGACAATCCCCATGAGTGAGTGAGTGAGTGAGTGAGTAGTTGGGAATAGAGATGCAGGGCTAGTTACTTACTTACTTACGGAAGAGGATTCCGGATTGATAATTAATTCAGGAAGGTAGGTAGCTAGCTATAGGTTCCTTTGGCATAGCAGATATTCAAGCGCTGCATGTGAGTGGGCTCGAGGTGGTGAGGGATAGCTGATATGGAATGGATTATTACGGTACCTGGTCTGGTGGAGGAGTGCGGATGGATCTGGAGTATATGTTGTGGCTGAAGATATATATATTAGCTGGAATACTGACTGATTGACAGCTAAACTTATTCTCGGGTGGGTGGCTTTTATTTTGTTTGGAGATTAATGCATGGATCGAGCTTGCGGTTGCTAGGCGTATACTGGACTGGACTGGACGTACAGATGGGACCTGAAAGAAAGACAGAGGTTTCTGGGACTTTATTGGATGGGGGTGCTTCTGGTCACTCTCTTGGTGTTGGTTTGGAGTTTGGATATTTGTGCATGTATATTCCTGGAGGTGGTTGGGTTGAGGTGTTGGAGTTTTGAGGGTCTGTCGATCGGCGTGGGCGTGCATGTCTAGGAATATATATATATATAAATCGGGAGGTTTGGTTTGCCGTGATGGATAGGATCATGTTATTGTGATGGATGGATACGTGATGAAAGAGGGTTGTTGAGAGATGTTTACTTTGTAGTGGAATGTCATTCATTACCCGCTGTATGAAGGATAGGGGATATCGATGAGGAAGTTTGAGTTGACGGTCTTAATTGTGAGGAATTTGTTCACCTTAAGAAGAAAGTTCTTTTGCATATTGAGCAAGTGATTGCGGGTAGAATACAAGGTATGCTCTTCCACGCCTTCTGCCCTTCATAGTCAACATAGTAATCGGCAATAAATCATTGCTAGAATCGTGCGAGTGAGATACACGTTAACCTTCACCAAATGCTAGGTAGGGACCAAGATCGGATCAGGGGAGTCTGATACAGGGACTTGATTAGAATGATTTGCTTGTGGGGACAAGGAGATGGACAGCGGCATAACGTACGCTACTTGCATATACTGTACGTAAAAGATTTTCCTGGTGATGCCTCAAAGTTGAACTTTGTTTTGTTATGCAGGCTAAGGAAGATTTCCTTACTGAAGCTGTTCTTGCGAGAATCCAAATGGTGTTTTGGATGGATGGATGGATGGATGTCATTTCAGCACCCGAGAGAAAGGCTAAATACGCACTGAAGAGCTGCTCGGGATACTCATCCGCCTGGCCAAGCCGTGCATACGAAGTTACAGACAAAGGAAAGGCATGAAAAGTAAAAAATGGGCTGTTGATTGTTTCCACCTACCTTGACTAACTGGTGTTCAGTGCTCAGAAAGTGATAGATAGGATTGGTATAGTATCGCAATGTTTGAAACTTGTTAAAGTTAGAGGTTGCATGAAGATAGACAAGGCATTGAATACAAGCAACTACGGCTAGTAGTTCAAACTTCCGGAGGTGTTCTTGAGCTCACGATGAGGCAGGCACTTGTACGCCTCATTGTAGCATGATAAGCTCACTCAAACCTCATGGTGGTCTGATGAAAGATGATACAAGAAAAGTAATTGCAGAAGTTGGCATGAATATATTTAGATGCAGAACATGGCATTGAGTGTCATACATTGTAATCTAAGCGGGTTAAAAGGAGAGAGAAAGAAGGAAAGAAAGAAAGAAGGAGGAGTGAAAGATTACGAAGGATTCTAAAAGAAATAGTCGTAGTCGTAGTCGTAGTCGTAGTCGAGTAATCGGGTGAGTAGTAACCTCGTTTCAGTTGCAAGCCGCGTTGGAAACTTGCGACGCTCTGAAGCTCTTGGTTCCACATCGCATGACGTTGGCAGATGTGGAAATTTGATCGGCTTCTTAGTGTCTTCTGGAAGGATGGTCCGTGCTTTTGTTTCTTTGTTTCTTTCTTTCTTTCTTTCCTATTCGGGACGAGCATCGCATCATGAGACCAGCATTTTCCTTAGTAATACTTACGAGATGAGATGAAACGAGGGTAAGCGTATAATAGGTAAGCATGAATAATTGCTTCTAGGGCTTTGGTTCGTGAGCGTGCCGGCGGCCGAGACGTCCGGCTGTTTTACCTATACCTTTAACTTGTACGGTACCTTTCTGAGTGGATCAATCCCTTGGTTTCAATGCGATGCGATGCCATCTCTTGTCTTGTACCTACCAGTGACTGCCACTGTTGCTTTAATCAATCTGAAGTTGACCTTGAATCTTGCTGACTTGGAAATGAGACGATAAGGTCGCGAGAGAGGCCAGATGATTAAATTGCTGCAGGAGCCAGAGTCTAGATCTCGACTCGCAGGGACTTTTGTATTGCATCATTCTGTATGTACTTTGTATATACTGTACTTACAATATGTACTCTCCTCTCCAGTCCTATATGCGGATCCCTCTACTTTATTATAAACGGCTGTCCTGCATGCAACGGATGCAAGATCCAACGGCCTGACAGGGCAGCTAAGGTAACATCCGGGGACAGTCCGTTGGAGCATGTTGGTTGCAGACTTGGACCACACGTGGAAGCATCAAGGACCTTCCCAGAACTTTGACCTTGGGCTGCTATTGGCCGCCTCCTCGTCGATCATCGATGTGACGGAACGGCAATTGTTCAATCAGATCATTGTTCCAACTTCTCAGCCTTGATGAGGCTAAGGCAAATAGATTACTGTACTGTATAGAAGATCTCCGCCACCTCTCGATCTTGTTGCATTCATACGAAGTACTATTGCCTTGTTTCAAATTGGCGATTCGGCCTATGCCATGAAGATGATCTTGCGCGATTATGCACCGGAGATATAATTTCCCTACAATAACACTACTGTTCTGGTAGCTTAGAGCAACCTTGGAACGGGATCAATCATTAAACTTCAAGGACGGAAAGATTCAAGAATAGAAACAACTAGCAGAAACAACTACCGTGCTACCTAGTACTGACTACTACCACGCCTTGTTTATCATCTCCGGCTAGCATCCAAATATCAGCTCACAATGAGATCATGAGGCTGGAAACTACGATAGTTCCAGGTCGCCCTTTTGCATCGAGTGGACGAGCCTCGCAAAGCCAGGACCCTGATTGGCCAATAGATTATCTTGAAGATCTGCCATCTGGGCCATCTGGGAAGGAGATCTCGAGAGATCTACTCCGGTACCGAATTGTAAGGCATTATTATATCGAATTATGGAGATTTCGTACGTTCCGCATCCCGGCGAGCAATTGGAATTGGACACTGGGAGCACTTGTACCGTATAGGACTATAGCAGCCTCATTCCGAGGCGAGGACACATCCACTTCCACATCCACATCCACTTCCACTCTGCCGTGCCGAGGGCCCTGACCTGACCCTGGCCTGACCTGACCTGATTCTGAAGTGAAAGCGAAAGCGAAGCAGGGCCCGCCGACGTCGATCCTCCAGTGAGTGGCACCGAGTAACTGAGGAGCCCAGTCAGGGGTATGTTATGCAGGAGCAAGCAGCGCAGGGTATATTTATTACAGGGGGGGATGATTTGACGACCTCACTAAAGCTCCTGTTCTCACTTGCAAGTTTTTGACATGGAACAGGCTTCTTGTTTTTTCTCCGCAGAAGCACCCAACGATGCCAGCCAGCCAATCCCCTGCGGTTGGGCACCATTGTCCATCTCTTGCCCTGCACCACATCCCCCACGGCTATTGTTCCAGCCCATTTTTGTCCCCGAAAGCCCGATCCAACGCCGCCGATGCTGGGTAAATTTACTACACGCGTTCACGGAGGACTGATCCGGTATATACCATAAGGTTAGTTATAGTCACGGAACAATGCTACGGTGCATGTCGCGAGTGTTTTCTGAGGCTGCTCTGCAGTGAAGGCTATAATAGGCCATCGTGTGCTCCTAGTACCAAGGGGGGACGTTTACTATTCCAACTACATGTTAGAGCCCCTAATAATAAGGTAGCTAAGGTACCTTAGGCAAGGTATGAAAATACCTTAGGTTCTACCAGACCGTACTCGTCTTCCTGTCGCACGCGCCACTAACATATTATTAATTATTAATCTCACCAAACATTCAGCACCAGTATTCGCGGTATTCGAACTTGGCTCGTTGTCCTTATAGTAGTGTTGCACACGTCCCTTTTACAGGAACTGGTGTATCCGCCTCTGGTCTCAGGCACCGCCAGATTTGCTGTCTCATACTGCCCGCCACACCTGCCTATAAATCCAAAGAAAAGCAAAAGCAAGACCCGATACTTTGGTCGTACCGGTAGAAAATGCTGATTACATGCACTGCGGATGTGCTAGAGTCGGGAAATTGCCTCTCTACCTCACTCTTCACAGCTTCCTCTGCTCTGCCGACTTTTACTTTTGCAGACTTTTCCTTTCCTTCAGCTTCCCTAGCCCTTCAGCTGCCATTCCGAAGGATTCGTTTTTGCTTTTTCCTAAGCTCACAATCAATAGCCATCCATCCGTCCGTCCGTCATCCGCCTTATAGGCTGGCAATCGCTCTTATTAACAACCCACCTAGTGGCACCCACCTTAATTCAAGTTAATTGATCCTACACAGTAAAATTTCACTTTTCCCCGACCAATCCGAAGCTGTAGATGACTTCACCTCTGCTATTTCTTCGCACTTGTTTTTATATGCTCTCCAGAGAGCCTCCCGGTCTGTCGGCAGGTCAGATATCACATTCCAAGCATCGCCTTGTCCGGCGATCTATCTCTCTAGCGTAAGCCCCATTGACCACTTTAAACATCCACCCCAGGGTCCATCTGCACCTGCATTTATTGCTTGACTCCCGGCCTAAGCCCAAAAGCTCAGCGGCCCATGCCATCCCCAATCATCACTCGGGCTCATAAGTCATAGGGGTCACTAAATTTCTTCCCAATTGTCGATGGCTCTTCACCTGACTACGCTACTGACCAAGCTTCCCCAATCCCTTACTACCCAATGTGCTTGGGCTTCATCGCTCTTCTCAACCATCTCGTTTCCCCTTCTCCCGACTCAAGAACCGGCATTGTTTCTTGCATTGATAGCCCCACCGAGTAGCAGAGGTGCTATTCCCAACGCCGCCAAGTTTAAACTTTGGGTTTGATCCGCTAGCTCGCGTGGCCTGAGGAAGCCAGAGAAGCCATCGTTTGTTTCGAAGTGGATAATAGAGAGCATCTGGTTACATCGCGTCTATTCTCTCCCTCTTGTTGAAAGGTGAAATGAGGAGGGGCTGCAGGTGTAGCTACAAGTCTAACTCGTACCTGGCATTAGCTGCAAAGCGCAAGCCCTAATATTAAGGGCCTACAAGCAAGGGCGGCATTTCGGGACCACTCCACTCCACTTCACCAGGGACCATTAGCCAGTGACCAGTCATTTGTTGCGTTAGGGAGAGAGATCCCGATCTAAAGTATAGTGCGGGTTCGGCGTCATCCTTTGTCCAAAGTCCGCTCAGACGAAAATCCTCAAGTATTCAGTACGGTACTACCAAGTACTACTACTACCTGTAACTCCTCCTCATCCCACTACTGTGCGCCACACTCTCTTCTCCTACGCCACGAGTCCTGAGAAAGCCGGACCGAGGGTAGAATTGTAATAGAGGAAGAGCGATCTGAGCATTCATCTCCGAGACCTACGAAAAGTAGACTTACATTCGTTGTGCAAGTCCATCGAAACGTATTCATCAACGCGCTTGAAGCTTGAAGCTTGACTCGCAAGTCTTAGTAGTCTGGAGAGTGGTGAGGTGAGGGGTCGTTCATTGCCTCCATCTATACCCAACCCTATCCAAACTTCACTCCCAACTCCAGCTTCAGCTTCAGCTTCAGCTCCAACGGCCTAGGCGCATAGAGACCGAGACTGTCAAATTTCCAGACTTGGAGCAACTTGTCTGGTCTGGTCTTTGTACCTCATTTACTCGTCATCCCGCCCATTGTCCACTCACTTCCCTCCTCACCTGCTGGGCCGTCCTTGATATCTTAAGGCACCGACCACCAGCTGCCTTTGCTCTAGCATCGGGCTGTTTCTCCACCTGGAAGGAGAATTCTGGCCTTGAAACGCAGTCTAAAGGCTATTTGAAGGCTTCTAGAAGGGGCTGAGTGGGACTTGGAAACGGCGACTAGAATCCTGGCCCGCCTTGTCGTTTGAATAAAGGAGCCTCCCCCGGCCTGTAGCTCACAGGAAACGGAAAATTTTGTCAGAACAGTCAGGACTCGGCACAAGCTTGTTACCCCGGTGCTGTTTGCCCTACAAGCAGATCCGATCTACAAGGACCTTGCTTGTTCACAAAACCAAGGAATATCCCAGCATTGCATGACGAATAAGTTGCCAGCGCAGTGAGCCAGAGCCAATACGCACGTTGTTTGTGCATATACTACTCTGCGCGCCGCCAGACGAGACCGTTTGCCAGTCAACAATCCAACCCAATCCAATCCAACTACCAGCGCATTATAACCGTATCCATACAACTCACCGTCGTTAACTCTTGTGGCGTCGAGTCTGCCTATTTCCATCCCGTTGTGCATATTTACAACCATATCCGCTTTGCGACTTTTACGCGCACCGCCGCCCAACTTTATATTCACCCGAGGAATTTGTGTGCCGTTTTCTCTTGTTGACGAGGCTGCTTTCACGCTTCCGCAAGTGGTATATACATACATACGTCTAACACCAAGACCTTCCAGACCCTTGCAACTCAGAAGGCCCGCGAGATTCCAGACCCAAACAAACAAAACCGGACCCCAAAGGCATCAAGCTGGCACTCCTCTATTCGACGCCAGCTCCTTTACCGGCGGCGCATCGATTTGATTCGCTGTTGCTGGGCTTCCCAAGAGCCTTTGAGCGGGGCATGGACGAGAGTAATCGTGGACGGAGGCAGAATGAATCGCCATATACCGGATCAGATCCGAGATTCAATGCTGGACAGGCACAAGGGCAGGCACAAGGACAGGCACAGCAAAGCAGAGCCTTTGCGACTTCATCCGCAGAGAGATATCGAGCAGCAACTTTGACGGCGTCTCCATCTGCAGGCAGAGGAGCTGCGGGGGGAGCTGCGACGTACCCGGCGGGGTTTTACCAAGAGCCACAAGCTGCCTTTTCTGCGGCACTACCAGCAAATTCTCTGCAGTACCAATCCGCCTATCCACAAGACCAGAGGCAGCAGCAGAATTTCTCCAATTACAACCAAGATCTCATGTACAATGTTGCACAACAGACGCCGCAGTCCAACGTCTATGACTCGGCTCAACAATTTCAGTCTCGGCAACCTGCAGCGATGCAGCTATTGTCAGACGTTGCAGCACCCTATTTTCCAAACGAACCAACCAGTGTGTCTGGTCCGCCAGGTATGCCCCTGCATGCGTCCTCAGGCTCCTCAGCTGTGTATCAACAACATCAACAGAGCCCGGAAAACCGCGCTCCTTTGCTCCAACAAGGTTATACGGGTGCAATGGAAATGGGAGGGATCCCTCAAGCTGCGGAAGCTATGGACGAAGATGAGTTTCAAGTGCAAGGGCCAGGGATGGAAGCAGCATATACAGCATACCAGACAGCTTTGAAAGAGATTTTCCAGAACATCATACAAGGTCGTCTAGCAGTAGCGGCGCAGTCTTTACTCGAGATATCGGAATGGCTTCTAGGACATGTAGGGGACTTAGGTAGGCTCCTATTTCTTCTGTTCGATCCTGTCCACTAATTGATTCTGATAAAGGCCTTACTGTAGACGAAATTGCGCTCCACACAGATCGAATACGTCTCTGGGGAGAATTTAATACCGCATGGCTTGCTATTTTCCAGAAGCAAAAGGATCTGCTGGAGGCTGGACAACGAGCTCGACAACCAAATTTGATGACTCAAGAGGTTATCAATAAGATGGCCAAGGACCTTATACGAATGTGTGATTCGGTTGAGAAGCACGGTCTTGTTGACTATCAATACGGAGTTGCAGAGGAGAGAATTATGATGAGTGAGTATTAATTACTCCGTTTGTCAGATGAAGAAGCTCGCTAATCCTATCTACAGTTCTTACAGAGTGCCTCGATCTTCAAGAATCCATAGAAGGAATAGAAGGCAGCGGCCCGGGAAGAGCACCTCCTTGAGAAACCTTATTTTGAAAGAAAAAAAAATCCACCTTTTTGTTTGATTACACCGCTGTAAACAACCCACACACATCCTACCGTCTTCGATTTTAGCGTTTCCTCCATTCTGTCAGAATGTCACGAGTATGTTTTTGCTTTTTGCCTCGATTCGGGAAAGATCGGATCGGGTTCTGGATCGGGTTCGGGTTCGGGTTCATGATCTATCTGTCTTCCAGGAGTTGGCGGCTTGGTATTTTGTGCATTGATTGCATTTACAGGAATTTTCTTTTGGTTGTAAAATATACCTAATTTGGCTGGCTGGCTGGGGGGGGGGGGCGGTCTATGAATGATTAAAAGAAAGAAATAAAGGCCTTCATGAGAGGGGGTTTTTTACGAGGGGCTTGTTTTGGGATGGGGATAGGATTTAAAATTTGCGCTTTAGAAGAAGAGTGGGAGGAGATATAGTGAGGGAGGCGAAAGAAGTCACTGTTACTTACCTAGGTAGGGTGCAGTGCGGTGCGGTGCGGTGCTGGGCTGTTTTGTGATATGTACATGTACATTACAACAGGTTAGATGGACTATTTGTACATATGGTATAGTACGGAGGGCGAGAAAGAAAGAAATGATACCCAATATATGCTTAGCAGAGATCGAGCGGGCATTGTTTAAACAATAATTCACTTTATTTCACATCCATCCATCTATCCCACTTACCATACTGCCCCAGGAGGTAAAGAAGTAACTATACCTAGGTACGTACCTTAGTTTCATATCATATGCGGGGCTAAATAAGGTAGGTAGGTAGGTACCTTAGGTAACCTACCTGCTCATGCAAAACTTGGGCTCGGGCTTGGGGCTTGGGCTCCAATCCTCCGTACTCCATACGTCAGCTAGGTAGGTATATTGGGCGGCAATCCTCCGTTAAAAAGCAAGTTTGCAGAATGCGACTGCGACAGCAACAAACAAACAGACAGGGGGGAAATAAGATGAAATAAAATATCGCGTGTATGTATGTATGCTCAACCGGTCACATCAATCACATACATCACGGTTCTGTTATAGACAAGGCTATTTTGAGCTATTTTTATTTTCTATCTCGTTTTATATTATTATATATAGTATAGTAGTACAGGAAATAAATAGGCGGTGGAACCTGAGGTGAGATTAGGTAGCAATATAGATAGATGTGTTTCTTGTTTTAACTTGTTTGGGTTGGTAGCTACATGCGTAGCTGGGGGATTTTGCACGGGATTGGGTTATGCGGTTATTGGTCGTTGCATGGCTGCCTTAGCGTATTACACTGTAGGTAGGTAGGTACGCCCTGGTATATCTATCGCCTTGGTGACAGGTGCTAGATAGAGTAGTTGGGCAGACATGTATGTACATAGACAACTCGGCCTCACTTTGCACTTACTCGGTCAGTCACTTGGCACGGGGCGCGAACCCGGGGGTTGGGTCGGGGGATGGATGTGATAGGATGGATGCAAAGGCAACGGGGGACCAGGATCAGGATCACGATATCCATTGGCGAGCAAAGCGTGAGGCGTGAGGCGTGAGGCGTAAGGCGTTTGTATACTGTACGGATAATACTGGATTTTCTTGCAGGATCAGGATTCCGGATACCGAAACCCGGGTTGCTGGTTTATTGGGTGGCGCTGATCTACAGAGGTTACTTGGACAAGTAGGTAGGTACGGAGTTGGAGGTGGATGTATACCTAGGGTTGCATTGAAGGAGGGTCTAGATTTCTAGATAAATCCTACTAGGGGTGAGGGAGGTGGGGGCAGAGAATAAGGAAACATCTGTTGGAAGTGAGTACTCGGCACCTTGCAGATTCTGACTGGGAAATGATTCAGAGTCCAAGGGATGGAGGACATCTGGCAAGCCTGGTAGATGATATGATGTTGGGGCTGATTCGAATCTACCAATCGCTTATTATTGCTTGGAGAGATCTGCGTACAGTACGGAGTATCAAATCGAGACATCAAGTTGGTAAGCCTTGCGATTGGCGCCCGGAGTTACAGCTTATACAGTAGCTTATTTGTACCAAAGCGATGGTGATCTACTGCACTAGTGCAATAGTCAAGATCTGCACCGTTTTTACTGTATATCTGCTCTTTGCTATTGGTACTTGGTACCTACAAGCATGTCGAGAATATTGATATCACATGATTCATAGTTGAAACCGTCTCCTTTTGTACATCAAATTGTTCGTACAATATAATATAATACATACATACAAAGTCTATCTCTTGACCCAGGCCGGCATCTTCCTCGCTTTGACATGACCTGGCTTCTTTCTTTCCACCCGTCTTGGATCGCGAGTTACACATCCGGCTACAGCGCAAGTTAGAAAACGAATTTCTTCAAATTTGACGAATCCAAGGATTTTGACTTACCTCGCCGTAATGCTGGCTTCAACGCAGGCTCATGTGCCATTAACGCCTTGCCAACCGCTAAAGTCAGAGCTTCAGCCTGACCTGTTGTTCCACCACCATTTGCAAGAGCCCAGACGTTGTATTTGTCAATCCTGTCCGTAGCTTTCAATGCCCATATGACACTTTCTCTATCATGAACTCTCCCAAACGCGTCCACCAGAGATTTCCCATTGACCAAAACCTCTCCAGTGCCCTCAACAAGCCAAGCCCTTGCAGTGGATGCTTTTCTTCTTCCAGCACCCAGCGACCTTCCTAGTTTGTCTATAGGTGCAACCTTCACCACATTCCGAAATGGATTCACGTTCCTCTTGTATGCATTCAACGCATCCTTTACTGGCTCTGGCATAAGGGATGCTTGGATGTGATTGAGCCGCTGTAAAGCATGTATGATCTTGGAATATTTCGAAGCCTGAACCACCTCCCCCACAGAATCTCGGTAATCTGCTAAGGGTCTCCATGCTACACGAGGCGCTTCACCTGGCTTGACAGTAGGAAGGTTGCTGTATCGTTCAACAAGTGTTTGGACGGCAAGGAGATCGTCTGTAAACAAGGGCTGCGCCGTGAAATATGAAGCAGAAGTGGGAACGAGTCGGGCATAGAATGGTGGCTCTTTTTCTTTGCCAGTTCGACCTCCAAAATCGATCTCCGCGGCAGCAATGCCAGCTTGTAGTCTCGTGGAAGTGGTAAAGTTTCGAGGGCGGATGTTGATGACTCGCTGTCGACTAAATGAGATTGATTGAGGGTGGGATGCACATTGAAGGGTTTCCTTCAGGGTGGCGGGGTGCCATGATACCTTCATCTCGAAGATATGGCCGCCCAAAGCTGATTGTGTTGGGCTGGTTAACTTGACGTTCTACGGAGTATTGACTGACCCGGCTCAGCTTGAGAGATTTTGACTTCTTGCTTACGTGATCAACGCTAGTGCCGTTGCCGTCTATGCTCCACCCACAAGTTTTCTTCTTCCTTTAAAAACGATTGACTCCTCCAAACTTTCCCTCTTCAAACAACCGCAAAAATGGCCGCCTTTGGAAAATTGTACACCTACCCGGTATGTCAACCAAATCATGCAATGCGCATGCTTCTATTGTCTTTAAGCAACCTCGCAAGCTGACAATCTTCTTAGGGTAACCCCCGCTCAACTGCCATCCGCGCAGTCGCCAAGGCAAACAATGTCGAACTCGAGATCGTCGAGACCGAGCCTGCCAAGGGTGTTTCTGCTGAATACCTGAAGATTAACGGGCTCGGCAAGGTCCCAACCTTTGTTGGTGCTGATGGCTACACCCTCCACGAGAGTGTTGCCATCGCAATCTACAGTACGTGAACAAATTTTCTTGTGGGCTCTTAAATCCATTGTGGGCCCACCGCATCCCCTCACCACTCCTGCAATGATGAAAAAAAAGTCATACAGTTATCCCTGTCTTAATTATACGTGTCGATTTTTATTTATTAATTAGACTCTGAGCAATTTATACAATCCGTTTTCAATTCACAATCAAAAGTTTTGAATTGATAGCTAACATTGGCAATCAGTCACCTCCCAAAATGAGAAGACCACTCTCCTCGGCAAGACCAAGCAAGAGTAAGCTTTATCACCGCTGCTGGAGTTGTCCTCCACTAACATAGACACAGCTATGCCACCATCTTGAAGTGGATGTCATTCTTCAACACCGAGGTCCTCCCAACTCTCGGAGGTTGGTTCCGTCCTATAATCGGCCGTGATCCATACAACAAGAAGAGCGTTGATGATTCAGCCAAGGCTGCCCTCAAGGCTGTCGGTGTTGTTGAGGAGCACTTGCTTCACAACACATACCTGGCAGGCGAGCGTATCACTCTTGCTGATCTCTTCGCTGCTGGTATCATCTCTCGTGGATTCCAATACTTCTTTGACAAGAAGTGGCGCTCTGAGAACCCCAACGTTACTCGTTGGTATGAAACCGTCTACAACCAGCCCATCTACTCTGCTGTTGTTGACAAGCTTGCATTCATCGATGAGGCTATCAAGTACACTCCTCCCAAGAAGGAGCAACCTAAGAAGGAGCCCAAGGCTGCTCCTAAGCCAAAGGCTAAGGAAGTTGAGGAGGAAGAGGAAGAGGCCCCAGCTGCCCCAAAGGCCAAGCACCCTCTCGAGGCTCTGCCAAAGGCTACTATCCCTCTGGATGAGTGGAAGCGCCAATACTCCAATAGCGACACCCCTGTTGCCCTCAAGTGGTTCTGGGAGAACTACAACCCCGAGGAGTACTCGCTGTGGAAGGTCAACTACAAGTACAATGATGAGCTTACTCAAATCTTCATGACATCCAACCTAATTGGTGGTTTCTTTGCCCGTCTTGAGGGTTCCCGCAAATATATCTTCGGCTGTGCTTCCGTCTATGGTGTCAAGGATGACTCCGTCATCGAAGGTGCTTTTGTCATCCGCGGCCAGGAGGCTCTCCCAGCTTTCGATGTCGCTCCTGACGTTGAGAGCTACGAGTTCACAAAGCTCGATGCCAGCAAGCCAGAGGACAAGCAGTTCGTTGAGGACCAATGGACCTGGGAGAAGCCAGTCATCGTTGGTGGCAAGGAATACCCATGGGCTGACGGCAAGGTCTTCAAGTAGACTCTTGACTCTGAACTTCACGTACATTTCCTTTTTGCAATGGGTTTAGCGCTGGGAATGATGTGTAACGATCAATCATGAAATATGGATGACGGGCAATATCCGGGGGCCTATGTAGTTTGCTCATCCCAGGAATGCAATGAAGCACAATAGAGCATCTCAATCACACCTTTCTATGTAACTACCGTGATATCGTAACCCAATCGTGTGTCATCACCATCCCCCCGGATTCTCCTACTTGTACAAGATCTGGGTATCTGAAATCTAGGAAAATTGTAGAGGTCGTGAACGCCAAAGTAAATGCCCGATCCGAAGTGATCTCAGATTTCCAAGCTCTATCCATGCATGTTATGAAAATGCAGAACCCCGCGCCTTACCCCCCCCCCCCAATATCATACCATCTCACGGGTGGAGATCCACGCATAACTCAAGGTCATCCCCGGTTTTCCAAAGTCTACTTGTGCTTTGAAAATGTAGCAAATCTTCCAGCATATGAAAAATAGCAGCTCAAATCCTCATCTCCCGGTGTAGCCAGGCGGAGGACCCTGAGCCGCAGCTTGAGCCATGAACGGGTGTGACCGCATATAAGCACTCACATTCGAGTGCAAACTCAGCTGATTCAGATAATCATGCACCTGCGGCAGGATGTCACTCCTCTCATTCTCATTCCCAAAATACTCTGGCAGCGGAACGATATTGAACGGCTCACTACGGCCCTTCTCAACCGAGTCATCCACCAACACTGTATTGCTCTGATTCCAACTCGCGCCGTTCTGGAACTCCGGATGGCTGCGCGCGATGCCAGGGTCCGACCAGATGGTGTTGAGACGCTTGTAGCACTGCACGCGCATGTTGTAGTCGGCGGCCGTGAGGTTGAATCTGTCGCGGCCCCAGATGGCGACGCAGCGCTCTTTGAGCGAGGGCGAGAGGATGGAGTCGACTATGGCGTTTACGTTCTCGGGGCGCGCCGAGGACCAGATGACGACGTTGAAGGTGTCGATGCAGTACTGTAGGAAGCGTAGGGCGTGAGGGCGCGCGACGAACTTGTGCGGGTTCTTGCGGTTGGGACGGAAGAGGATGGTGCCGTTTAGGTCGATCACCACGAGGAGGTGTTGTGGGGTTGGGATAGGTTGCGCGAAGCCTTCGCAGTTTGCGAGGTATTGGGGGGATGCGGAGGGAATGCCTCCTGATGCCCGCGAAGGTGCGGACTTTACATCTCGGCGGTCGTCCATCTTCTTCGTATTCTTGCCTTTTGGGGAGGTCTTGCTTTTGGGAGTTGACCGAGCTTTGACCCTGCTGGCGATGGTGACGTTCAGTTTCGAAATCGACTCAGAGATATCTTGTACGTTCGTTGTATGTCCTTGAACCCCCAGCGGCTGCGAGATAGGAGATGTGACCAGACGAGGCTCACCCAAACGATTCTGCGGATGTTGAAGTTGAGGTTTGGGACGAGGCGCAGAAGTCGTTGTCATTGTTGAGTAGAAACAACTCACAGGCCGGGTGTTTGCAGATGTGCACCGTAACGAGGCGAAAATGAATTGAGGGCGGAACATGGAGAGGAGAGTCAGTCATTCGTTATCATTAGAATATTATTGAAGAAACTCACAAGGCTACTGATTTTCTTCCCTTTAAGGTCCTCTTCACCGCCTCCACTGTTTCTATATCTAGACTAGCATGGGCAATAAAATTCCGAGGCTGCAAGAAAGGCAACTTGAAAAGCAATTTTCATCCAGTAAACACAAACACCCCAACATGTCTTCAATCAAGCGAAAGGCCTTAGATGATGTCCTGAAAAGACGAGTGAGAGCTAGAAGGGAACCCAGTGTGGAGATTGAAGAAGAATCCACATCAGACAACCCCGCTCTGAACTCAGAGGAGCATTCAGATCCAGAAGACCAAGACTCAAATGACGAGGTATTTATCCATCCCTGAAAGCCAAGTCAAACAAAACTGATTCTAACAACTATATAGTCAAACCCCTCGTCCTCAGAAGATGACGAATCAGAGCCTGAAGCCGCAGAATCAATCTCCTTCGGCGCCCTAGCGAAAGCCTCAGAATCCCTCTCGGGCACCAAGAAAAAACGCCCCGCCATTCCCACGCCCTCGGACGGCTGGGCCAACAACGAAGCTCTGGAACGGAAGGCCGGACGCGCAGACCGCCGCGATTTTGGACGCAGCAGCAAACACGCACCCACTGAGATATCCTCCAAGAAAGCCGTGTCGCGGAAACGCGAAGTAATTCCAGTGCTGAAGCGCGATGTGCGGGATCCGAGGTTTGAGCCTGTGACTGGGCTGCCGGTCGACGAGGCGAGGGTGAGGAAGGCGTATGGGTTTTTGGAGGATTATAGGGAGGATGAGATGAAGGAACTCAGGGGGGCGATTCGGAAGGAGAAGGATGAGGAGCAGAAGGAGAAGTTAAAGCGGGCGCTGGGGGCGATGGAGAATCGGAAGAAGGCGCGGGAGAGGAGGGAAAGGGAGGAGGCTGTGCTGGAGAGGCATCGTAAGGAGGAGAAAGAGCTGGTTAAACAGGGCAAGCAGCCTTACTATTTGAAGCAGAAGGAGGTTGATAAGAGGGTGCTTGTGGATACGTTTGGAGACTTGAAGGGGAAGAAGCTGGAGAGAGTTATTGAAAGGAGAAGAAAGAAGGTCGAGGGGAAGGAGAAGAAAAAGATGCCGGCTGCGAGAAGAGCTACTGGGGAATAGGTACAAGAACAAGGTCAATTTTCAAGACTATAGGATCGTTGAGATGTGATTTATTACTACAATGTGATGTACAGCTCTGCTCCGCGTATCTTATAGAACGTTAGCTTTTTCCATGCTAGTCTTAAACATCTCCCGGCATGGTACACGACTCCCCAGCCTAGCACAAAGTAAGAAGGCCCCACTGAGCTTCCTGTGCAAGCTATAAGTCTCCTCGGGAGGCGGAGCTAATCTCTCTCTAATCATCACCGGAATCAATGCCTTGACTCTCTCCGTGATCGTCTGGTCCTTGAAATCATATATCTCGGGTGATGATTCCAAGAACGGTTCAGCAAGAGTCAGTATAGATGCTATATGTGCATCCAGCATTGCCTTCGACTCAAGTCCAGTTAGATATCCTAACTCGATAGAGAGATCCGTGACTGTTTTTCTGTCCGATACAGAAGCCGCCGATAGTAACTTCGTATATCGTTTCATGAACTCTTCTGGGTACTCCCTAGAAGCACCAAAATCCAGGAGTTCCAGCTTGTTTGTCTCGGCATTGTATAAAAAGTTGGTCCAATTAGGATCTGTCTGCATGTATTTGAACTCTGTGATTTCGCGTAGGCAAAGGCGGAGAATCTGGGTTCCGATCCAGTCTCTCTGCTCCTGCGTGAAGGATTTTACTCTCGTAACTCCAACACCATCTAAGAATTCCATGGTGAGGACCTGTTTTCCTGATGCTTCCGAATAAACTTTGGGCACAACGAAAACGTCTTCTTCGTCGGCGAGTAGTTCCTGGAAGCGTTGACCACATTCCGCTTCCCGGATGTAGTCACATTCCCAGGCTAATTCAGTCCGAGCGTTGGCAATTGTCTTGTCGAGGAACAGACCTTTTGGTAAAAGCCGTGATGCGGTCAGTAGAGTGGCTAAGTTGTTGAGATCGGAATCGATAGAGTCTGCGACGCCAGGATATTGGACTTTTACAGCGACTGGGGCTCCATTAGACTTCAGTACAGCTTTGTGAACCTGTCCTATAGACGCAGCGGCGATGGGCTTCTCGTCAAAGCTAGAGAAGAGCTCTCGCCATTCGGATCCAAGATTGGCAGTGAGAACTTTGTCGCGCTGCGAAGGAGGCATATAATCTGCACGGTCCTGTACTCTCTGTAACACTTCTTGGATCGGTGCAGGGAGCATTTTGGAATCCTGGAAGCTGATCATCTGTCCCAATTTCAAAGCTGCACCCCTCATGCGAGATAACTTGGTTACAAGTCGCTCCATGTTGCCTGCACTGAGCATATAAGAGCCCTCTCCTCCACCTCCACCAACACGACGGATACTTTCGCTGATTGCTCCGCCGAACATACCAGCAGCAAGGCCACCATAATTCCAAATCCTCCCTAGTCTCGAAGATGGAACTTTTGATTCCCTCAACTCATAAGGTGGCGCTTCCGGGCTTGCTTCAATCTAATCACTGTCAGTAATCAGTAGAAATCCAAGTTTCAACTCTGGCAAATATCACCTTACTATGTTTATCGGCCTCTTGAGATATTTCTTTGGCCAAATCATGGATCTCGTCCTTTGGAAGACTTGAAGGTTGCAAATCTCCAAGACCAACCCTCCCTTCTTGCATTCTCCCACCCAGTGATCTAGCGATCTTCGAACTATGAAAAACAGCTATATTGACACCTTCAGGAATTTCTTCCTGCTCAGGGTCTACTGCTGATTCCGGACTCTCAGTATAAAATGTATCTGAATTCAATGTCTTATTTGTCGGTTCCTGGGTATTTGAAGGGTATTTTGGAATCTTAACTCGCGGTAAGGAAGACAGTTCTGGTGAAGTATGGGTTGAGCGTTTATTGAATGTCTCGTCATCATGACCTTCCCGTAGAGGCATGCTTGAACCATCGTAGGCATCTGCAGTCTTCGAAGGTATTTGAAACTCAGAATTTCGCTGTGCCACCCTTGCTGACCTTGAAGAAAGCGGCTTTTTATCAGGAAGGGGAATAGTGGAAGCGCCGGAGGAGGCAGGCTCGAGACCCTCATTTTTCAATGGCTTCTTATGCGGTTCATCTTGAGGTCGTATCGGCACAACATCGTCATCTATTGGGGCGGCTCTTTCGTCTACTTCGGCTGGGGGTATAGTTCCGTCAGAAAGAGGATAACGATCCGCTTTCTCCTGCTGAATCTCCAAATCTTCCTCTGGCGGAGGGTCTAAAGGAGCATTGGCCGGCGACCTGTCGTAATGGTGGTCCTGCTCTAAACCATCTTTCACACCCGCAGCCGGCTCTACTTCCGTGGGTTTCTTCCTAGGAATCGTTTCCCCATTATGGGAGGACGCAGCTTTCCTTTCGTCTGCAGGATCCGAAGCCCACGACGGCGCATCCTCATTCAAACGCGAAGCAAGGAATGACGCGGCTTTGACAGTCTCGGTGATCCTGTCGGTCTGGTTTCGCACTGCTCGGGCTAACGTCGAGGTCCGATTGTATACATCGACCTGTCTTGTCCTCAAGGCGACATGCTTCTGCGCAACGCCTCGAGAAGCATTGAAGATAGCAGCCAAATCCAGGAGCCTTTTTCCAGCCATGGCATAGAATGCGGACGGCCGCGGTTGACTATCGAGTCATATTGTGGTTGTCGTTGTCGTTGTGTTCTACACTGAAGTTGATTTTGGATGGTCTCACAAAAAGCTCATACTGGTAAAACTGTTGATCCCTGCTCGATGACGCGCATTGAACTAGACAGGGCACCGCACTCGCTTCACAAACAGGGGTTCAGGGGCTAGCATAATGAAACGACTTGGGTAAATACTACGTTCAATGACTGGATGGTTCTCAAGTTTTGAAGCTTCATTGCTGTGGGATATCAAACTAGCTATGCACCTATCCCATATTTCTAAGCTGTCCTACCTCTCCCAACTGTAAATCAAATAGGGTATTTCCGTTTCAATTTCCCAGCGCCTGTTCTGGGTCTCAGAACTCTCATTTCCAGACTATTGTTTCGTGTATCCAACCTATTCCGATGGTGTCCACCGTGCTCGCAACCCTGACCTTGGCTTGACGGTACGAGGCGTTTGAATTCCGAAAGTATCAGGCGTGCCACGAGTACCTGCATTTCCAACTCTAGTCCAAAGTCTCTGTGCTGCCGGCGTCAATTGACCTGAGCCCACCCTTGGACTACTGGGAAACTTTGGAACTGGTGTCATATCAACCTTGCCAGTAATTCCATTCTTTACGGATGTCCGTTTCGTCCTCGAATTTGTGTCCACCATTTTGTGGTGCAGATCTTCCCTTTTGCTCTGCTCCTTGATCACAAATGGATTCTTGACTGCTTCGCCCTTCCCAAGATCAATAATCGGAGCCGGTGGATATGACTCAACTTCAGGTTCATCGTCCACAAATGAATATCCGTTGACACGAGGTGTCTCGCTCCCATCAAACTCAGATTCCAAGTCACTGGCACGCCTGCGTCCAGCTATAGCGTCCCTCACTGCCGATAAAGAAGGTGATGGCGGTCTTGTCAACTCTCCTGCCGGGTTTTCTGGTGCTGGCATCCGAGTATTCGCGTAAGCGACTCCTTTAGGCGCAGCTCTCGACTCCTCTTGGGACCTCTGAGCTACTGTCTGAACTGAGTCTTCCACGCTGTCAGGTGCAAACATAAGCACATTATTTGGTTTCGACTTCCATTGATCCACCCTCGCTGGCTTTTCTATTGCGTCTCGAATAGCCAGCCTATCTCTCTCACCTCCATCATCAACTAGTGAACCCCGTGACTTCAATAGGTTCACCTCGATCTCCTTCTGCTTTAACATCATCTTTGATGGCAGTTTGTTGTCGGCAGACCACATCCAAGCATACTTCTCCGCTCGCTTTTGATTTTGCTTATCCAGAAGCTTGTAGAAACTCTCATTATCCTCGCTCGTGTAGAGTGTTTGAAACCTGTCTAAACTCATGTTCGTATTCACTACTGGGCCTGCTGGTGCTTGTGAAGTAGTTGACATTTCCGAAGAGACTTCCGAAGTAACGGATGCAGGGGTTTCTCCCGCATAGCTTCTAGGTGTATCAAAAGCTCGCGATGGTGTCTGAATAGAAGTTCCCCGCCTCCCTTTATTTCTTCCTGGAGTCATTACCTGCTCCAGTCGCCGGCTCGCACTTGAGATCCATCCCCTATCTTGAGAGTCAAGGGCATCTAGGTATTCCTGCTGGGTCTCTGTTTCCAGCAGACCAGGAAAGAAGTCCCGCGCAATGATTTCAGAAATAGCTTCCGTATATGATTCTTCGTCGATAACGTTCTTTGGGCGTTTTATGCGCTTGGGAGGAGGTGGCATCAATTCGGTATCATTCGAACGGCGAGCAAGGGCTTTCGACTCCATTGCTATAGCGATTTGAGAGAGGTGGAGATGGTTACAAATAGCAAAAGCCTCGACGACCCTGCAAGTCTGTACTGCTGTGGGCAGTGCTTGAAACCGAAAGACGGAGAAGACGATGGTGGCTTCGTTGTATGTGTCGGTGGAGCTTTGCAGTCCAAATGAGAGAGAACCGGCAAGAGGAGCTGGTGGTCTTACTGTGCTTGCATAGATTTAATGGATGATTACTCCGTATGGATCTGGTGGGACATTGAAATGCGGCTGCATGCCATGCGCCCACTAGCGTGCTTTTGGCCCTCCGACTCGGTCTAGAAATGCGGCAGCCGTCTCGATAATCCACCTCCAAAATTTAATTCACATCAACGCCGCACTTCTTTTGCAGAAATCACACCTCCCAGATATATCCTCACTCCTCACTTTCTTAGCGGCTGCCCAACTGTCTCTTACCTCTTGAAATTTCTGAGCGTAACCACCGTTCCCAACTTGCGCCATCAGAACTGCCAGAATTCACAGCGATAGAACCCCTCGGTCTTTTTCGTCATGTCTACGGAAGAAGCTATTGCCTTCAAGAATGAAGGTAACAAAGCTTTTGCTGCCCATGACTGGCCTACGGCTATCGATTTCTACACCAAAGCTATAAACATAGACCCCAAGCAACCAACTTATTTTTCCAACAGAGCACAGGTATACAGCAGTCCCCGCATACGAACATGCTCGCGTGACTAACGGGAGCAGGCATACATCAGATCCGAAGCTTATGGGTATGCCATAGCGGATGCGACCAAAGCCGTTGAATTAGACCCAAATTTCGTCAAGGTACGTTCTACCTGCAGGCTCCCAATTCGAGCCTGCCATTGTCCTCCGAATATATCCCGATGGGTGTGGGCTTTGCTGACAATAATTTCAGGCGTACTATCGAAGAGGTGTCGCATACGCTGCAATTTTAAGACCGAAAGATGCTCTAAAGGATCTCCAGATTGTTGTCAAGAAAGCCCCAGGTGACAAGGATGCGAAGCTCAAGTTGGTAGAAGCACAAAGAATTGTGAAGCGAGATGCCTTCGAGCGAGCGATTGAGGTTGGGGAAGAGCCATCTGCTTCAGAAGGTTTAGATCTCGACTCTATGGCCGTTGATGCCGACTATGATGGCGTTCGATTAGAGAAGGAGATGACACAGGAATTTATCACCGATATGATAGAACGATTTAAGAACGGCAAGAAGATACCCAAAAAATACGTTTATCAGATTGTCATAGCTGTCAAAAATATCTCCTATGACGAAGCTACAATGGTGGAGATGAAGATTCCAGATGATGCTACTTTGACAGTCTGCGGAGATACCCACGGTTGGTCTACCCTTCCTTGTAGCGTAAGAAATCTAACACTGTGGAATAGGTCAATACTTCGACTTAATGGAGCTCTTCAGACTGAATGGTCTTCCCACCGAAAAGCACTATTACCTATTCAACGGAGATTTCGTAGATCGAGGTTCCTGGTCTTGTGAAATCGCACTTCTGCTATACGCATATAAATGGCTACGTCCAAAGTCATTCTTCCTCAATAGAGGCAATCATGAGACCGATGATATGAACAAGGTCTACGGGTTTGAGGGCGAGTGCAAGGCAAAATACAACGAAAGGACGTTCAAGCTGTTCTCGGAGAGCTTTTCGGCGTTGCCGCTAGCCACACTTATTGGCAGCAAGTATCTAGTCTTACATGGTGGTCTATTCTCAGACGACAAGGTTACATTAGATGACATTCGGAAACTAAACCGACACACTCAACGGCAACCGGGTCAATCAGGCTTGATGATGGAGATGCTATGGACAGATCCGCAAACCGAGCCTGGTCGAGGACCAAGTAAGAGAGGGGTTGGAATGCAATTCGGCCCTGATGTTACGAAGCGTTTCTGTGACAACAATGGCTTGGATGCCATTATTCGAAGTCACGAAGTGAGAATGGAAGGTTACGAGGAGGAGCATGGTGGAAAATGCATAACAGGTATGATCACTGAACTCTGGTCCTTCCTCCTACTAATCGCATCACAGTCTTCTCTGCACCCAAATACTGCGACAGCACCGAGAACAAAGGTGCCTACATCAACATTGGTCCTAACTACAAGCTCGATTTCCATAAGTTCGATGCGGTCCCTCATCCCAATATCAAGCCCATGGTAATGCTTCCACCTTTCCCATTTTCTGATGATCAGGCTAACTCTTTCCACAGGCATATGCACAAAGCAGTCTCATGTCAATGACCTAAAAACGCTATTTCGTCCCGCAGTTGGTGGGAAATTTCATGGCATACGGAAGAATCTCCGCATTTACAACGGGCAATATTGGGATATCGTATCGTGGAGCGGGCGTTATTGGCTTGGTTGTTATAAAAGCAAGATATACATACGGCCTTCGGGATCTTGTAGATGTAGAAGGATATGACGGCGGGGTCTGCATTAGAGCAGGTTCAATTCAATCCAGAATACGAAGTAGACACCAGACTGTGTCATTAGGTAGACTCCTTCGCTCCAATGCCCTGTACGTGAGAGCGTTTTGAACGATTCGTAGATGCAGCCTCGAAAAAGAGTGCAGTTCTCAACCAAGTCCTCTAGGTTTGGTGTCTGATGCCCGCGAAGTCCGTAGTAGTCTTCTCATCCCCTGATATCCGCTTCTCAATCACCCCAAACCCTCTCCTCCCCCCTCCTCGCAGTCAACCCTCCCAACCAATTCCCCTTCCCCCTAACCCTCCACCCCACACTCCCACCCACCCATCCG